CCGTTCCGCAGCTTCCAACTCCAGATACGGATGGTCGCTATAATCCGACTTCCCATACCGAGGCGCCCAGCCGTGCACAGTAGCACCGCCGTACCTCGCGCATCCCGCTCTCGTATTTCCGCAGGTCATCCCAGATGATGGCTTCGTGCGGAGCCTTGTGGCGGACGTCGACGACGATGGCGGGCGCCGCGGCGAGTAGCGACAGATCGAGCTGGTCGACGGAGCATGCGTCTCGTAGAAGTGGTACGGCGCGTCTATGTGCGTCCCGGTGTGCGTCCCGATCGTGAGCGTGTGCACGTTCGCAAACGCGCCCTCGGCGAGCTTGAACGTGTGCTCGGCGGTGTACTTCGGGTGTCCCGGGCAGGTAGGCACCCCGTTGGGCACCAGCGGATGGGTGAGGTCGATGACCCGCCGTTTGAGCGCGAAGTCGAGTGCCGCAGGGTCTCCCATGTGAACGTGAGGGGCTTGGATGTGCTCGGGGCACACAGCGTACATATATAGCCCGGGTCGGTGCCGAGGAGGCTGCAGGTGAATGTTCGGTGGTTCAAAGACATCACGGAGGACAATACGGACGTCGGTCCGGGAGATAGAGTCAACCGTCCACTGACAGACGGCGGCCTATTTTACGGCGTCTTCAGCGACACTTCAGTGTAGCTTGAGTGTAGCCTGGTGATACCTGGAGTAACATGGCACTGACCGGATACAGCCTGGCCGCGCCAAAGAGTGCACCAGGGATGGGATGATGGATTGATAGAGCAAGCACCCGCAAGGTGAACGGGTCGAGGTTTCAAGTCAGTTTCAAGTCTCCTGTTCCGAGCGGCGAGGAGACGGGTAGCCGATGTATCAGCGCCGTAGTCAGATACCAAGAACGTCCACCTGTGTCAAACACTATCACGTTGGCCGCTAATCCCAGGCGAAAACGAGCTGCACAGCTTCGTACGCACCAGACGAGTGTTGTGACTCTTTCGAACATCCCGGATACCAGACAGCATTTGGGAAGTGAGGCAAGTACACACTCCGAGAACCACATTACGAAACACGAGAGTCGCCTCCTGTATAACATGTCATAAGGTCAAAACGCCTGACACTCGGAGGTCCTGATGACAGTATATACCCCATGAGCATAAATCCCATGAAGTGAACAATCTCGGTGGGGAGGGGCAAGCCCTCAGTCGGAACAGGAACTCACATGAATGGATCACCGAGTCCCGCACGTCCGTCTCCAAGCGAAAGCACGCACGGGCGAGCCATCGCATCTGCCGATCTTAAGCGGACCATGTTGACGATCCAGTCACCGTCCTGTATCGCCCCAAGGTTGCTAAGATTCTCCGCGATGATACCTCCAGCACCGAGGATGACCTGATGCACGGCAAAGTCGGCCTCTGCGTGCGGGTCGAGGTGCGTCGGGTCGGGACTGAGGGTGTCGATACCTATGGTCCTGACGCCAGTCGTGATGACGCGCTCGGCCGCCTCGCGATCCAGGTATGGATGTTCGAAGAACGTGTCAGTCCCCCAGTGCCTTGACCAGTCTGTCCGTACCAACAGGATGACACTAGCATCCTCCGAGACATATCTGCGCAGTCTCTCTTCATATGGTTGCAAGTCGCTCCAGACAAATGGCTGTTTGGCGGCTTTGTTCGATACGTCCACTACAACTGCAGAACCAACGAAGCGAGAGAGTGGAACTTCGTCAATGCGCTTCCCGTCTTGTATGAAATGGTAAGGGGCGTCGACGTGGGTGCCAGTGTGTGAGCCCATCGAGATGGACGTAACGTTATTTCCGTCGTGTTCGATGGTCAGAGTTGGGCAGCAGCTGAATATAGGGTCGCCAGGATACACTGGGGTGTTTGGATCAAGAGTTTGCGAGAGGTCTACGTATTCGGCTGGCATGGATCCGACTGTACTGGGCATGAAAGGGGGCGGTAAATATGACAGTCTTAGCTTCAACGAGCGTCGAGCGAACACCAGCAGCAGGAGGAGGAGGAGGAGGAGGAGGAGGAGAGGTGGGGGGTCCATTGTTAGCGGCATTAGCCACCGACCGCAACGGTTACACGGTCAGGTGACCGCAAGACCAACAGACGTGACGCGACGTGACGGACCCCTCCTCCTCCTCCTCCTGCTGCTGCTGCCTCGGGCTGCCTGAACGTGCCAGTTCTCCTCCAGATTGTCACTTTACTACGCGCTGCACAACATTAGCTCGTCATACTACTGTAGTGGGATGTTATTTCCAGATTCAGCGATGGACGAATGCTACACAGACGACACGAAAGCCTCGCAAACGACCACGCAATCTACTCACCGCCTTCTCTACCGAGGCGCACTCTCGCTCCCCGAATCGCACATGGTTCTCGACGGGCTGAGCTTTACAGCCCCTCTTGGAACATCCGCGCTGGCTGCGTCGAAGCTCAACGATGTCAACTTCGACTTATTCAACCATCCTCTCGCGCTCGCGCTCGAAAGTATGCGTGGCAGACCCAGTCTGCATCTTGTGGGCGCTGTCGAGATGCGCAAGCTTTGGGTGGACGAGAAGAGCTCTGGAGTGGTGCAACTGTGAGTACTTGCTGTGCTCTTTTGTCGTCATATATGTATATCCCGCCACGCAGAGACATCCACCCGAAGGCGACACTCAGCCGATTATACTTTGAGAATATATTCTGTCTGGAGCCTTTCACGTCTCCTACCGGACGAAGTGACTACGGAGTACGCGTCAGCCTCAGCGACAGCGGTAAGCACTCGTCCAGCCCCTCTCTTTGCCAACTGGTACCCATACGCACGCAAAGGCGACTCCAGTGCAGAAGACATTATCATCTACGCCCAACTTGAATCCACCTCGTCCGACGTCTTCGACAGCCCCCTCACTCCTCCCTCTACCTCCACCTCTCCCTCACAGCCCATCCGCCTCCTCGTCGCGTGCATCCTCCCTGGCCCGCCACCCATGCCCATCCCCTCGCGCCCGCGTCCAGACGACCCCACACCCCGGATGCCCTCCCTCCCCACTCCCACGACCGCCGCGAAGCGCAAGCGGGACGCGTCCCCCTCTCGCGCGACAAGAAGTCCCGATCCGCGGCAGGGAAGGACAAAGACGGCCCGGACGCGGAGGCACTGCGCAGGGCGCGCGAGACGATGACGCGCCTTCCCAAAGCCATGTCCGCCCCCGCTGTGCCGAAGGCGGGCAGGCAGGTGGAGTTCAAGGTGCCGAGTGTCCCGTCGCGGGCCAGCGCGAAGGTGCGCCAGGCGAGCGTGGACGGGGACGCGTGCGAGAGCCCTGTGGACGCGTTCAACGCTGCGCATGTCGCAGGTGGGGAGTTTGCGACGTTCTCGGCGGACCAGAAGGAGAAGACGAACAAGACGGTGTGTTGATGTTCTCGGTTTGTCAGATGAATCGCTGATCCTTCTCGCAGGTCGTGAAGCAGGCGGTCGTACGCTGTCTCTCGGATCATGCTGTCACGAAGCAGCACCCAGAGTTCCACGACGTGTTCCAGTACATCTATAGAGGGACGTGCTTCGCGTTGGTGCGTGCATGGTTTATCTTCGCCTGATCGCTGAGCTCACTGTGCATCCAGCGGTCACAAATGCGCAGTACACCGGTCGATCTCTGGAGTGTGTACAAGCTCGTGGATTCACATGCAAAGATGTACGTCCCTGCTGGGGAACGTGGGGTTTCATAACAGGCTGCAGGTCATCCGTTTTTGCTGGTCATACAAGTCACCGAAGGTATCATTCACTGTGTACACGTACGGACATTCGAGGCAAGTTGCAATGTATCCTATACTCAAACGCATGCGCATGTACATACGCTCGCAATATGCTTATCCCACTCCATCCGTGCTGCCACGTAGACTCTGGGGACTATGAGATTCAGACAGCCACAACTTCTACATAGCTTCGTGCTATGTCTTGGTTGACACGGGAGAGTGAGCGAAAGGCACATCTGTTAGGGAGGAACCAAGGCATGTAAGTCCGCCGCGCTCACTGGAGCGCCGCTTCCCTTTCAAGTTCGCGCCCGTGCTGCATTCCAATATCCAACCCGATTGACGGGGATGGTCCGCGGGTGTCACCTCAGCGGGCGGTATGCGTGCGGTGTCGGCATGAGTTGAGACAGAAGATGAAGATCTCGTACGACCTCCTGCTGTGTTCGGTGACGAGCTAGTAATATACAGGGTACCTGTACTAGCCGAGACAACGTTCTGTGCTTCATAGTCATGGTTCATCGCACGACCGCGCTACCGCTGACCAGTCGCCCAGATCAGCGCCAGCTGCGACGCAGCCGATCAACGTCAATTGCCGCTTTACTCGCAACAGCGCGCGCATATATATATCCTCGTCAGCATGGAGTACTGACCCCAAAACGCTGCACGCCCTCACCGACATTTCGTACGCAACAGTATGCGCGTAGTCCAAGGTCCCGGAGGCCCTCTCCCAGCGATCCCAGATGACTTGACGATTCCGCAGTTCATGTTGGATGTCGGGCACCTAAACAGACCAAGACTAGGCAAGAATCGGCCATGGATGATTGAGGAGGCCACAGGGAGGGAAGTGGGAGAAGAGGAGGTGAGTGGAACGCGGTTCTTGACCGACCCAGAACACGTGCACGTGAGAGGACAGGGACGTCGACGGCCATCGCCAGGCTCAGTCTGTTCCTCCTCTTCGAGGTTCACACCAAAAATGTCCTACATTCCGCTTTTCAAAATCATCGCGATGGCGGCCTCATGTGCTTTCTGCGAAAGTGGTCGATATTTGTCGTGTGCACTGAGCCAAAGTGGCTACCGTCGTGGCGGTGTCGATAGTGCTAGTACACTGTGCTTGAAGTTAAATATCGAGGACCGGAGCCTCACAAGTATATGACGGGAAGGCGGCTAGTAACTCACATGAATATTGGCTTGTAGCTTCGTTCGCGCACAGACAGTCTTGCGAATGCGCTCAAAACCCGTTGGAACATAGGCGGGTATCGATGTTCTCACTGTACTAATGGTCATTGATGAATGCTCGATTCTGTTCCATATACAGGAGATGAAGATGTTGGTGAGCCATCAGCATTTGTTCAGGGCATAGAGCTCTGGACAACGTCTCTTGCCAGTTTGCGTGTACAGTCCGAACCATGTTGGTATGTTGATTCCCATTTAAGTGATGTTCGTTGCATCTCACTCAAAAGAACTTAATTCTAAGACTTCCCTGTGATGGTCTGGTAAGCTGTCCTTCGACGCCATGCGCCAGATTGTTGTCGACATATATTTTGCAGGGCCGTTCACCGACTGGGAGCTGTCATCAGGTGCGTATATACTGGCCTATGTCAGTCATGAATATTCACTGTGCCTCAATTTCTTTCTAGCACAGCCAACCCTTCGTACAATCATAACGAGCTCGTCCACCAATTGAAGACCACCGACGCCAAGCTTATCTTTGTGCATTTCACCTGTCTCGCGATCGTAGAAGCTGCCGCACGCACGGTCGGGCTCATGCTGGATAGCATTGTCCTAGTTGACAGACCACCGAACGGGAAGTCCTCTTACATGACGGTCCAGGAACTCGTCACGAAGGGCCTGAGCATACCGATAAGCTATACAGAGAGGAAACTCAAATCAGGCGAAGGAAAGACAAAGATCGCGTTTCTGAACTTCTCTAGCGGCACCACCGGGCTTCCGAAGGTTCGTTGCATCTGGAGATGGGCTGTGAGTGACAACTGAAGGTTTCTCGTAGGCTGTGATGGTCCCGCATTACGCGCAGATCGCCAACATCATTCAGTGCGTTGTTTATGCCGAGGGCGATCCTAAGCCATGGGAAGACAAACCCTTCAGACCCGGTCGGATAATATACGCAGGTTTGCCTCTTTTATTCTGTAGTTATGTATAATTGCTGAGAGTCGATCGGTGCTTTGCAGCACTACCATTCTACCGTAAGCTTCCGTGCACTGCGAACGACCCTTGAGACATCCTGACAGATGGCAGACGTATATGGCCTTGCGTTTATCATGCACTTTGGGTTCTTCCTCGGGGTACATCACCAATTTTCTTCGTAGGCTTGCTGTATTGTTGACCGCTACCGCAGATGCCGCTTGTCGTTTCCCAGAAATTCGTCTTCACCGACATGCTCAAGAGTATCGAGCGCTACCGTATCACAACCCTCCCGTACGCGTCATCTCCTAATCGCGTGGACCAAAGCTTGACTTGTTGATCAGCTGCGTGCCTCCTATGGCCGTACTGTTAGTCAAGGTTTGTCGGTGTCCCTCGACGCTCACCACACCCCATTGCTTACCCACAAGTCTTATGTTAGCACCCAGACGTGAAGAAATACGACCTCAGCACCATCCAGTCTGTCATGATTGGGGCCGCCCCCGTTTCGCCCGAACTTCAAGCAGCTGTGGCCAACGTCTTTCCCAAAGCCAGGGTCGGTCAAGCCTTCGGTGAGCTCCTCTCCTCTGCGTCAGGGCTTGTCTCGATTGAACCCCGTGCAGGTATGACAGAGAGCTTCGCAGTGGTAACGCTCCCGCGACATGACCAGAGGGTTGGCACGCTGGGCAGTGCAGGGGTGCTCATTCCCGGCGTCGCCGCGCGCGTCGTCCGCCCGGACGGCACGGACTGTGCGCCGGACGAGCCCGGGCAGTTCCTCGTGAAGGTGCCCTCTCTGGCGCTGGGATACTTGAACAATGAGCAGGCGTGCGTCTCGTCTGTGCTTTGCGACTCGGAACTGACGAGGAGTGTAGGAATAAGGAGACGTTCGTGGACGGGTGGCTGAACACGGGCGACGAGGTGATCGTCAACGACCAGGCCGAGCTGTTCGTCATCGACCGCATCAAGGAGCTCCTGAAAGTGCGAGGCTTCCAGGGTTCGTCGCCAGCTGTACCCGTCCGCTCTGTCATTACTCACTTGCGGACGTCGCGTTCTCTCCAGTCGCTCCCGCGGAACTCGAGGGCTTCATCCTCGACCATCCGGACGTCTCGGACGTCTGCGTGGTCAGTCTGCTCGATGACTTCAACGGTGACCTCCCCCTCGCGTTTGTCGTGCCCACCGCGAGCGCTAAGGAGCGCATGAGCAAGGACCCCGCCGAAGGTGAAAAGATCAAAGCGGCGATCGTCAAGGTATACTGATCGTCTTCAGTGGAACTAGATCGCTGATGATTCGTGCGGCCCTTGCAGTACGTCGCGGATGGCAAGATCTCCTACAAGCAGCTCACTGGCGGCGTCGAGTTCATCGACGTGATCCCGAGGAACCCTAGCGGGAAGCTGCTCAGACGGTTCCTACGCGACAAGGCAAGGAGTGCACACCTGAAGACCAAGGGCGTTAAGGCGAAGCTTTGATGTGGGGGAGCTTTCCGTCTGTAACGGAGACTGTCGCGATACTCGTCGGCGCGCAGGCCGTAGACATTTTTCCAGTATCTATTGGGTGGAGACCATGCTATCAGCTGGTAAAAATCGGGTTTCCTTGGTTAGTGTGCATCACAGTAAGGTCGGCGCGTGTCCCAACTCGGAGAAGGCAGCACTTGAAATTTGCTTACCCAAGGATATTACGGAACCACATTATTGCGTGTATCTGGGTGACTATATGCGGCTCCCTACACGATCTCGGAGGGCTTTTGTTCTGGTTTGCCTCTTCGAAAGGCGAGAGAGGAAGACGGTGTCGCAGAACCCAAACCTCCACGCCGACCGTCACGACATGGGGGCCTCTAAATCCGTACGCATGTGGTCCGCCCATGTCCAAGGAGCCCATACTGCGACCCCGGCCTCGAAACCGCAAGGGAAGTAGCCACGGCCGTCTCCACCGAAGGCGTGTTCGTGCAAGCCGGGGAACATCTCCGGATGCATGTGGTCAAGCGGTCCATGACTACTGAACCCATCTCTCCTGCGGGCGAACATACCGAAGACGAAAGCAGATCTAACTTACCACGTCCGAAATGCTAGGTGCCTTCGCGATGACGCTGGTGGTGGTGGTGGCCGACGGTGTTGTGGTGGCGGAGGCGGCACCACCGACTGGGGTTAAGCTGCGGACCGGGAAATAGAGGAGCTAAGGGTCCGAGGAAAGTTCTCGCGGGACAGACCGTGGTGGTGTAAGACTCCACGAGTCGAACGTAACTTAGCATATACAGGGATCGGTAGATCATCGATTGGCCTGAAAACTAGGCTCTAGTACGAGAGCCTTCAGTCTCACCGAGCAGCGGTAAACTTCAAATGACATGCACCTTTTGGGATTCAAGTTTGCGTCGCCTGTGGACGAGAGCCACGTCGTTCGTTCGTAACACGCGCGGAGGTCTTGTGGTCACACTCGTGCGCAAAGCAGGGCAATTAGGCATTGTATACTGACAAGGTATGGTGTAAGTGTCAAGCCGGTCTGCTACGGGATGAGAAGACACACCAACGCCACGAACTACCACTGCACAGGCATAACACAGTACTGTACATACATACAACGTAGTACTGCACACATTACATACATGGGGCCTCATAGGACAAGACGTCATAAAGGAGTGGAATCGGCATTCGGCCGGTCAACTTCAATGAGTCCTGACTCATTGTTCAAGAATGCGATCCCAACGATTACTGAGAAGACGAAGAAGCATCACGTAAGTAAACATGGGAAAAGTGAAAGTGGGAAGGCATACTGCCTGGGAAAGGAGGTCGAGACATTGACATCGTTCCATAATCGGGGACATACTGATGCTGTCGAGCATGCTGATCCATTGAGCACAGCGCGATCGGACGGCGAACATGGCCTACGCAGACACCGTCCAGTTGGCCTCCAAGCTCGTCAAGCTCGCGGCTGCGTCGTACCGCGGTACGTGAACGAAATTCCTCCACGTCCACGCCCGGGTTGATGAGTCCAACTGCCTCTCCCGCTGCACCCCCGACCAGGAGCTACAACGGGTGAGACGCCGCTACGCCAGGCTTCAACGAACGCGGAGCCACGTCCTACAACATGATGAGTTCCACGTGTAGAGGTGTAACGTCATTGTGAGGTTCAACTCACGGGAAGCATGTCGTTGACGCTCTGTCGACATGGTCGATTCCCGATGATTAGTCGCTCGTACGCGAGGTGACTCGGAAGCTTGATGCCGGCGCGAGAATGGACCCTCATCGTTGTCTCCATCAGTGGGCAGTCTACTCAAAGCGATCGAAGCAGCGCGTAGGAGATCGCGAACGGCGTCCGGACGGCCAGTGCCACGTCCGCCGCGACCCCTGGTCGAGGGCGCGACGTGGGTTGGGCTGGTGGCAATGTGATTGGAAGCTCCGCGACCTCCCCGACTTGACAGTCTTCCTGGGGCCGCCGCTCCGCGTCTTGGTTGTACATGTCGGAGGTCGACGCGTGTGTTAGCTTCTTGCAGTTCCCGGATGTGGCGTAGGACTGTAAACACCATGGTCGAGGACCCTGCACCCCCAGTCGCCACTCGTTCCGTGACAGTCACCGGGGTGGAGAGCCCATTCACGCCTGGCGTGGCTGAACCGGCAATTCGGAATCGCAGAGCACCGTACCCCAAGGTGGTGTGCCCGCCAGCAGCCGCCGCCTTGAGTACCGCAAACTCAACGAAGGCCTTCGTGGACGCAGCCTTGAGCATATTAGCGAACTCGAGTGGGTTGCGAATCTGTTGCCAGCGTCTGTCTACCATCCAAGATGGCAGCGCGGTGTCACGAGGAGAGTAGGAGAGGATGAGGACGTCAGTGGACATGCGGTAAAACGATGCAACACGGGCAGCGATCTCGCGCAAGGTGTGAAGGCGGTTGGAGATAATCCCACGAGCGTGGATGTCGAGCAATCCGCCCCCAAGCCGTGCCAGGTTGATCTCGAGTACATCGGTGACAGCCTGTTGAGGCTCAGGGCGCTGTGCTCTGCGCAATGTAGCGGGTCGGGTACCATGGGCGGTCTCGGCCAAGACTGCGCGAGATAGCATAGCAGAGCGGCCAGCCTGAGTGTTGGCGGACCCGTCGGATGCAGCAGTACTCGACGATAGCACGAGAGGCTCGTACCGTGCTGGTACTGCGGAACAACGTTGTAGGGAGTGCTGATGGACAACATTGGCAAAGCCACTGCGGGGTGCTCCGCTCTCTAGCACTACGTTCCTAGGTGAGCCCGCCGCGGCGACACTTTGTCTGGTGCTGCTGGTGCTGGACAGACTTTGGCGAGTAAGGGATGATGAGCGGGAATGCGAGACTCTCCGCATGCTGGGGCCAGGCTCCTCAGCGTTGGGCACCTGGCGAGATACCGTGGCTGGCGGAGGCGGTGGTGGACTCGCCGTCATCACAAGGCGGTCATGAACAGGCGGTCCGTACGCAGGAGGGGGACGCGGGCTACTAGACCGGTAGCGAGCCTGGGGACGGTCACCGGCTAGGACCAATGAACGGTCCAAGCCGATTCCGCCTTCGTCCACTACGGTGACCGATCGCAGCGCTCGCGTCAGGTCAAGTGCAACTGCTTCACGGTTGGGACCGCGAAGCAGCTGCGCGAGGCTCAACCGCAGCGGTGCTCCATGTATCCACACACCCTCCCCATCTGCGAACAGGCTGTAAGGTTCAGCCACCATACGTCGCGCGAACTGTGCTTCAACTGTGTCGTGAAACACAGAATCGTTTTCGTTCGTTGGTGGGGAAGGTGTGATTGATCGACGCTGAACATCGCCAATCCCAATCGGCGACTCGTTGGTCAGGAAGGCGGGTGGGCGCCATTGAGAGACCGATATCTTGACAATGCGGTCTCCAGTACTGTCGTCGACGTTCTCTTCGCTAGTACGAGCGATAGCTTGATCAACGACGTCGACATGTCTGTTACGCACCCAACAGTCCACTGGCTGGGTTGGGGACACTACAGCTAGCATTGCCATCAGTCCTTCCTCGTCATCTACAACGACCTGGCGGCCATCGTGACCAATATACTGGAGGGCAGCGTCATTCGGCAGGGGGTCATAGGCTGCCCATAGCCAGTGGGCCATGCATGCCCAAGAAGGAATTGATGTCAATGTACATCTGAACTTGCGAACAAGCCTGCTGCCGCAAAAGAAACGGAAAGTCATGGAAGTCTCCATGTTGGAGTCAGGGTGGGGTTTGGAGGGGAAGAGTGGGAGCGGGAGGAGAGGCGGGAACGGGAGGAAGAGAGGCGGAGGAGGAGAGGCGGGAGGAGGAGAGGGAAAGCGGTGGCTCGGAGGAGGAAGAGAGGGAAGGCGGGAGGAGGAAGAGAGGGGAAGCGGGAGGGGAGGCGGAGGGTCCAAAGTGAGTGAGTCTAAGTACCTGGTGAGTCGGAGTCCTAACACCTTCATCTTCCGCGGTCACTGGACGTACTCGACGTCAGACTCATTGATCATGGAAACATTGACAATCCCATGTAAGTCGCTGTATGCACGGTATTCGGTCGAGATCCACGCCAAAGACAGTACTTGGACAGTACTTAATTACGTGCATGAGTAGGCCGTAGCGTCATGATCAGTATTCGCGTCGCGGATGGCTATACTGGCAGAGCGCTCACCGGTGCACCGACGGCGTCGAATCCGTCGACGCAATCCCGAGGAACTCTAGCGGCAACTTGCGGTTAACGCGCTCTTTCTGGTGTAGTCTACGGTCGGCCGCGAGGCCACGCAGCCCCTTGCTGTGCACTCTAGTCATGCAACAAGATGCAAGCAGAGAGTAATATTCACTATGTGCGAAGTCACGGCCCGGCATTGACAGCGTCAGTTGGAAAAACAGGGATTTTCTTTCGAACTTAAGTGAGCCTGTCGATCGCAAGCGGAAGGGATGGAGGCCTGTTAGAAGTTTAGAAAGCATCATGACCTTTGGCAGTCGACAGTGACATTGCGCATCATGCGGAGGGCGGCCAGGGCCTGATGTGCGATGATGTGTTGCATACTCTAGCTAGCAGTGTCTGTCGCAACGCTCGGACGTTAACGAGGGATGTTGATGAATCGATGACCACCGACAATTTGCGACTACAGATCTGCCCCCCCGGGCAGATCGCCGCACGTATGTGACAAGAAGTAAGTAGCCAGTGCACTTCATCAAGGTCTGTGTGTAAACACCAGCATCGACGCGTTTGGCAGCGAGAAAAAGGTAGTTGTCATGTCTCTCTAGTTACTCGCGGAGTAGGTTGCGCGAGCGCAGCGTCATTGATCATTGTCTGGCCTACGTCCCGCGATTATGCATTAGCCTATACGTCGGGGCACATGTTACAATATCTACCATGGGCATCAGTGACTGGAACGTAGCTATTCCTCCGAACATCCTTGTCATGCTGCTTCATTTAGGAAGATTGTACGCCATGATAGGGTTTCCTGACTGGGCTAGCACAGACGCCACCAGGTTCTGGTTCAACTTGATGTCTTCTCCAAAATTCGCATGTTCGACACCGTGTCTGAAAGAATCCGGGTCCGAGTGAATCTGTCTGGGATACTATGAGAAGCGTGCTGCGTGACACTCACTCGGCGCGAAGATGCTCTTGCACGGCATCGTAGACCATTGGCATGTGAGGCGTCTCACACATGGTGCACGACCACAGTCTCGCTTTTCGCAGCTTTGTTAGCTCGAGTGTTTTAGTCTTGACAGTCTCGTCGGCACTCGCTAATCGATACGGCCAAGGAAACGGCCAAGAGCTCACTGTAAGGGTTGCTGATACTGACCGTGTTCCGTGAGCTTCTTGGCAACTCGGATGTGCTTATGTTGCGAAAGCAGAGTATTGTCTCTTGTTTGTATGAAGTCTAGCTCAGTTCCCCATCCCAGAGCACGTAGCCTCGATATCACACTGGTTTGGAACTTCAGTGACGTATAATCAAAAGGTAATGCCCTACGTACTTTTCTAAACACTCATTTATGAGCGCCTGAAGCTCCTGTATGTGTGTACGTTCTTCCTTCTCGGCCCATGTCTGGCATAAAGCTGTGTGCTACATAGACATGGCTGGATCAGACCAGGCAGCATAGAGTGTTTGAACTACATGACCTACCTCACGGGACTGTCGTGCTCATTTGCTGTCTTGATCACCGAGCTTTCTCGCAGAATCCCACTTCCTAGCCGCATAAAGCTTTCCATAGGTCTCGACAGCTTCGAACACTTGAGCTTTGCTATAGCATGGGCCCTTAAAACCCGTGACTGTCATGGCCTATGAGTACAGTTAGTAGGTGGAGCTCGAAGCATCTGTGTAGACGTACTTTGAGAAATATATCCTTTGGTATTGAGTAGAAATCCTGCCACTGCTCAGAGCTAAGGATCTGGTTTACCTTATTCTCAGCGACAACCCTGTACATAAAAACACAGGGATGACTTGAGCAAACATGACAAAGAGATGTCAATAATGAAAGGCTGACATTTGGGGCCTACAACGTGCGCAGAACCGAGACAGAAACTCCCAGTGCACAGTCGCGGCTTTGCCTGTGCCGCAAGCCTTGAGATACCACATTCACGGTCAAATATACCTACATCAGACAAATGATGCAGTTCGCCGAGAGCCGTACCACTTAGAGTGCAATATGGGGAGAAGATGAGGGATATCCATGCCGATTCGATCCATCCTTCTGGGCACGGAGGTAGGTCTAAAATGTTCTTGATAGTGCCCTTCCATAGATAGGCAGAGCTTCGCTGTATGAGGAACGCATGGAACGACTTCGACGTCCTGGAGAGACTCAGCAGATCGCGAGGATGGAGATACAAGCATATCTACACGAATAGTATCGTCAGTCTATGATTCACATACGCGCATGATTCCACTCTACCTCCTTCATAACGTCCATCGGCATGTTGAGCATATCTTGCAGGCCGCCACGTCGGCCGCGCACATTCTTCCATCGAGCCTCCGTTTTGGCAGTGACTCTGCTCGCGGGCGCAGATGCCTTTGTTCGCTTGGACTTCTTTGGCGCCATTTGCGAGTGTGATTGTTAGAGACGCGTGGTGAAAATGGGGGAAAGAGAGCGATGGGCAAGCCAGTAGTGGTCAAGTCTAAAGTTGAACGCAGCCACTGAACCCGACGCGGTTGGCCACAAAGCCACACGGTGTCACGGTCACGCGTCATACACGTGAGAGGTACGCGCTTGTGGCAAGTGCATTCTAGGCTCCGAGCACCTTGACACGATATAGCGGAAAGCCACAACACCACGAATTCTAGGGCGATGACAATATATTGATACAGGAGTAATTACGAATATGTAGTGGCCGCTATCGCAGGAGGTTATTGATGGTACATACATCAAAGTATCGTAACGAGAGCAACAGTACTTGCATCATGGTGCACAAAAGCAAGATGACTCAACACCGAGACGAACTCACACCATCGTCGCGTTGTTGAGGATTGGAAATTTATTAGTGACGAGATTAGTATTTGCTTCATCAAAAACACATGTCGCAACGCCAACTACAATATCCAGATAGACATTGTCAAACACAAGACTGCCTCCACCGATCGTTATGAGCCGTACCACGCTGTTTGAACAGCTCACCCATGGGCTCCATACCGGGCTAGTGCAGACGCGACCAGACATTGGTTCATCCTGATGTCTCCATCTGCGATACTAGGATGTTCGATGCCGTGTCTAAAAGACTGAGTCAAATATGTCCAGGACATCATGCGAAGCGTAATACTCACTCGGCTCGAAGATGCTCTTCTACAGCATCGTAGACCACTGGCATGTGCGGCGTCTCACACCTCGTACACGACCAAAGCATTGTTGTCTTTAAATATGACAACTCCTGTGCTTTCGCCTCGGTAGTCTCGTCAGCGCTCGCTAGCCGCCACTGAGAAGCAGTCTCATCAGCGGCATTCAGTACCTTAGACACAGATTGTCAGAGAATGATCGTCACATTGATCATATATTGAGTACTCACCGCGCCGCGCCAGGTTGTAACGGCCTCATCATCACCGACCAACCTGACATCCGAGGCATCCAGGTCTGCCGCCGTCGCAGTGCTCGGATCCTTCCCGCACGCTCGTATGACTTCTCGAATACTGTCTGTCAGGGCCCACGGACGGAGCGCGTCGGGGGCGAAATAGCAGCGTACATCCTCTTGCCCGTACACAAACTTTTCGTACGTGTCTGTCCCGTTCGCCTGCGTGGCAGAGCGGAGATCACTGTGAGCGACGATGTTCGGAAAGAACATCGATATCCGTCCTGGCTCCGAGTTATCGACAACAAAGAGCGTTGTCGCGAGGTCAAGCGGGTCAACGCCTCGACGTCGCTTGGCCTTGTGCTTGGCTAATACCCTGCGGAAGTCTTTGCAGACGCGCGTCCGCCAACTGTCCACGATCGCGTCCATTTGGCCCTCCAGCGCCAAAAAGCTTGCTTGGTCCACGACCTCGTCCGCAGGTGCACACATGACGTCGCGGAACTCCTTTGACAGAGCGAGGTCCGCGATGTTCATCCTGTAGTCTAGCATCTCTGGATGTTCGCCGAGGTACCTGTCCAAGAATTCCGTCGCTACGCTCTCCAGAACCGGCCAGCGCTCCGCCAGTATACCCATGTATTCGTGTTCCAGACGCTCTTCGCGGATGTGCTCCATGCATTCGATCATCTCGTCCTTCATATTCTGCCAGGCTAAATTATAAAATTATGTGTTGTCAGTGCGTCTCCACGAGCGAAAGGCTGCTAATACTGACTCTGTTCAGTGAGCATCTTGGCAACCTTGACACGCTTATGATCCAGAAGCGGCGCATACTGCCTTTCTCGTATGAAGTCGAGCTCGGCCTGCCAGCCAAGATCACCTAACCTTGTGAAGACACTATTTCTCATGATCAGCGATGTATGGATGATCCGTGACGCGCCACGTACTCTATTGTGCGCTTGAAGATCAATCGTTCACGCTCCTCAGTGCGTTTACGCTGTTCATTATCATCCCATTCCTTGCACAAGGCCGCAAACTGTTGACAGTACTTGTAAGACGTGACAATGTAAGACACTTATTGGAGGCAGGCGACTCACTGCCTTCGACCGTATCGTTTGTTGCCGATGATCCTCAGCCAATGCTTCCGCCGCATCCCGATGCTGAAAATTGTAGAACCCCTCCCATTTATCATAGACACTCGATATCTGAGATCTCAAGTAACAGGGCTCGTCGTATCCAGTGACCTGGGCCTGTGTAAACGTCGTGAGAGTGAGCGAACCTCAATCACCGACTTTGTTGAGAGCATACCGTGATAAATATATCCTCTGGAATGTCAATAAAGCGAGTCCCAAAACGCCAATTCCAGAGATATGAATGACCTTCATTCTTGGAGAAGAGCCTACATGCATATAAAGTCAACAAAGTAATTTCGCGTGCCGCGGTAACCTCACTGACATTTGTTTCCTGCACGGTGCGCAAAATCGCGCCAAAAACTCCCAGTGAACCGAAGGAGCCTTGTGTTTGCGGCATACCTGACGAATGACACATGAAGAATGAGGCCATCCCCGGGGTATCATCACTTACAGTGCAGACTGGCACGAAGACGAGGGAGACCCAAGCAGGTTCAATCAATGTCTCTGGGCATGGCGGCAGGCCAACAATCGTTCTCAAACAGCCTTTCCACAGGTAGGCAGAGCTCTTCGCCATGAAGAATGCGTGGAATGATTTCGACGCTCGAGAGAGATTCAGTAAGTCTCGTGGATGGAGCAACAAACATATCTGCAGATATGATATTAGTCTCCCCGTCGTGTCAACCACAAGTCAGCAATGCTAACCTCCTTGATGATGTCCATGGGCATGTTGAGCATGGCTTTGAGACCGCCTCGACGGCCCCGCACGGTCTTCCATCGTTCTTCGGTCGTCTTGGCAGTTTCGGTCACGGAGGGAGAGTCATTCACTTGCTTGCGTTTCTTCGGAGGCATATGAATGTGCGAAGCATGGGGCAATAAGAGAACGACGGGTAAGGTGATACAGCCAAGATCAAACTGGTGTAACTCGTCCTGAGCTGGCGGTCTCGAGTTTCGACGCGGTGGCCGCGGTCAGTGTCACCAGTGAGAGAATTGACACGTGATACGACGCGCCTGTGGCGCGAGCCGCCGAGTCGCCGCCGACCTTGCGCCGACCCAGTGGCTCGGAGAAGTGACTTGAAGTAATCCTCGCATATCGTCAAAACGACTCGCGGAAAGCCGCAGAGGCGCAACCGTACTCAAGTAAGCCTTCGCAAACTATGTGCCAAGACGCATATATAGTTCCGATTCATCATCGTCGGAGTCGCTTGTTCAAAGCTTCCACTGGCATCCGAGGACGTCAAGATTCGTCGCAGTTGACGTGGCGGTGCGGTGCCATTAATCGAAGGTATGTTTGAGCAGGCAGGCAGGCCTCGGTATTGACTAGGATTAGTGAACGTTAAACGATGTCGACAGCGCTGCAACGTCCGTCGCAAGACCGGAGATTAGAGCGCAAACAAGAGACTTCGAAAGACCTCGCTGAGCGCTGTAGGAGAGTATGCAGAGCGTGCCCTCAAATATGCGTGCAAAAGAATTGCTCCTACGCACAGCCCACAGTACAATCAAATGGTACATATCGTCGTTAAAGCCTGTTCGGACCCGCGGACTCCTCTTGACAGATGCAAGCAGGCAGGGCGGAGATCATCGCAGCGCTGACAGCATACATGCACGGGTTGTTAGGTTTGCCGACAAGAGCTATGCGAGTTAGTCTGACAGAAGAGTCGAGAGCTTAATATGTCACGCACCCGGTTCGCGAAGATTTTGCAGGGCACGTTAACTTGCTTGACTTGCACGGTAGCCTTGTAGAGGCGGGGCGGAACAGTCGGCAGATTTCATCACACTCACGCAGAAAGTATGGCAACAGGTATGCTATTGGAACAACGCTGTCAAGACATGACATATCGAGTCAGCGATCGTCTGCCATGAGACGACAAGACATACCGGTGCCACGGATTAGTTTCACTACTGATACACTGGTAACGGGAGGAGACAGAGACAGGCTTGGAGAGAAGGAAGCAAAGAGAAAGGCATCGCCATTTTGGTTCAGCCACCAAGAGGAATAAATACATAGACGAGAGGCTTTCACAGAAAGATACAGTACAAGGGGAGACGTAATAAATAGGAGTCCGTGCACACCGCTCGACAATGCGTCCTGACGCGTTGATCGAGGATGCGACCAGGATAAATAGTTCAGAAGAACGAGGTCAACGTCAAAGGGAAACAGAAGAGAAGTAGAAAAGTAAAAGTAGTCCGAACAAGAGGAATAAAGTACAAGTACAAAAAAACTGTCTGGCAAAGGCAAAGTCAAAGATTCGTTGGGGGTATACTGTGCTTTTGTCGAGCAACGCACAACCTACGGATCCGCCACGGAGCCGGCGGCCTCCAAATTGTCTTCCCGCACGTACACGGAGATGTCCTCACCTCGACGACTCCTACCTCTCTCCTCACGCCTCCGAACCGGAGGAACAACAGGCGAGACACTACGTCTACGCCTGTGCGCACCTAGCGCAGCATCCACCCCATTTTCATCAGCTCCATCTAACAGGTCTAACAGATTCGACTCACGATTAACACGACGTCCCAGTTCCATCGACCTAGCCAGGTCGCGAAGGTAAGCAATCTGTACACGGCGGCGAAGTGCACGACTCCGGTCGCACCCTCCGTCGGCACTAGTATGAGGGGCCGACCGACCATTGACCTGCCGAAACGGTGTATTGGTGTCAACGTCAGTCTCCCGAGGACGAAGAACCGAACGACGTAGCTCGTTGTGGTGCCCATTGTGCGCCGGACCCGACGCTTGAGGGCTGGCGCCTTGAGTGCTCCTTATCGTCTGTGTGTATACACGGGGCTCGGGGCTCGGAGCCATGCTGCGTACGTAAGGATGATGCCCGTTGGCGGTCTGGGAGGTGGTGGCTGGTGCAGAGGGTGACGGTCTGGCGATCGTACGAGACGCGGCCTGGGAACGGATTCACGAGGGCGGGTCGAGCGGGGTCGAGCGTATTGCATTCGGGTCGGAACGCACGGAGTCGTGAATGGTCGATGTACGATGTGTGCCGTCATTCATGGTAGATGATGTGAGTTGATTCTGGCTGATAGCGTTGTGACCGAGCGCGTCGGGGACCTGGGGAGCTCCTGGAACAAGTGACTTTTGCAAAGCTCTGTTTGTCGGACGCACACGCCGAATCCCAGAACGGGCGATAGACTCTCGCAACTCCTCCGTGTGTCGTAGAGCAATTGACTCCGCGATCGAAGCCACCGTATATGCAGAGTGTGCGTGGATGCCAGGTAAGACAGTCCTTGCACTGCTGAATCGCAGGGTGCCAAACCCCATGATGGCATGCCCGCCGCCCGCCATCGCCGAGAGCACTGCGAACTCGACGGACCCCATCTCATACGCAACATGGAGCATGTCAGCGAGCCCGATCGGATCACGGGCCTGTTCCAGGCCTTCATACGCCCAGTATGAAGGCAGGGTGGTGTTGTGCCGGGAGTAGGAGAAGCTGACGAGGGGATGGGATATGTCGTAGAACAGAGCGACGTGGGCCGCGAGGTCGTCCCAGGTAAGGACACCAATGAAGGTGAGTCGGCGGACGTGGATGTCAGGAGTGTCTTCGTCGGGCTGCGCCATTATGATCTCGAGTCGGTTCAGGGTGGCGGTCTGGCGTCGCTGCATTGTGTCCACTGCAGCAGGCGGGTGAGCAGGGGCACGGGAGAACTCGGCGTAGCGATTCGCGGACGAGTTGGGTTGGGCGTGAGTTGGGTCCACTCGTGCACGATTGCGAGCGTGAAAGGTCCTGTCGGGGGTGACTGAGGTCTTGTTGACACGCAGCCGTTCGGAGACTCGCCACTTGCAAGAGCTGCGAGGCAGCGCGATGGGATGTGCTCGTCGTGAGCACGACCCTGCCTGTTGCGGGCTACGACACGCTGGAGCATGACGTATGCTCGTGTCGTCGACGGAAGATCGGTCTCGGCGTCGTCTTGCCTGCGGGAACTGAGCTGTTGTAGAGAGGAACTTCGGCGAGCGAGCGATGGCGGGCGGGAATGCGAGGTTGGCCTGACGTCGCAGTGGAGACTCTCGGCGGTGAAAACTTGAGGTGGCGGGCTCGACGTGAGCAGGAGGCGGTCACGATGGTGCGTTCCGTACGCGGGAGGGGGATACGGGCTGCAAGATTGGCGGCGAGCCCGACGGCGGTCGGCTCGGTTTGTGAAGTGGTCCAAAGTGACTCCACTGACTTCTTCCATGTCGATGGGGATGCTTGTCTCCGCATCAGCGTCAGTAGACCAATTGCATGTTGCGCACCGTCGGGACCACGAAGGAGCTGGGCACAATGCAGCCGCAGCGGAGCTTCTTGGACTGATAAACTGTCACTGTGCGCGAGCATTCTGTACGGATCGGCCAATATACGTTGCACGAACTGCGTTCCAGGAGCATCGAGGGCCCCGGGATCGTTGTTGTTGACCAGTTGAGGAGTGGCCGACCGACGCTCGCTCGGCTCGTTGAAAGGAAGGTGGAAAAGCGATTTGAAGTAACTGATATCTTGACGACGCGACCTCCGTGAACTCCCAACACAGCATCAGTGTCATCCACAAAACCTTCACCAACGCCCCTCCAGCACCGTCGACGCATCTCATGCACACTCGACACTGCACGGTTTGCTTAGAAGACACTGAATATAACAATTGTTGAGGCTTTCGTCGTCACCTACGAAGGCCTCCTGGCCATCGTCGGCGCTGTAGACGAGAAAAGCATCGTCCGTGGGAACGTCGTAAGCCGCCCACAGCCAATGATTGACATCCGACCAGGAAGGAATGGACGTAAAATTGGTTTGAGAACGACTCGGTTGTTGAACAAAAAACGGAACTTGACTGGCACCTCCATGATGACTGCAAGAGACAACAGAGAGGGGCAGAACAATGAAAGATCGACGGTATAATACCCCAGGGCCGTCGGAGTTTGAATTTGGGCATGACTCAGCACCCCATTGTTAGACTCCAGAACGATCGAGAACATTCTTCGGTGGCTCACATTCATCGACATCTACTTAGCAGCTATGTGAGGATAATTGAACTACTGTAAAAGGCCAGGAGGAAGAAGTCGCTCTCTGTATGTATTCATTGATTCAATGTTCGTCATCAAATTCATAGACCACATTGTACGGCGAGCCATAGGGTGTTACGATTCGTTACCGATCCCTCATTCAAGCACTCATGTTATTGGAGTATCCAAAGAGTACTTACATCAGGTTCAACAACTTGAGAGGCGACGCGTTCGAACTTCGTCATGTGAGGGCGTTCAAACTTCAAAGAGGCATGCGAGGATTCGCGTGACGTCATGCGGGGAGCGTGTCCACACATCAGCCTAAGGATAAGCACGTAGGCACGTACCGTCCTACTACGTCCACTTCGAAACACTCACGGCATATTTTCAGATCTCATACTTGCGTAGACTACCTAGTAGCCTAGTAGACAGGATCGGCGGCGAGCAAATCCGACGAAAAGTCGCGGTCATATAACAGTACCATGACATCTGCACTACCTCCCCTCGTTCAGGCCTGCTCCGGAGCACTTGCAAGCGCATCAGCGAACGCCATCTCGTATCCTCTGGATCTAGTCGCAACGCGAGCACAGACAACTAGATATCCTCGTCTCAAAGGTGCGCATCACGCCGTGTCTCGCTTGACGACTACTTTCAACGTTGCTGCGAAGATCTAAGAGGTGCTCTCCGCATATTGAGGCACATCGTCAACACGCAAGGGCTGTCTGGGTTGTATGACGGACTGGCGACCGATACCGCGTCAACGGTACTCTCGAAGTGAGTCGTATTCTCTCTACTTGCGTCTCAGTGAACGAATAACCTGCCGATCTACATAACTACAGCTTCCTCTATTTCTACTTCTACACTGTACTACACGCGCTCGTGGCGCGCAGACGCGCCTCGCGCGACTCTTCCGTCCCTCTGCTCGCCACGCTCAAGAAGGCCATCACGTCGCCGACCGCGCCAGTACTGCTCGGCGTGCCAACAGAACTGGCAGTGGGCTGGATCGCGGGCATCGCGAGCCGCGTAGTCTCGACTCCCCTCAGTGTGCTCACCGTGCGCTTGCAGAGCAGTGCCGACGACGAAGACGACTCGGAGGAACAACCCGCCGACTCGAAGGAGAAGAAGCGGGCGGGACGTCTCAGTCTCTGCGACGTCGCGCGGGGGATCTATGCCGAGCAAGGAGTCTCGGGATTCTGGGCGGGTACGCCGCGCAGCCCATCCACCGTGATCACCACGTCTGACACTCGGACTTCCTAGGCTTCGCCCCGACCCTCCCGCTCTGCCTAACCCCCGCCCTCACCCTTCTGCTCTTTCAACTCCTCCGCCGCATCCGCCTCCCCTACACCTCCTCCTCCGCGACCACTCAGTCTCTCAGAGCCTTCCTGGATGGCGCGTGCGCGAACGCGCTCGCGCTGGCTGCGCTCTACCCGCTCGTTCTCGCGAAGGTGCGCGTGCAGGCGTGGCGGAAGAGGTCGGGTGCGGTGGACGGGGAGAGCGCGCCGACGATGGTGGACGTGTGGCGCACGGCGTGTGCGGAGCCGGGGCGCGGGTGGTGCGGGCTGTATGATGGGCTTGGGGCGCAGATCGTGAAGGGGTTCGTGAACCAGGGGGTGACGATGATGGTGAAGCAGAGGTACGTGGGTCGCGGGACGCATGGTGTTCTCGCTGTGGTTGCTGACCACTGAATTCGCACTGTTAGGATCGAACACGCACTTGTGCGGATGTATCTGCGACGGTGTCAAGACTCGTTACATTGACGCTGTCGTAGCTAGGCCCAGAGATGTGTAAGATAAGAAGCCCTGATTGACACTCGGTACAGAGTCGGGGTGTGCCATACGGGCTCTACGAGCCCACAACTATACACGACCGATTCGGATACTCGGAGACAGATAGGTCGAGATCGCGGGAGTTCAGTCATACAAGCCGGGAATATAGGGTATAGGAGAGGGTGCCCTAGACGCTGGCATTGACTGAAACCCGGTGGGCGACCAAGTTAGCAAATCCTCGCTCTCTGTTCGAGGTGTAGGCTTCTCCACAGGAAGACCAAGTTCAGTCCTGATGTTCAGCTGTTCATGGTAAGGTACGTCGATCGTGGACATGGTGCTATATATCGAATGGCTCCCCGGCGGCGGCGGCGGTGCCCGATACCCTGGAACGATGTTGACTTGACGCAGCTTCTGACGCATGGCAGAGATACGGATGGTCTCCAGCAGCCCGAGCAGCTCTCCTTCGCTAGGAGAGATCGGACGGCTGCGCTCGCACATCTTCAAGACCGCGTCGAGATACCAGTCGTGCATCTGATGTCTGCGCGCGGTCGTGATCTGCAGCGCCAGCGTAGGCGAGTCGACGTGAACCCTCATCATCTGCTTCACAGCCAGCTTGCGCACGCTGTCGAACTGCCACTTGACTGCGAGGTCGAGGACAGCGGCCCACTCCTCGGCCTGCAGGACATCGATCTCCCCGATGGAGCTACCATATGTCGTAAGCATTCAACGTTCGACGAGATGGACACCGCTACTATACCTTGGATAAAGGCATGCGAGCAGGCACGCAAAGTCGGCGCTTTTCGTGCCTTCGAGCAGGATCGGGTTGTCATCGGTACGCCCCTCGTCGGAGTGCATGGAGAACATGTCCTGGAAGACAGGTGAATCACGCTTGAGGAAGTAGCGATGGACGTTGAAGAGAGTCTCCTCGACCTGCGGACAGGAGACACAATCAAGTCGCTATCGGTGAGTGTGCGCGTCCTCGATACTATTAGCTCGTTGAACGTACCAGGAATATAGCGTTCCCGTCGTCGAAGTAGAAGCGGTCGTGTTTACTGGGAGCCATCGGTATGTTGAGTGAGGTTGAATGTGGTGGTATTCGACTCGGATTATTAGTAGGATTAAACGCCTCACCAGCCATCGATGTGAATGTGTTGAGGCATCTAAGGTTTATGAGCATGTCCAGCAGGTACACAACGTGTACGGGGGGATGCAGCATTGAGCGTTCTATGCCATAATTGGTGCCAGACTGCCTTCTCATGAATCCAATCGGGGTAATCCGAACTGCGTGTTTGTCACATCCCCATCGAGTATGCCTCTCGGATATTGAACATTATACAGCCTGAGTCTCTGTGCCGTCACATTAATCGTGTCTAGGCTCACATAGTGTCAAATACCTCGAAGAACTGTACAATCGTTTTTTCGGGCATGCCAGTCAGCGTTGTCAGTATGAGCCGGTCTTTCCTCACTGTGCGCTCGCGTAAGTGCCCTATAACGTATGCAGCAACTGTTCCCAGCCGCCTAGTCTCCGACGGAGTCAAGGGCTCGTCTCGTTCACACAGCTATTTGCCTGCGGGGCCAATGATGCCCGGGAGAGCGAATTGCCGTGCAAGCGCGATTTGGTCCGCCAAAGTGGCAACTTCATAGTCTCCCGTGGGCAGAGTAGACAATTCTTTCAACCTGCGCGCGCTCCGGATATTCTTGTCTAACCAACTTCAGGAAGTCGCTTCGCCGCAAAGCTCACAATGCTGTCGAATTGCCACATGTGAGCGAGGCGGAGGACAGACGTCCACTCGTTCGTTGTTGTGAGCTCATAGTGCGCGAATCCACTGGGGTGGGGCGCTAAGTTCAGTATCCTCGTAGTAGTTGCTGTACGGACAAGAGAGGTCAGACTGACCTAGGGTACATTATGCAAAGAAGCCGCTCGAAGTCCTGCACGCTGATCTGTCCGAGTATGATGGGATTCTCATCTGCGCTGCCTTCTAGCGGCTCTCCCTCGACAGGCTTGCTGAGAAACATGCCTTCAAAGGCACTCGAGTATTGTTGAAAGAAGTAACGGTGCACATTGAAGAGGACGTCTTCCACCTGCGACCCCGGATGAGTGATATGCCACAGCTAGTATCATCAAAGTATCAGAACCTGACGCACTTGGAAGATCACATTGCCGTCTTGAAAGTAAAAACGATAATGCCTTCGAGGCCGGATCGATGCAGTCTCATCGCCGTCGGCTTTGAGCATCGCGGCAGGTAATGGGGGTGTGGATGTGAAGGCAAGTCACGGATCGGATGCATATAACGACCCTAAGGTACTATCATATGAGCGTCGTGCACCGATACAGTTCAGATAGAAGCTACTAGTACACACATACCATCCTCAAGACTTCATGCATATCAAGTTGCAATCGCGAAGCCTTGCGTGAGAAGGTTCCCTTGCATATCCAATACGGCCGGTCGTCTTTGGTCCACAACGGGCCCGGAATATAGCGTCAGCGTGTATTGGGATCAGAAGTATGCCTAGTCTAGGCCTGAATAGATGAACGAGAGACAATGCAAGTTCGACAGATAGATATCATGTAGTACACGGGTGCGCAATCACTTCGAATTCAGCTCCACGGAGACGCGTGAACCAGTGTACACATGCAGATAACGGCCATACTGCTGCTCGTTGAGATATGATGAGACGACAAGTGCGGTACGGCGAATGACAGGGCTAGACATTGCGCACCTCGGCTCTGTGAAGTCGAAGCCCATAGCGCTTGTGCATGGTGTTATCTGGGCAGCAAGGTCAGTGAATGAATGAGAACGTAGGACACCCTAGGCATTCTTACATCAATCGAACATGGAAGGCGGTATGATTTGCGGGTTGGCGCACGCCACGTGTCAACCTGAAGGGCATACAACCAGTCCAGGTCCTCCAGGAGGTCCTCTGCCGGGAGACCAAGCTCAGCCCTGATAGCCTCTCTCTGAGCAACAGAGATGCTGATGGTTGTTAGACGGTCGAATACAGAGAGGTCCTTAGTAGGCCCCGCTCTGTGCAACTTCTGTCGGATGGCCGAGATCCGGGCGGTCTCCAGCGTACCTAAGTGCTCGGCTTCTTCAGGGGAAATTGGGCGTCCGCGCTCGCACATCTTCAAAAATGTCTGCCAATACCACGTTTCCATGTTATGTCTGCGTGCCGTTGCGACTTGCACCGCCAGCGTAGACGAATGATGTTCGATGTTCGTCAACTTCCCACAACTAGCTCGCGGATGGCGTCGAGCTGCCATCTGACTGACAGATCGACGACTAAAGCCCATTCTTCGGCTAGCATGTAATCGACTTGTCCAATGATCCTGAATGCTCATTGTCAGTACGACTGGTCACTTGTGTATCATGGAGCATACCGTGGATAAAAACATGCCAATAGGCTCGCGAAACCGAGGCTGTTCGTTCCTTCGAGCAGGACAGGCTTGTCGTCTGACTGCCCCTCATCCGACTCCATAGAGAACATGTCCCGGAAGACGGGCGACTCGCGGACCAAGAAGTAGCGGTGGACTTTGAAGACTTTATCCTCGACCTGTAAGTTCGATGATCGGGTCGCCATCCATGAGTATTCACGCCACGGTGTTTCAGTGTTGGTTCTAACGACGTACCAAAAAGATGATATTCCCGTCGTCGAAGTAGAACTGATCGTGTCTCGTGGGTGCCATGAGACAGTCGAGGGATACGGCCTGAGAACGAGTGATGAGTCCGCAGAGGTACAAGCTTATAAGACGGAACGGTCCGATGCCCACCAATGCGGGCTGACACACGCACATCCTATTGATGACATGAAGTTCAACTGGGGAGACAGCAGGTTGGAACGTGTTCGGAAGGTCGCAGTGCTCAGCCTATCTCTGGAGATCTCTGCCAACTGTGAACATCTATCATCGTCAGAATTGTACTCACGGATTCGGTCACTGGTGTGCCAAAATCACAGAGCCAATGATTTGAGATATCCTGCTACAGAAGAAAGGAGCAACAATGACATTTCATCACAACACGCGACCTATGATTTGTCCAAGGCCGCGAAAGCCTCCGTAATCTTCTGTTCGTCCTTTATTGATACCGCCTGATTCTGCCATTTCGTCCTATATCCTTCGCGCAATGACCATATAATATGGGCGGCGTCCACACCCAGTATCTTTGTCTCCTCAAGAGACAAAGGCTCGGCTCGAGCACACAGCTGTACGCCCGCAGGTCTGATGATGTTGGGTAGATTGAACTCCCGCGCTAGAGCGATTTGCTCTACCAGAGTAGCGTAGCTAGGCAGCCAGTCCGCTGCGAGTTTCACAATGCTGTCGAACTGCCATCTGTGTGCGAGACGAAGAACGGAGATCCATTCGTCTGTGGCTCCTAGCTGCCAGGCATGAAACGCACTGTGTACAACAGCATAATTCACCGGGTGAAGAAGCCTCCATGCATGAACTGGACTCACTCTGGATAAAACACCTGCAATAGCCGCTCGAAATCCAACGCACTGGTCTGCTCAAGTACGATGGGCACGCAATCGGCGCTCCCTTCTAGGGGCACTCCTTCGGTAGGTTGGCACAGGAACATGTCGTGGAAACCTTTTGAGTAATGCTCAAAGAAGTAACTGTGGACCTTGAAGAGCACGTCTTCCACCTGCATGCCAGTGAATGGTTTCAGCATCGATATGGCTTGGCACGGTTCCACAGTAGACACACCTGAAAAACGACAGTTCCGTCTCCAAGATAGAATCGCTCGTGCCGATGGGGAGAGGCCACTGCAGCATTCATAGCCGTGAGCAAAGTCGTACATACTACACGCATGTCTGACGACTCGCGATCGGACAATGCGCTGAAATCATCACACTTAACTAGTTCAAGGCAACTGGATCTTTTGATCTCAAGTACGTATCTCAGGACAGGAGAAAGATGACAGTGTATACAGGATTCACAGTTCAACGTAGTACAACTCTGGGTGCATGCAGTAGATGTTCGAGTAGTTCGCAGCGTGAGCAGCTTGAAATAAATGAGCGCTAATAAGCGTACTCTGTCACGTGGCCTGAAATGCCCTCGACTCCGAGTCTCGAGACGACGAGAAGTCCGTATGCTTAGCCGCAACGTACCTCTCTGAGTCTCTATAAGTATGCTATTATCGTCTGCATGTTCGTCCGAACGCCTGGACGAGCCGGAAATGTCCCGCAGGGCTGTCGGTTCCAGTGAGTCTGACGGTCAGCAGCACGTGAGTCTCATCTCACACGTTCGCATGCCAGAGGATAGCTCTAAAGAGAACCTTATTTCAATGCCGGTATTTTGTCATGCCAACTTGGATTGACGGTACTTATATGAGCGGTCCTTTGCCCCATGGTTCTCCTCTAGCTCCTGCCACTACTATGCAAACTGCGAAGCGCAAGAAGAGTACCATGGCTACATCAGAGTCGCTTCGAAGGCATGAACGTTTCTATCTCGAGGATGGGAACGTCATTTTTCAGGTACATACAAGGGGTATTCATCCGTCTTCATTAACCCTGAGACCATGTACTTTCCAGGCTGAGAACGTGCTCTTCAATGTGCACCGTTTCTTCCTGAAGCGAGGCTCCCCAGTGTTCTCTGACATGTTCTCGCTCGACTCGGACGAAGGGCGATCTGACGATACCCCCATCCACCTGCAAGGTACCGCCGCCGTCGACTTTGAGCGATTCCTGTCGTGTTTGTATCCCAAGTTCGTTGTTCTCTCGATGAGTGTCATCACTAGTGTCATCGCTATGTCCGCTCATTACGTCTCGACAGGAAAATGTGGGAGGTTGACGACATGCCGTTTGGCGCATGGGCGTCGGTACTCAGTTTTGCCATGAAGTGGCAGTTCGACGTCATCCGCGATCTCGCTGTCACGCATCTGAAAGATATCCGTACGGATGCTCCGACCCTCGCCGGGCAGATCGCACTAGCAAGCAAGCACCAGCTCGATGGTTGGTGCTGGGAGGCATGCCTGAAGATCTGCGAGCGCGGTTCCCCCCTGACGGAAGAGGAAGGGGCGCAGCTTGGTCTTACGAAGACCGTTCGCATCTCTGCGATCAGGCAAAAAGTGCGCAGTCAAGGATCGAGCGGAGGATATGATAACGTCCGCATTGCGCTGGAGGACTATGACAAGGCCAAGAAGGAGCTTCGAGATGGAACGGAGGGGCAGTACATGGGCGCACAGGCACGCAGAGGCAGCCGCACGTTGAGGGGCGCCACCGTTACTGGCGGTGGATGGGGATCTAGTACTATTATCAACGACGGTTGGGGTGATTTCTAAGCCGGGGTTCGACAGCAAACGTTACAGCTACGTAAGTACTGGTATTGACCATACTGTTTCCATGACCTCGAGCCGCGTAGTGGCTCTCGCAATGTTCGGTTTATCAACGACAATTGTCTCGAGAGATGTTCTGAGCGAGAGTGAAACAGCGGGTATGTACACCATTTTGCAAAACCGTACTATGATTTTGAGAACAAACGTGACGCGAGGACGATTCTCTGCAGACAGCGCAATCCAAATCCTCAGGTATCTCGAATAAACGAAATCGATCGTGATCATCGCGGGGGTCCACTCTAAGCGTCCACAACAGACGACCTCACAGCTTAGGCTTAGTTGCCTGCTGGGCGCGCAAGCGATCACGCAGCACCCTGCGCAGGAGCTTCCCACTCGGGTTACGCGGAATCACGTCGATAAACTCGACGCCGCCCGTGAGGCGCTTGAAATGCACCTTGTTGTCCGCCACATGCTGCAACCGTAGTGAGTACGACGACGTCCAGCGCTCAGCGCCCAGTAGTTTCGGCAAGCGAGACTGACCTTGATGACCGCAGCCTTGATCTTGTCTCCCTCCGCAGGGTCCTTCTTGATCCGCTCATGCGCGTCAGGGCTTGGGACGATGAACGCGTAGGGCACCTCTCCACTGTACTCGTCTGGCTTGCCTACGATGCAGACGTCGGACACGTCCTTGAGCTCGAGGATATGGCCCTCCAGCTCCGGAGGCGCGACTATGGCGGACAAAACGGGTAAGCAAAGGTTTGTAAGGTACATACAGGTTCTGACCGACCTTGGAAGCCCCTGACCTTGATCAAATCCTGGCAAGGAGAGGTCAACACGACAGGGTAACTAGGAACAAGTGCCTACAAACCTTGATACGGTCCACGACGAACAGCTCGTTCGCATCATTGACATATACCTCGTCGCCAGTGTGGACCCATCCGTCCCTGAACGTCTCCTTCGTCCTAGCAGGGTACACATGGTCAGTACATCAGTCACCACGCACGCACAGCGACGACTGACGCTTTCTCGTTGTTGAGGTACCCGAGCGCGTTTGACGGGCTCTTGACGACGAACTCGCCCGTCTCGCCGCGGGGCGCAAGGCTCCCGTCCGGGCGGACGACCTTGATGACAACGCCGGGGAGCAGCCGGCCCGCGCTTCCGGGCGTGCAGACGTGCTGCTCGCGCTGCGGGAACGCGATCACCGTGCTCGTCTCGGTCATACCTCAAGGCAATGTCAGGCGGTCGCAAGCTGGGAAGGCCAGGGGGAGCGCACCGTAGCCCTGGCCGATCCGCACCTTCGGGAAGAGCTTCGCGAGCTGCTGGGTGAGCTCGGCGGAGAGCGGCGCCGCACCGCTCGCAACGAAGTGCAGACTGCTGAGGTCGAACTTCTTCACGGCGGGGTGCTGCGAGTCGCTGTGGGCATGTGCGTATGGTACGACAAGAGGTGAGCGCACCTTGCAGAGAGCGACGATCATGGGCGGGACGACACTGAATAGGAGAGTTCGTGAGACGCGGTACGCGAGAACGAGAGTATACATACGTCAGGAAGTTGATGCGATGACGCTGGATGCTGTTCAGGAACGCGAGGAAGTCGAACTTCGGCGTGACAACTACGGTTTGCTGCGAGACGTAAGCCTATGCCAACTCGACCCAAACGTGATCACACTCACTCCGTAGAATGCCTCGAAGTGCATGATGACCACGATCCCATATATATCTGAGGGACCGTCAGGTATGTATCATCGGCTATGGTGGGCAGCGCAACGTACGGTAGAACGGCAAAACTGCAGCAAAAAATGTTAGTCTCGCCGACTCTCTGTCAATGAGCGCACTGACCCGCGATGCCGACATCCCCAGGTCTTATCTTCCGCTGGTGGGGTGGAAGGGTGTCCGCCTGGCAGTAAGACGCGATCTGGATGACATTCGAGATCACGCTATAATGCGGGATTTTCACAGCCTTCAACGCCGGTCAGCTTCTGGCACGAGCGCCATCTGAAGCACGTACCTTCGGCAGCCCCGTCGTCCCGCTAGAGAAGCTCAAGAACGCGAGCTTTGTCTTCGCCTCACCCTTCTTGAGCTTCCTTTCCGTGAACGCCTTCTTCGCCTTCGCACCCTCAGCGACGAGCTGCGGCACCGTCGCGAACTGCGCTCCCGCAGCCTTCTCCTTCTCGGGAAGTGACTCCAGCAGGACGATCCGGTCGGCGGGGAGCTTCGCGATCTTGGCGGCCTCGAGCGCGACGCTAAGATTCCAGGGATGCACGACGAGTAGCTTTGCCTTGGTCGTCGTCAGTGAGTGCACGAGCTCCTCCGCCGTGTACGAAGGGTTCGTAGCGCTGTGTAGGGGGTATCAGTCAAGGAGGGATGCTTGAATGGGGACAATACTGACGTGATGACGGCACCGAGGCGGAACGCGGCCCTGGCGTCTCCTTCAGGAGGTGGGACTCGGAAGAACAGCTTAAGACGTACCAAATCACAATTGGGTAGTCTTACATTTCGGTGAGCACACGGACCAGTCAAGTATGAGGTGTACTCACCGACGTGGTTCGGACTGAAGATGCAGACTAGACGACGTCGCAACGACTGTCAAGCGGGTGTCAATCCGGTGAGTAGAGACACGCACCCGCGTCATCCTCGCCTGAATACTAGAATGAAGACCTGCACCGAGCGCTACCGTATGACGGGACTCACCAAGCTTCCATTTTGAATGTAAGGCGTTGGCCAGCGCGTTCGTGCGGAATTTGACCTGCCAACAGTTGAATCAGGTTCATCCGCTTCGGCGCGAAGGGGATATTCAACTTGGTATCAGTGCTCACCTCGTCATATTCCACTTTCCTGCCGCTCTCGTCCTCAATGTACCAGGGTCGATGATTCGGTGGCACTGGACGCGTCGAATGCTGGTGATCCAGCATGAACTGCACGATGGAGAGGTCATCTGGGATGGGCGCAAGGTTTCCGGTACCGTATATCTCAGCCATTCTGGGTGCAGTCTCGAGGGAGAAAGAGCAACTCGAGGTCGACGTGTCGACGGCAAGGGTGTTGCAGGGTGTTGCCCGGGTGTTGCTTAACATATTGCCTTGGTGAATCGGTGATCTGTAAAGCCGATTTGAGAGTGGTATCAGGTGCTTCTCGGACACGGAGGAACCAATGTGCCCTGCTCAGGCTTGGCTCACACTGCTCAGGCAATTTCACGCGTCGTCGAAACGTCGAGTACTTCAGTGTGGCAAGCTCTGAGTTGGCTCGTACTGATTCGCGCAGAACAACACTCATGTGTTGGTACACCGCGCACATACTAGTATATATTTGATTATAATGTCCCGGTGCCCGATCCCATCTACATTGCAGATCTTCTCGGCATACTTACAAGTTTGCCTCCTGAGGACAACACGTGTGAGGAATCCGGCTCGTCGGCGCGTTGGCGCGGGTGGGCGTAGCGTCGGCGAGGTCGGAAACACACGGGAAGTCGATAGTCGGACGCGGACACAGGTGAGTAGGCAACGTCCTCGTATCGAAGCTTGGGCATTTGCCCGTCGTAGGTACTGTATTTATACATGAGTGAACGTGGACCGAATCGGGCGAACCAGGCATATGATGTAAGCGAGAAGAGTCAGAGAACAAAGGACGAGTGGCAAGCTGTGGCACAGGTCGCCACTCCGATGCCACTCCGAGCATAGCATGTACAGATTAGGAATGGGTCTATAACGAGTCTGCGGCGAGTCAGGAAAGAGAAAGGAAAAGGAAAAGGAAAGAAAACAATATATCTATTCGGACGAGCGTCGGGCGCTCGTGCGATGTATCCCGGCGCTAGCGCTTACGCTTACGCGTCCCTTACATTCGCCCTCCAAGACTTGTCCTTGACAAGTCTTCAGGAGCGCCGGGTACATCTGCGTGCGCGACGCGTCAGTCATTACCATCGCCATCACTTCAATAGTGAAAAATCGAGTCGGCGTCCTCGAAGTCGCGCGGTGCGTCCGTCCTGCCCTTCGCGGCCTTCACGTTCTCGCGGCCCTTCTGACATGCAGTCTGCATATGGACGCGGACCTGGCAAGGGGAATTGGACGACGCAATCAGGGGATTGGTCGGGATCTGCGCCTGTCCGGTGTGCCAGCACTGCGGATGACCAGTATCAGACGCTTGGAAGGCAGTGTCAGGGAAGAGCGAGGTGAGTCCGCTATCGATAGCTTGCTGGTCGCTGAACATCGCGCCGTCGACGCTCTCAGGATGCAGATCGCGACTCCACCGACTGTGACGACCATGACGGCGACGGCGGCGGCGTGCACGCGAACTAGTTCGTGGATCCATCTTGGGACTCCTAGCCGCGTCGCCTTCACCCTGGTCACTACCCCCACAAAACCCTGAAGACCTCTGAGTCATCGCGTTCACGTCAGTGAGCACGCCTCCAGATCAAGCTCCGAGTTATCACGTCGAGCGTATTCGTACAGGATGTTCGAGTGAGCATGTCGAGAATTGAGCTTGTCGGTCACTGCAGGTATGCCAGTGGAAACCACGCCCGCAAATATACTCAACTCGCAGTCTGAGTCTGTTATCTCCGAATCTAATTCAGACGCGAGGTATTCAACATCATCAACATCAAAAATTTGTGCCGAGCTGGCTTCGACGGATGGTGCATTCATTTCCTCGCGTTCAGGACAGTTTCGCGCCAGATGCCCTATCTCTTTACAGTTGAAGCAACGGCCCTCAGCGCGGAGGCGTTCATGCTCCTTGCGACGCATCTTCTCGCGGCGCTTCTTCGATGGCTGAGGTCGCGGTTCTTGCGAGTTTTCACTCTGTACGTCACTATCTGCCCCGCCGTCGTCGTCGATCTGAGCTGCCTCAGCTCCTGACTCGTTGTTGTCAGACTCAACATCACTCTTTGGTGTTGACAGCTGAGAATCATTAACCTGACCTCCAAACTGGCTCTGCCAGTGAATCTCCGGTACAGGCTCTCCAAGCTTGCAGTTCTCCGTCAACTGTGCCAGGTGAGAATCTTCTCGTCTCTTAGCGTGCTTGACTAACTTGTCAATCTTCGCTACCTCGGGATCCAGACCGCGCTCGATCAAGTACAGACGAAGGTACTGATGAATACCGGCCCAGAAGATTTGCACGAGCTGTCGAGCGGTTACATCCGGGAAACGCGAGGAGAGTCTCTCGATTTCTCGCACAAAATCGCGGACCTTCTGATCTTGACCTTGCTTTGCAGCCATCAAGGTCTCACGCAACTTGCGTTTGAAATTGCCCGGGAAGCAATACTCGAACAGTGCCTCATACAAGGTGCGCAAATCCCATTCGTTCTGATGCAACGCGACGTGCTGCATGAAGAACTTGCTAGGCTTCTCCGACAGAAAATTGACAATTATCTTTAATGTCAGCCGGTCATCCAGCCCATGAAGCTCACGCCATGTCTCGACTTCATATACCCAGTGGTCGAAGACGTCTAGGTCCGCCTTTCCATCCCAAATGAACGGTGTCTTGAGCTTGATCCCAGAGATCGCTCGGTGGAGCCGCCGGGCGTTCGCGCGGTGTCGCTGACGGTGTGAGCGTTCGCTCGGAGTACGGTGACGACCTCCATTTGATCCATGGCCAGGTACTGATATAGAGCTTCTAGTCGAGCTATCTGAGCTATCCGAGCTCGATCCTGAGTTATCTTCGGAACTGGGAGGGTCAGGAGGACGACCGCCTCCTTCCGAACCTCCACCAAATATAGTTTCACCGAAGAAGCCGCCTGCGGGAATTTGTGAGTCCTCGCGTTTGAAATGTGCGGTTGTCCTTCCCTTCTTAGACTTACTTCGCAGCGAAGTCTGTGGTTCTTGGACACCATCTGGCGAGTCTAAAGGTCGGTCACTCCGATCATGCCGAGGCAAAGAGTGCTCGGGTGGCGCACTCTCCCCTCTGACGAATTCACGCAGGAACCTTTTCTGTGCCTCGTCACGGCCGCCGTGCTGTACCCTCTTCTTCGCATTCGCAGATCGTTTCTTACCCACAGAATGATCGTCGTCAGTCTCGACGATCACTGCATTCACGGAAATGCACAATCCATTTGAAGAGCTCGACTCGCCCTCCGCTTCAAATGTTACGAAGTGTTCATTGTACGACACCAGTCGGGGCTTGTGCTCGCCTTCCGAATCCATACAAGATGAGTAGTGATGTATGGTGCATTCCTTTGGGCTGCCATACATGCTGACCAACAACTCGAAGTCATCGAAATCCATTGGTGCGATCACCGGAAGCTCAGGTAACCCCGATGTCAGCTTACATTCAAACGGGATATTGCCAAGCAAGTTCTCCTCCGTCTCAAGATCGCACCAGTCCACGGAACATTGATTATGATGTTTGTGAATGTCGGTAAGCATCACCTCTTTCTGCCTGCCTGCACTGCAGGGCACGGTGTTCCTTGGTCCCAGAGGGCACCCCTCGCCCTCCAGACCCTGCCGTGTACTATTCGCGAGCATATCGCTTCCTTCAGGCAATCCAATCTGGTTACGGATGATAGACCACTCTCCGAGGTCTGCTGCCAGACTGCTCGGAACGTTCCGTACACTGGTATCCAGTTCATGCACGACTTCTTCAGTCGGCATTGTCCCGAGCCTGAGAGGGCTCGGATCATCGCTCTTCGGCGAGATCGATGACGCACTGCTCTTCGTCGCAGTGCGTAACTCAGCATGACGCTCCATGTAGCTCTGTGGCACTGGAGCATCGCATTGCGGCGAGCTCGACAGCGACTTACACACGTCCGCGGCACTTGTCACAGTACCCGGGTAAGTCTCCCTTCGAGCTCGTTGTTCGTGAGCGGCTGACTTTTCAACATCCTCAGCGAGCCCATCACAAATGTTGATGTCTCGCTGGTCAGCGACTCTGGAGTCAGTCGCCATAAATGACGGTGGACCGCACTGCCCGCGGTCCATGGTGAGTCGGATACGTTCGAAGTCACCCGCCATCTCGAACGCTCGGAGCGCGTTCCTTAGTTCGTCGAGGTCGCCTCCGACGTCACGTGCCTCATCCGCGAGGGTTCTTCCCTGCGGATAGGTGTCTTCATTACCGGTAATGTTCTGCATGCTTCTAGTATCACGGGTACCTTCAAATAACACGAAAATTTCGGCGAACGGGTGATCAAGCCGTCGCGCGTAGATTAGCAAAAAATACGAGAGTAAAAGGACAACTCAAAAAATGTGAGGAATCCGGCTCGTCGGCGCGTTGGCGCGGGTGGGCGTAGCGTCGGCGAGGTCGGAAACACACGGGAAGTCGATAGTCGGACGCGGACACAGGTGAGTAGGCAACGTCCTCGTATCGAAGCTTGGGCATTTGCCCGTCGTAGGTACTGTATTTATACATGAGTGAACGTGGACCGAATCGGGCGAACCAGGCATATGATGTAAGCGAGAAGAGTCAGAGAACAAAGGACGAGTGGCAAGCTGTGGCACAGGTCGCCACTCCGATGCCACTCCGAGCATAGCATGTACAGATTAGGAATGGGTCTATAACGAGTCTGCGGCGAGTCAGGAAAGAGAAAGGAAAAGGAAAAGGAAAGAAAACAATATATCTATTCGGACGAGCGTCGGGCGCTCGTGCGATGTATCCCGGCGCTAGCGCTTACGCTTACGCGTCCCTTACAACACGTAAGAATGCATTCTTATGCCTAGTATCCTCGATACAGCATGCGTGACGACGAATCGGTGGTGCTTTGGCGAGATCGCATCCATACACTGAGTACGTACTGGAAATAATTAGGAGTCTAGACCCAGATTGTCCTAAATATAAGTAATTCGGACCGAAACATCACCGAGCGCTAATACCAATACCTTGACGCTGCGCTCAGATGTCCTGCTACTTACAGTACTCAACACTTCACAGCCACTCAGCAAAACCTCAGCATGCGACACTATCATATTGGATGGCCTGCTGGAAACGTGTTTGGAGACTATAGCTATACATCATGAGCCATCTCATGGAAAATATCTGTCAGTGCGCCTCGCACTGCGCAGAGCGCTGTCGTAATGCTGACCTTGCATAGTACCCTTGCCTCCGGTCGGAGGCCACGCAACTACACACCATACGCGATATACATTATAACACGAGTGATCTCGATCATCGGAGACGATGAAGCCCTGTCATCTTCCGGAGCTCTGCACTGATCCGACTGGAGAATGGGGACGAGGTTTCTGCCTTTACTAGTCTCCTCGGGTCCTAACTTGAAACTAGCTCACAACTCCTGTCGAGATTATGCATGGTGCACTTCTATTAACTAGTCACGACTCGCGTAGATGTTATAATATCGATGCTAGCAAGACAATCAGGCAGGATGACATCTGCGGCGTCGAGAACAAGACCTCAATTGCAATGACGTCTCACATTGACTTGAAGGTGGGTGTATGAACATTGATCTTTTGAACGGGTCGTCTGACCTGCAATTGGTCACAGGCACGATGCCCGGTCGGTCATAACCACTCATTTGGGCATGGCCATACACTACTACATACTTGCACCGACAGCGCGTCGAGGCTCAAGACGTCGATCGACCCGTGCGGGTAACTCAGTTCGCCTCCGCACTCATGCAGTAGGACCTTTCACAGCGCCAACCACGTAATATGCTCATGCGGCTAAGTATCTTAGTGCATAAGCAAAGGCGCAGCGACTGAGCGGAGAGCAAGGAACTTGAACTGCGCTTTAACAGGTCCGCAGCCGCCGCCAAACCAACGCGGTGCTATCGCCCTTTGCATACCAAACGCCTCGATCTGAGCTGTGCTTCGAGCCCCGCGGTCCGCAGTCTGCAATACGATCGATCAATCCGAGGCTCGAGCACAGGGATCGAGGAGGACTTTGACACGCTCCTCGACCAGCTGCGCGCCCGTGCGCAATGCCGCGCCCATCCATGCATTCCGACTGGTCCGCTCGGGGGCAACACACTCTGTGCGTATTATTCTTCACGTAACTTGCTGCGCGACCAATACGCGACTGACATGCGCGCTCTAACTGAACAGCACTAATGAGAAGCCACAGGCACACATAGGAGTCCGCGTATAAGACCGCGCTTTCCGCCGCTTTCTCGCCCCACAACCCCTCGCCCGTCTTCTCTCACGAAACCCCACCGCGATGTCGTCCATAAACTACGCTAAAGCATATGGCATTGAATCCTTGGCCGGCGCGATCATCTTCACCATCATCTACGCCCCATTGCTAGCATTCTATATCTTCCAGGGCATCCGCAGACGGACGCGTGTGTACGTCGTCCTATGCCTCTTCTGTCTCAGTGAGTACCCTACCAGTTCGAAGCGCGTCGCGACGAGCACTCACCTCGCGATCTTCAGTGCGTGTGGTCTCGTTTGCTCTGCGTTCCGCGTTAGCAGGATCGACGGCAGCTGCGACCAACGAAAATGTTCTCATCGCCTACGAGGTCCTCTACAACATAGGTTTCTTCGGTGTTCTTTATTCAGCCTATACCCTTGTCCTTGAAAGGTGTGCTCTTTCACGAGTTAGTAGTCCTTCCAACTCACTCACTCATCACTGCACAGAGAATCTCTCATCGACATGGACACCTTCCTAGTATACTGCCCAGGGCCCCTCCAGCTCATCTTCCGCCTCACTCGCAGACGGTCGCTCATCCGCATCGTGCTGATGGCCGCCGTCGCCATCGGCATTGCCGGTGTTGTATGTCCCGCGTTCCCCTATGCTCCCTACGTCATGTCCCTAACACAGTCGCCCGCTTCAGGTGGACATCACGAATGCCAAAACACAGGCAGACTTGAACCAGGCACCACGCTCCGCAGCGCCAGCGTGTACATCTTCCTCGCCGTTACCTGCCTGCTTGTCGTGCAGGCCCTCGCGTTCAGCTTCGCGACAATGCGCACGCTCGGTGCGTCCCCTGCGCCACATCCCAGTTACCCCGTTCTGACCACCTTCCAGCGAAGAAGCCGCGCGGCGGCGGCGAGCAGCAGTACACCGGCATGAGCACCTATCGCGCGTCCCTCGGTGAGACATACGGCATCTTCATTCTCCTCGTGATCTCCGCGCTCCTCCTCGCACGGGAGGCGTTCTACGCGGCGACGACGCACAACACGGCTCAGGTATGGTCCACGCTCTCTACGCGCATAATCTATCTGACGCGGGATGGTGCAGCAATCGAACGAACACCTGTGGTACCCCCTGTCTGCGCTGACGGAGCTCGTCGCGGTCGTGCTCTTCGCGGTCCCTGGCCTCATCCCCGCGCATGACGAGCTGCCGCAGGAGGAGCGTGAGCTGAACCTCCTGGCGTGATTGGTTGGCGTTGTGCGAGTCCCCGTCTAGTTGCCCGCCCACGAGGAATGAGGCTGGCTGTTCGTGTTCGTTCAGATGTATACTAAGAGTGTTGGCTTCGCCTTAGCTAATGGATAGATACCCCTAGTGCTTTGAGTAATTATAACGCCCCATTACGACTGAAAGATTGGCGCTGTCGGCGGTGCGCAACTCGTCTCTCCAATGGATGATCATGCAGCGGCTTTCTTGCACACAGTATGTGCTCTTCGCCAGTGTGCCATTAAGACTCACGAGTCAGAGCTTCGCCCGCCGTCCTCATGATCTGCTACGCCGAGGACAAGCAAAGGGCCCCATACAAAATGGTTCTTATATAAAGACAGACAGGTTGTCGTCCTAGGGAGAATTATATCACCCAGTATCATCCCATTCCTAGACAAATCTCTCGGCGGGTGTGCGACGTGCACTACCTTCAATTGCGCTCGAGCAGGACAAGGCTCATCAGTGTTCGACAGAGTGTCCTTAACGAACGGCAGTAGACTCATTTGTATGAGCACCACCTAAGTATACCAACGCAAGTCCACATATCATACGAACACCCCCGCATGCTAGTACATGGCGAACCAAATACTTCAGTCGGTGGTAGTAGCGAAGTCGCAAGAATGTCCTTGTTGGACAGTCTGGCGACGTGCACTGCTTGTCCGGAAATCCGGCGGAAATCCTTGGGGATTTCTGCAGAAATCTTCCTGTTGACATCGAGCCTCCTATGTGATCGCGCGATCTCGCGGGATCACCGAGAAATACTCGGAACTTGGCGACGTCTTCGCACCCACCCAAAATTGGGGGGTGAGCTGACGGCACCAGCTCTGTGAGGGATGGGGCATCAGTGACTCTTCCACCTACGGTGCAGAGGTAAGGTAGACTTACATTGTGTTGCTCTGAGCAAGGCTCTACGAGGGTCGAATCGAACCCTAGTAGGCCTCTTCAGCGTTGCGGTGTAGTTTGGTTGCTCGCCCTCTCCCCCCGCCCCAGCCCCGCCCCCTCCCGGGGCGGGGCCTCCGTCTTCTCTCCACCGAGCAGGCAGCTATCGGCTACCAGTACCGCATCGCGCTCAGCTGCACATGAAAGCAATCAGTATCACTAACGGTCGACGCGACGCAAGCACTACTCACAGCTGTCTGGCGCCGTTAGAAAAAGTGAGTTACATGACTGGGGGAGGACACGACGCACGAGGGTTAATATAGCTCGAGGGCGGATGGAGGGCAGGTCATGAACACTGAACAGGACAACGTCCGCGTCTTTCTGAGCACCTGGACCCTCACATGGTGTCCTGCAGGCAAGTCCGATGGCTTCTGCTCGCCTTCTGGTGGACGCGTGACGGGGGAGGTTCTCCGTTCGCAGCATCGAATGACCCAGAAGAGCGTCGCACCACGATAAGGCCGAAGCGGCAGTCTAGATGCCTACTATGTAGTACTCAATGCAGCGGAAATGAAGCCAAGTACCGCCCACAGCTGGCTTCCAGACGACGCTGGCCTTTTAGTGGTGCGAAAGCACGCGCACTTGCAGTCATTGAACGGTTTCCTAGCGATGCTCCAAAAATGAGAGTATCTTTTTTTGGTCAGCTACGGAGACTAAGCGATGCTGTGGGACAGGTTGTAACTTCGAGATACCTGGCGAGAGTTGAGTCTGACCGACATCACCGGGAACAATACTTCGGAATTGGTTGTCGAACATGCAATGAACAACGCTCCTGGTTGGAGAACCGTTTCGGAGTATGTTTGAAGTCCGAAGGTATGCCGAAAATACGAAGGATATTCGACGAACATCGCCACAATTACCAAACAAGGAAATTCGTCGACCGAAAATATAACATCTTCGTCAATCTTTTGGATCCCAAATGTGCTCCGAAACGGTTCTCCACAGGAGTGGTTCCGTTGCATGTCGACAGTCGACTCGGAAGTGCTGTTCCCGGTGATCGTGCGCCGTTCAACGAGTATGCATTACGTAATGGTATCGGCTTCGCGTCAGCTTCAAATGGACACCTTCATTCATGGTTGCACAACTCAGCCACGACCGAGTCATGTACTGCGTTCACGCATCATGCATCATGGTTTGCGGCGGCCAGGGGACAAATGTTTTTTTTTCGGCGGACCCAGGCTGAGACCGAAGTCAACAGAGTGAGTATCAGAAACAGATTCTGGTGCCGAGTCAAAGAGACGTGGCAAATTCTTGAGTCTCGAACAGACCGCAGTTCGCAATTCGCTTGCCTAACATTGAGACAAATTCACTTGTCACAGAACACACCGAATCACGCACAGTAACATAGATGGGTCATCTAAGATAGTACATGACGACTCAACAACGCCAATCCCTTTGGCAGCGCGTCTGTAAAGACTACAGACAACCGCAGCTGACGCGATGCGGGAGTCCTGACAGGACTTACGGATACAATCTATCCGCTTGTCGACGAAGTCGACCTCAGACCGGCCTACCGAATCGCGGGTTTCACGACTTGTGTAGGCCACGATTCATATCCAAACGAATGTTAAGGGCAGGTCATCTGTGTCAGCGGAACAGCATCCGTGAGTACCTGGGCCCTCACACGATCTCCTGCAGGCTGGATGGCTTCTATTCGCCTTGTTGTTGACTCATCCGGTCCTCCGTCTGGGAATCGTACCACGATAAGACCCCAATAGCAGGCTGGATGCCTGTCCGGTCGGGCGGAAATGAAGTCCTACCTTCCATAGCCGTCTTCTAGACCTCAATCAGCGGCACAGAAGCACACACGGCGTTTTCGCACAATACGCAGTCAGTTTTACCGAACCACGCATAGTACATGATGTGACAACACCCTTCCTATCCTTGTGACGGCACTCGAAGAAGCTACATAGGCGCATCCGGGCCCACTGGAGGCGTTTTGACAAAGGTGGGGTTGTCGACGTCCGAGTCCTGGGTTACTTGATTTGCATATTCGAGCCACGACCGATCGCGAACGGGACAGGCCATGGCCGAAAAAAATGGCCGAGATAGGACGAGTCTATGTAGGACTCGCCCCTATCATGGTGAAGGTGCGCAATTCGCACAAACACCTTAGCAGCAGACAAATTTGTTGCCTACACACGAGTCAACTTCCGAATGAACTGCAAAACAGACGTACACATACAAGCTACTATGCCCCCAGCGGCATCTATCCACACATCAGTACTGAGGAGGGATATTGCACGAAGAGGGTCAGACGGCCCATGCAGTTGATTGGCCCTGAGATCACGCCAATGGCTACTGCACAGCCTGCCCGACGCACCGCTCTGGGGTTGAAGGTTAGCGAAGTCAGCAACGCATCGAAATCAGATACATACGGGCGGGGTGGGTTAACTTCGCCCGCTTGGACCACTGCAAACGGGATGAAGGCCAAAGAGAAGTGCAGAGAGAAGGGGAACGACTTAGATGGCGGCTTTAGGGCAGGTTGCGGTCCGACCGCATGTACGCATATATGCGCGCCTTAGCAGCTTGAGATTGAGTTCATAGTACACGCCGCCGGCATGAGCGTGACTATGACCGGCGGTGCGCGCAATTGGTCGGCGAACGTCCCAGAAGGACAGTCGGACTCGGTGATCTTGCAAGCTTCAGGCTGAGCCTACGTGGAGATGACGACGCACTGTAGAACGGAAGCTCTGGAAAGGGGTTGAGGAAGACTTTTTCGATTCATGCTGAACGCTGAAATGATTTCAAGTCTCGAGATACAACAGTGCTTACTTGTCTTACATTGCGGTTACAGTCGTGCGTGCGTAAATGTCGTGTAGGTAGAGCGTCCGCCGGATCCCAGAACACTGATGAGATTTTTCAAAACAAGCCCTGCAGAGAATCATCGTCCAATGTTTTCAAAGCATCTCTCGCTTCCCGCGCTGGTCGTGTGACGGATGGCCTGTCGCTAGACATGCTCTCCAGGACCTTTTGGGCGACGCTGTGCATGAGGCCAAGTGTCTGGAAGACATTCGGTTGGTCCTTGTCTGGTTGATCGTCTTCGTCGGGGGCTACGACGGCCAATATGCACACGGAGGACAGCGCAGACGGCGGTGTCCCGGCAACCATGTTCGCCCTGGACACAAGTTAGTACCTCAGGTACCTTGCAAACGCGAATGATACGTACTCGATGATTGGCCTGAGTAACGAAGGATGCAGCGAAAGAGCAGCGAATAGGGAAGCCACTGCCTGTCTGTATGATTCTGTAACCTAGTCAGCCGTACAATCATGTGGACGACAAATGGTTGACTGACCTTCATGCGTTTCCTTGAACGCATCGTTCACCAGCTCGACGCACGTTTCTCTAGCTTTTTCTCCTATATTTGACCCTGCGTTCTTGACCACTCGCGCGAGAGCGAGAACCAGGCTCCCTGCGATCGCGTCGTCGCTGCTCTTCGCACCAGTGACCAACTCCGTGATGACCGGATCGACACGGGGCTGACTGCGCATGAGCATGCCCAAGGCTTCAGCAGCCTTGTTGCGGACAGCGAGGCTTGCAGGATCGCTCGCACTCTTGACGAACGTGCGTTGCAGCTGGGGGAAGAACGGCTTGACGAATGTTGGGATGCGCTCGAGCATGGTGCTGAGTGCGGTGAGGATGGCGATCTTGACACCAGGCGGATACGTCGTCGCCTGGGTCGCGACACGGATAAGCGGACCCGTGAACGGTACAACGAAGGGCTTGATAGCGCTCTCCTCCGTGCGTTCGACGAGATCACCATAGCATATGCTGCCTGTTCTCGTTGTTCGTTGCTGCCAGTCGTGAGGCCGGCGATGATGATAGGGACAGTCGGCGCAACGCCCTTCGGCAGGCTGAATCCAGGTACGTGTCTGCCAGGAGCGCCTGTGCCCTCGATCGTACGCCGCAGAGGGACGACGAGGGGCTCTAGTTCATCCTTCGGAACAGACTTGACGAAGATGTCGAATGAGCGCAATGCTGCTGTATGCACTGCGACCACGTTGTCATCAAGTAGGGATACCAACTGGCGGATCCAATCGACACGATAGAGTGACGAATCTAGCTCGGACTCCTCGCAAAAGAGAGCGAACAATTCACAAGCAGTGATGCGACGCTGAACCGATTCGTGCTTGGCCCTGCCGAGTGATCGTAAACAAGATGAACAGGACAGGACGCTTAACTGCTCACCATCCTAAGAGCAGGAGCATCAAAGTATTCAAGCCCTCAGCGTCGCAGATAGACGCGAGAAGGGCACGCGTGGCTTCGCTAATGGCGTCCGTCAATTCCTCTTGTTCGCTGACTTCTGGATTCTCCCTCATCTTGGCGAGCGCATTGAGAATGACAGTCAACCGCTTGCTCAAAGCCGTGCCAGCGACAGTCACGAGGGCCGCTAATGCTCGAGCATTGAACACCGTCATCGGGATAGCCGTCAATGTCGGGATCAGAACAGGGAAGACAGTAGAGGCGCGAACCTAAATGGAAAGGCGCTCAGTGGTGCGGAGGGAGAGCATAGACGGACTACTCACTGCCATGACCTCCCTGAGAGCTTGAAGGGCCGTCCCTGAGCTCTGCCCAGGTTGACGCAAGGCTTCCAATAAGGTCGGGATTGTCTGATCAATAGCCTTTGCTCCGATGTGCTCCTGTAGGGTGTCGAAGGCCTTCGCGGCAGCTGCACGAACGTTCGCTTCGTCGTCAACCAAGGCTGCACGGACCATCGAGATGATATCGTCCTCGTGGTCTTCTCGCTGGGTGTCGTTCGTACTCTCCCTAGTACGCCGCACGCATGAGTATGACAGACGAGTCCAGGTACGAACAACTTACATAAGCTCGCAAAGAGTCAGGCAGACTCCTTCCCGTGTCTTGGGATCAGTAGACGTAGATTTCGACTTCAAGATAGACACGATCTCGCCCAGAATCTTTTCGCCAGATTTGCGGCATAGTTCCGCGACTGTCCGTGCCGCCGTCTACGTCCAGAGCATTAGAAACTGATAGAGGCTGATATGTTCATCTCACCTCTTGCTGGTCCATCTCGGGTCCCGCAAGTAGCGATATGACCTGGTTGATGAGTTCGGGAAGTATTTCCCGTACTAAAATCCGGTCAACTGGAGTTCGACAACGTTAAGAAGTAAGGGTCATTCACCTGTCCTCGGGGTATTGTGCACCAAAGCTTTCCAGATATGGATCGATGATTGACGAACGACGTTCACTGCGTCCTGACGAGCGAGATAGAGAGCAGATAAGATCCGGTCTCTACGCTCAGCACCGAGGACGTCTACTAGAGCGCGGCGTGAAGACTCGACCATGGCAGTATCGGTCGCTTCTTCGTCCTCTTCAATCTCAGCCTTACCACTAATACCAGAAACCTTGAAAAGCAGTTCTCCCACAAGGGTGATGGATGATTGCTAGGCCAATGTGAGAAACGTACGTAACTCTCGAATATCCGAAGCACTCACCCGGATACGCCATCCAGAGTCAAACATCCTCGTTCGAGCTCCGGCAGCAGTAGGTCGATGGCTTTGCTGGAGTAGTTTGTGACCATCATCCGACCTGCACGCATGGCCGCATCGCGGACGTAGTCCTCCGAATCTGACAGACCACTCAAAATAGGGGGGATGATCTTCGGAAGATGAGGCTGGAAGCGAGTACCAAACGTCGCTGGAAGGAAGACAAGGAGGGACATGAAGCCTTCCCGCACGGTGCTCCGTGGTGATTGCGCATTTGCGATGATGTCCGGAAGTAAGCCTTCCATCCTTTCCATACCAAGTCCAGCGAGAACCTCGCTCAGGCCTTGGGCAGCTCCTTGTCTGTCCACTCCCGATGTGTCGGTCTTGAGGGTCCGCAGCAATCCAGGTACTAGATCAGGGAAGTGTACCTCACCAAGTCGCTCGACCAGAGTTCCGAGTGCCTTGGCCGCTGTGGCCCTGGCCTCTGGGACTGGGTCAACAAGCACAACATGGACCATAGGAAGCAGTTGGCCCAAGTACGGGACGAAGTCCTTCGAGTCGGTAAGTGAAGCTAGATTGCCGACAATCTGTGCTGCTTTCCTCTTCGTGTCCGCGCTGCGTTCGCGCAGTCCTCTGTCGATGATCGGAACCACCTGACGAATGGTGTGAGTGAATGGACGACGTAGCTACACAATATACTCACCAATGCCAGGGATGAATGATCGATGTAATGGAGGAACGACGTCTTGAGCAATGAAGAAAGAGCATTGGGGGTCCTTGAAGGATCGACCATTGCTTTGAGGAAGACGGGAACGAGAGACTGAATCTCTGGATTACTGATGACTTCGCCGAACTGTTTCAAACTCTTGTTCGCTGCTGTGCGCACTTGCGTATGTGAGTCCGTGAGGACATCCGTTAAGCGAGGGATGACGATCGGCAAGGACTGGGAGAGTTGTCTTGGAGCACAGTACGCTATCATACCGAGCAGCTCAATAGACCCTTCTTCGTGCGCCACTGCTTTTCATCAAGTCCGGAAAGGAGATCGGGGAGAATGGTCTTAACACCATAGCCAGACATATTCGCCATGATCACTCTGCCGCGTCGTGTGTAGCCTCCCGAACGTCGGGAATCGCGTCGCCGAAGGAAGACAAGAGCACAGGCAGGATGTGGATGACATACGGTTCGAAAAGCCGGCCCAGTGTGGTAGAGAGCGTCTCCAACGCAAACATGGGCCTTGTCTAGCCTCATATTGCTTCTTGTCTTCAGCAGCACTCTTGAGACGATCGAGAATGTTGAACTCCTTCATGGCAGTGATACCTGCTCCTTTGACAACACCGGCAAGACCATAGGCAGCACCTCTTCGAGCTGCATATTTCGGCGCATTGAACAGGTCGTGCAGTAGACGGTCTACGAGATCTGGTACCGGTGATTGCATGACTTTCACCAAAGGCGCCAGACAGTCAGACACGGCGATTTGTACTTGTTCAGCGGGTGTCTTGAGCGCCTCAATAAGTCTTTCGACAATCTGAGGCATGCGCTTGTCTGAAGGATCCAGATGCCGAGCAACACGACCGAAGAGGATGACTGTGGCTTCCTTGATCTGGTCTGCAGCCTCCGTAGCGGGGGTGTTGCCGGAGAGTTGAGCCTCAAACATTGCAATGAGTCCCGGAAGATGCGTCTGGCCGTGCAAGTCGATGACCGCCGTTCCGGCATTCAACATGCACCTGCGAACATCAGCATGACGATCACCAAGGGCTTCGTTTTGTATAAGGAACTTGAAGAACGGGTCCACATCACCATCGCCGAAAGCAGGCGCAAGGAACTCAAACGCACGCGCGATTGCGATGCGCGTAGGCCATGGATCAGAGCGATCGAGGCTCTGAGCAATGACCATTCCCTACAATACACGTGAGTCAACATCAGCGACTAGGCAAACTCTGCTCACATATTCGTCGAATTCGGGTGCTAGAACCTTGGCCTGTGATAATGTTAGAAGGGCCGAGGAAACCATAATGTGAAACCCCTACCGTTTCGCGATAGTACTCCTGCAGAGCGTTCAGAACCTCGCTTATCATCTGGGGCCATTGTTCGGTGACTGCTTCAGATAGCGCAGCGGCGGCGCTCGCCCGGACATACGCATGCTCATGCTCTGTTACAAGTCTCAGCGCACCGAATCTCATCACGAGCCGAGAGGCCGACATACCAAGGAACGTTAACATGACTTGAACAAACTTCTCCGGAACGTCCATACCGTTGTCTTCCCATACATGACGAGCTAAACGAGCGTTCTGTTCGTCATCATCGTGACATGCGATCCATATCTCAGGAGACCAGTCGAGATCCGTAAGATCGAACGGCTACCATTTGTGTAAACGTCATATCCGAGATCGTAGGAATGGTGTATCTCACCTGGAGAGTTTGCAAACATGCATTGCGGACGTAGACTTCCTGTTGGAGCGTACCGCGCAGTAGTGTCTGGATCTCGTCGAGCGTCGCAGTCGAGTGCATGGATTGGCCAATGTCGATCAAGGCTGACGAGGCATCTTTCGCAAGTTTGGGCTGATTTTTTATGACATGCAATAGGTGTTCACACGTCATACGGCGAGGATATGCAGGATCGGAGACTAACGAAACAGCATCAGATGTGCCTGCCCGGAAGAGGGGAAAGTCTGCTTACATTCACCAGCGTGGAATCTAATGATGTCCACTGCAAGCGCGACCTGCTCCAGAGGATCGTCGCCTTCTGCTAGAGCAACACCTCCCGTCGTACAAACAGCACTCAGTAACGGCGACGCGTACGAAAATGTGGCTGCGTCGAACGGACTCTGCTCAGACAGAGTTCGCAGTCTGTACAGAACACGGATGACAAGGGCTGCAGAGCATGAGAGTTAGAAGAAAATCTGATAGCAAAGCGGACGTACAGTTGAGCGGCTCAAGCTGGAAGTCTTCGGGTACGCCTTCGACACCAAGACTACGTAGCGTGGCAACGCCAATTTGGCTGCGATATATCTCGAGCCGGTCTGAGCATGCTTGTGCCAATCCCTGTAGATGGTGAGCAACGAGTAAGTAACTGCGAGACGTCACATACCAATATCGCTCGAACAGAGCATGGCCAACCAAGTGCACTGCCGTTCTTGTGAAGCTCCGCAGGAGAACGGTAGCGACGGAGGATAATACGAGCGTAGCTCATTCACGCCAGCAGAGCTGAGACTCTGTACCAGCTTCAGGCCGCGTTCAAGCCTGGCTTTGATGCTGGACACCCTTTTCCGGATTTGCTTCTCCTTTTCTAGCTGCGCTTCAACCAGGGCCTGATCCTGCTTAGACAAAGTCGTGGACGTGGATCCTTTCTTGTTCGCAAGAGATTTTCGGACTTCGGCTTCCCACTGGGCATCCTTGTACCCTTTGCCTTTCTTCACAGGCTCTTCGATCTTCTTCGACGATAGCACTGAGCGTGGATCAGTGAACTGTCTACCGTACCACTGATAGATCGCGTTTACCATCGACATACGTCTGACCCTCGGGGGTGGCCCAGATCGCTAGGTCAGTCTCGCTCAAGGAATTGAGCTCGTTGACGTCGAAGTCACCCTTCAGTTGCTCGACAACGCGGGAAAGGACGGCGTCAGGCGCGACGAAGGCAGCAGTAGTAATTGCGTGGTAGCTTGCGCTTGCATACTCTTCATCTAACTGTAGTCTCGTAAATTAGGAGTACAGGACGCAGCCAATACGACGATGCGTTACCTTCAACTGTGCGTCTGCGACGTTGAGGGTTTCACGAAGTATCTCATTCAATCGTTCGGTAATCAGCTCGTGAGGGTCAACCCGAGACTTCTGGCATAGTTCAATCCAGAGGAGCCGAGAAGTACCACCTGGCTGAAGATTAGCCTCAACCCAACTGAGAAGACGATCGACGTGCCTACGGCTGGATGATGCGCCAGTACCACAAACCTCACAAGGGCTGACTTCCGTACTTGCTCGTCGCAAGCTTCACTCGATGTGACGGAAGCCAGACAGAATGCAGCCAGACGGTCGCCCAGACGGCTATGTACGTCATTCTCTTCCACACTGTCTCGTAGCGATGAACTTCTGCCCTTGAGAAGGTATGTGGAGAGTGCAGATGTGGCAATGCAGTTGACGGCTTCAGGCAGCTTTGCCGCACTAGCTTCCAAGGAGGCGAGGGTCATGCGGCGCACTTGCGAATGCTGGCTATTGCTGGCCAAGTGCAAGAATATCATGCCAATCATACCACTAAAGAATCGAGATGGAATAAACACCTAGGTAAGATATGAACAGCACGGACTACGGACCAAGCTTGCTCGTTCCGCAGCAGCTCCTTGCTGAAATGGGCGAGGGTCGCCTCGGACGCTCGCAGGAGCCACCTCTCATCATCGGCACTGCTCAACTTCTGGTAAACCTTCTCCCACAACAGGAAGGAGGGCTTCGCGCCCGCTGTCAGCATGGACTGGAGCGTCGAGTTACGGGAGATGAAATCGTCTGAAGCAATGTGAGTCAGAAGTAGCCGACATTTAGGAGCAGCACACGAAGCCTCACCGAACTTGCCAGATGCAGCAAACGGCCCAAGCAGCACTGCAGTAGCAGTGTACCCTTCCAGAGGTCCAGTGGCAGCGGTCAGTGGCCCCGAGGATACTGCTTGAGGTTCGTCTCGAAAGTAGGCAACAGTGCGCGTCCCAGAGATTCGGAGGCGCTTGTCGGCAAGCCTTCCAAGTCCCAGAACGCACTCGCGACCAAGATACAGAAGGCCCGCCGAATGGCAGGTTTCGAGCTGTTCGCCTCTCTCACGAGCACTGATGTCGCGCCAGCAGGAATGGCGACATCCTCGCGCAGACAGTGACCTAGATGTGGTGCCAGAGAGGATGAGAGAGCAGATACCGCCGCATCGTGAGTCTCCTTCGCCAGCAACGGCAGCCCACTTTCGAGGATCGCAGCGGAGGGCGACGGCTTCACGTAACCAAGCATGGTATAAAGAGCGACGCGATGATCAGGTCCCGCGGTCTTACTGGCTTTCGGGAGAGCTAACAGCTCATTCACAGCCAAGTCGATGTCGGAAGCTTGTTGTGTTTCCTCGATGATAGCCTTAAAAAGCAGCGTGGCGTTCAACCGGACAGTAGCGTTGCTCGACCTTGCGCTGTTCAGGACGGGTGTTAGCAATCTACGGAACGAGTCACCTTCGATCGCGTGCGGGTATGCCTTGACGAAGTCGGTGACGACTGTGAAATTCGTGTAAGTACCCGTCGGAGAAAGGAACACAGCGGACCCGTACCGGCTAGTGATATCTCAGGTGAGCGTAGAAGGGCCTTGTCCATCGTTGGCAGGATTGCGGTGCCGAAGTCTTCCACGGTCACAAACGTTTGAATGAAGTCGTGCAATGCAGACTGCGTGCCCCTTGAGCCTCAAACCGACAGCATTCTTGCGGCACAATTGCTTACTGTTGTGTGTGGAGCTACTTGTGTCTTGGACATCAAGACAGTGCTCCCGTAGAAATTTAATACGTCCGCTTTCAATGCAGAATCGACCGTCTTTAAACTGTCGTCCTTGACGTTCTTTAGACGAATCTTGACATCCACGCAGATGCCGAGGAGCGGTACTGTTGAGAGTGGGCTCGGACTCGTTTTTGGCTTTGACATCAATGTCTGCATGACTTTAGCAATCGTTCTGGGATGCTAGACGGCACGTTCATTCACAAATCAGACATGTAACGAGTCTGACGACATCACTACCGATCGTAGTGCGCGCCGCACACGAGTCAGAGCACCCTTCTGAAGCGACGACTTGCTGCGAGTCGCCTTGTCGAGAATCATGTCTATGAGGGTGGCCATTACGCCGACGAGAGGCTCCCATGCCGGCTTAGACGTGAAGGCGGGATCGCTCGTGAGCAGACGTCGTAGATACCGCAACACCATCCAAGCAGTACGAACATGTCGGAGGCCGCATGAGAGCTGCAATAGCCGTCAGGTCTTCGCACGCGGGACCACCACGAAGCCTACGCACCTTGACAGTTTCGAGATATGCCCGACTTCATGGGCGAGCCAGCCAACTATCTGCTCTGTCACGCCCAATGGACTCTCCTCAGGCTCTCCCTCTGGCTTGCCCCGCATCTCATCCCTCCGCACGAGCTCTGACCCGACCGTCTCGACTGCCTCTCTGGATGGTGTGTCGACATACCGAGAGTATGTCAATGTCAATAGTTTGAATATGTCGAGTATTTGCGACAGGCTGAGATCTGTAGACAATAATCATAGGTCTCCTCATCACATAGAAGTTACAAAATGCGTACCTCCGTGCTTGGCCATCATCAAGAGCTCTTCCCTTAAAAATTGGGTACGGGCTTTCGTGCTGCTTGTCAGCAGACGACTCCGTGCGACCTCCAAAGCTTTTGCCCAGTCCGTGACGACGTAGTCTCTCCTCCACTGCATTCCGTTGTTCGCATCTCCGTTGGGGTCGCTATCGCCAGGAGCATCTGAAGTAGAGGCTAGCCATGACTGGATATCGGATTTGCCCATTACGCCAGGGGAAGTTTCCCGGGCTATGAGTCGCGCCAAAGTCGCTTTTCGAGGCACCTTTGCTAGTGTTTCTGCGGAAAAGGGACACAGGTTCGAGCAATGGGTAAAGGGGAGAAGTGGAATGAATTGAGGCCTGCAACTGTCAGTGTGACGAGAAGGAGGAGGAGGAGGAGGAGGAGGAGGGTTTTGAAAAAGTCACGTCGGTACCATGGGCGGCTATGTACATACTACTTACACGCGCGCTCATTCGCGGTCCAGCCTGAACTTGACATGCCAGTGGCATAGCCACAAACTGAAACAGTACTGAGGTACATCAGGGTACATCGCCACATCCCTTCATACACTCATCGTCGGTTATTCAACAAAACACAAAAAGTCTTCATCCCGAAATTTGAATAGTAACTTTGGCACTTCGCTCATGGAGTCCAACCCATCGCGGCCCGGGGACACGTTCGATGCCCTCCGCATCCTCTCTGAAGGCCGAGCCTGGTCTGAGCGAAATGAAGCGGTAAGCTATTAGCCCTGCGGATGTTTGGAAGGCCTCACGAATACTTAGGCTTTACTAGAACCGTTCACACATATCAACACGGTTCCGGGCAAGGACATCCGAGGACTCATGCTCACGGCATTCAACCAGTGGCTACAAGTGCCCGCTGACAAGTTGAGCATCATCACAAAGGTCGTTGGCATGCTTCATACAGCCAGTCTACTGTAAGGAGCAAATTCACTATGTCTCGAACGTCTAGTAATCCAGGTTTAGTATAGATGACATCGAAGACGATGCTCAACTCAGAAGAGGCGTACCCGGTAAGACTGCGAGGTCAATCGCGGTCAAGCTGCATCCTTATCCTCGGGTGTAGCTTCGCATAAGATCTACGGTATCCCCCAAACGATCAACTCCGCCAACTATGTGTACTTCCTTGCTTATCAGGAACTGTTTAGTCTGCGGTCTGGCGTTGGCTACTCGGATCCTACCGATGACCAGAGCGATCGCCTCGTTCCCTTTACCGAGTTGGATCGCATTGTGACAGGCAAGTGCTGATCTTCTTGAACGACGTATCATTCAGAAGGCGTTCATCTGATCTCACAGCCGAATTACTGGCCCTCCATCGCGGACAGGGCCTCGAGCTTTTATGGCGTGACTCGCTTCAGTGTCCAACCGAAGAGGAATACGTCAGCATGGTCAACCAGAGTAAGTAGACGTGGATGGGTGCGAGTAAGGCGTAGTATTGACTATGATGATAGAGACTGGTGGCTTATTTCGGGTCGCTGTGAAGCTCATGATGGCATGTGCGGCGAAGAACACTGCTGTGTATGTGTATCTCCTTTACGCGTGCTGACCTCACCGGCGTGCTGACACGCTCTCCCAGCGACTATGTTCCTCTTGTAGATCTGTTCGGTGTGTTCTACCAAATCCGCGACGATTACATGAACCTGCAGAGCTCAACAGTAAGCAGACCAGGACAACTTCGTATTGTTCTTCGCTCATACTCGGTGTCAGTACGCAGACAACAAGGGCTTCGCTGAAGACTTGACAGAGGGAAAGTTCTCCTTCCCAATCGTCCACGCCGTCCGAGCGGACACCTCAAATCGCCAGGTTCTGAGTAGGCGGTCCTTTGTATGTCTATCATACGCACAATTTAATCCTGTGCAGATGTACTCCAGAAACGACCGACGACGCCGACGCTCAAGCGGCATGCCGTCAACTATCTTCAGAACCACACGAAGTCATTTGACTACACCGTGAGGGTTCTGCGCTCGCTGGAGAGTCAGATCAGAGAGGAGATAACTCGCCTGGGCGGTAACGGCGCGCTGGAACAAATCATGGATGCACTTCATGTGGACGAGCCTGCGTGATATGTGAGTACTCGGTGTTCTGGGTCAGTAGCGACAGATCATGTCATATACTATCTCTCATTTATGTGGCGTATTTTCGTGGTACTCGTGCATGCACTAGCAGGTGTTTAAAAAAACCGTAGCGACTAGCATCATCCAGAGGCCTGAGAGTCAGTGAGACTCCTCGAGTTCGGACGGATGAGCCACAAGAGGCATTATTTTAAATTAATTTTGTCCCCGTCATGTGCTGCAATGAGAATCGTACTCCGCAGCCTGCCCTAAAGCTCCCACCTAGGTCGCTCCCCTTCGCATATTGTGTTTCTTTGGTCTTCACCCTCGGAGCGGTCGAAGTTAACCCAGGATCTGTGCGTGCTTCTCCAATGTTTTCTTTGGACTGTCTGACACAGCATATCATTCAGATTCTACGGAACTGGTGCGGGTCGCACGGTCGATTGGCTGCACAGCGGGCGGTGTCGGAGATGCGGGTGTAGATGGACGCTTCGGGCTTGGCCAAGCGTTGCCATTCACCGCGCACGAGTCTCCACACAGTGTGCTCTAGATCAGGAACGGGTACGTTACGATTTGTACTCGCTAGAGGCTATGGTGAGGCTGACGGATGTGACAGGCTGTCCAAGAGGGTCAGCTCGTAGTGTCAATCTCAGTGCGATTTAGTTCCCACTGGGGTTGGCTCAGTACTGGTGATCGTCGTCACTCTCGGATGAGTGATGGGGGTCCCCTGTTTCCCAATTGGTGCCATGCTGCGATAGCGTGGTACTTCTTGGACATCGCAAATCAAATAACCCAGGACATACACAATGACGGCGCTGTCCACGTCAAGAGACCTCAAGTTGGCTCGGGATGGTGTGGTGTAGTCGAGCGACATTGCAGGATAGGATGGCAGCTGTCATGTAGCGCTATGCGTGGCTCAAAAATGGACTGCGTATTGTGCAACTGCGTCGCGTGTGATTGTGTGCGACTGATTGAGCTTTGGAAGATTACCAGGTCAGATAGGTTGTACTTTCCGCTTCACTGGCACCGAAGAAGCCCTGGCCTGCGATTTATGCATGCATTATTACGGTGTGGCGCTCAGGGTTGAATGTCTTCATTGCGAATGGGAGCTCAGGCCAGTGTCGACTATACAGCGCCACAGAAGACATCGGCCTTGCCTGCAGGGTGGTACCTTACCCTCGAACTGTATGAACAGTCCTACGTCTGTTTCACCCCCAGTCATGCAACTCATCTCTCAGATCGAAAACGCGCCAGACAGCAGTACGTACTTGCGATCTCGTCAAACCGTGAGTGATACTGATCGACTCTACGTATAGCTGAGCGCGATGCAGATCTGGCGACCGACGGTTCCTGCTAGGTGGAGTGAGAGAAGGGGACGTCCCGTCCTCCGGTACGGAGGCAGGAGGGCAGAGAGTGGGGTTGAGAGGACAATCGCAGCGCTCAAAAGGCCTGCTGGGGTCACGGTCCGAGTGAACCCTCGCAGAATAACACAACGTGAGTCTGCACTTACATTCCTCCGCTTCACGGGCAGAATCATCGACGTGCAGCGCGACACCTTTAGAGTGACCTGGCAACTGATTCGCGCGCGCGACTTCGTAGGCCTATCTGACGTCGACGTTCGTCGACATACACAATTGTCATGTAGAGGATTTTCTGCCGCCGGCATGTGTCTTTCATTGTAGACATGTCACGGAATGGCACTGTTGCAGACGACATGCGAGTACTTGAGCGTCACGAGTTCACATTATCGCCTTCCGGGTTGAGTATAACGTTTGACTGTGCTTCGGATGCGTCACTACGCATGCGATTCAGCCCCATCCATCAGCGTGGTTCGAATCAGTACGAGTGCACTGACTCCGCACGCAACTTGAAAACAAGTAGCGGAGCGAAGCGCATAACCAAAGTAAGTCCAGGCGAAACTCTATATCGGGCACTCTATGATCTATCCACAGCCTGAGGCACTTTGCTGTCCATATCATCCGAACGTAGGACACCCATCTCAATATCCTGCCCACGTCCCGCTTGCAGCACCTCCACCCCCCCTCCTGCTTTCTCACCAACCTTCTCATCCGCACCCGCCGCCGCCCTCAGCTGATCCTCGTCTCCTCGTGTAAGCTCCTTGTGCCGGATCATGAATACGCTCGCGAGGGTCGCCGTCGCGGCCAAGCACGCGTTCATGATGAAGAGCGTGCGGAAGCCGCGCGTGTAGCCGTCGAGGATCGTGATGGCCATCCCGTCAGAGATGCCGAGCGACGCGAGCTTGCTGGAGGCAGAAGAGGAGAGGCGGGCACCGAGGACGGTCGGGTCGTCGATGATTGCCTTGATGGCGGTTGCGGAGAGGCCGAGGGCATTCATCGAGGATCGGAGGGAGTTGTTGCTGATGCCAGGCATGTAATGGGTGAGTGGCTCTGGATGCAAAGACGATGCACACACATGATCGTAGCCCCGAGAGCGAGCGACAACGTGCCACCGAGTAGTCGCACGAACTGAGTACACAATGTGAGCACACCCTTGATACACTTGATCGAAGTACTCACGTTTCGCACAGCCGTGACCACAGACATGTCCTTGCGCGACACGCTCGCTTGTGCCGCCACAGTCGTCGTTTGTAGCGTCTGTGCGAATATTGCGTATCACCATCACGATACTATCAACCAAGGTCTGTGTAGCCCAGCGCACCTGACCAGCTCCGAGACCTGACAACAACATGAAGAATACCAAGAGACCTTTCGGTGTGCTGCTTGTGATCGTCGAGAGGCACCCGCAACCGATAGCCCACACCGAGAATCCGGTGTGGATGATAGTCTAACGTGGCTAGCAGTGAATTCACGACCGTATCGGACTTGACAACGGTACGCACCCTGTACCGTCCTGTCCTGCTAACCAGTTGACCCTATTTGATGTATGATGAACCTGCAGTGTTGCTCGCGAATGAATCGCTTACCGCAACGAAACTTGCAGTCGTCTGACTGACGAGGACAGGGAAGAGGAACACGCCTGAGCGGATGGGGGAATATCCAAGGGCGACTTGGAAGAACTGCGGGAGATAGAACAGCGCAGAGTAGAAGATCATCCCACTGCAGTACGAGCGCAGCGGAAGTCAACGCGACGCGACGATTGTCTAGACGAAGGGGCTGACATACTTGACGAACATCGTGATGTACACTCCCGTAACGGTTATGTGTCTGAAGATGTACACTGACGGGTTTCCAGTCAACCACCGTTGGAGTCTTCGATAGAGTTGGAGAAGCGTACTCGGGACGATCGGCAGGCGTGCGCCCTTCCATTCCCAGAAACAAAATAGAGAGACAACCAAGAAGCTGGAGCAGAGGGGGGCGAGGACCACTGCGGATGTCCACGGAAACGTGACACCACCCTACGAAAGGGCGAAGTGCCTCGGTCAGTGCAATGATGGGGATGTGCTTGCGCTACTATCGGACGCACCCAGATGAGAGGCAAGAGCAGTAGCGTGCAACCCGCAAGAGTCAGCGCTGCTCCGAGGTAATCGACCACCATCAGCTTCCTGGTGAGTGAATTCAACGGTTAATTAGCTGCGCTGTCTAGTTTCATGTCTTGGAAAAGCTATACCCCCGTAGGTTGCCTTCCACAGACTTGAGCGGAAGTAGGAGGAGCACGGCACACATCGCGACAAACGAGATAGGCGGCGTGACCCAAAAGCACCACTAGCAAAACAGTGCCGGGGAGGCAGACATGTCAGTATCGCTGTCTAATGCTATTCAAGTGATCTCAGACTCACCCTCCAGTTGACCTTCTGGGCCAGAGCACCGCCGATGAGGGGGCCAATCGCGAAGCCGAAGGCAACCACGACACCAATGATACCCTGGTATTTACCTCTAGATACATCATGAGGAGCATCCGTTCCGCAGGGACGAAGTCAATGAAAACGTCCTGGGCTACGACTGCAGGCAAGTTTTCTACACACCGATCACGTAGGCTAACCACGTCGGAGATGACGATCTGACCGACGCTGACAATGGCGCCGCCGCCTGCGCCTGCGATTCCGCGGTATATGATGAGTTCGACTATGGTGCGAGAGAACCCGGCGAGGATGCTCCCTAGCATGAAGAGCGCCATGGCGAGACATAGGCTGGCCTTCCGACCGAAGATATCACTGAATCGGCCGTCTGCAAATACAGACATTCGTGAGCATGATTTCGATGCATGTACTAAGGTAAATCAGAACCAACTCACAAAGTGGTTGGAAGGCAGTCGAAGTGAGTAGGTACCCTGAAGGTACCCAAGACACGACAGAACCGGCATTGAACGCATCCGAAATAGTGGGAAGAGCGGTGGCAACAATGGTCGAGTCTAGAGTGGACACGAGAATGCATAGAGAGAGACTGCAGAAGACCGCGACCACCTTTTTGAAGGGAAGAAGATTCGTCTGGTCCGTGAGCGAGATCACATCTGCAGCCTTGCTCTTGGACGCATGTTCCGAGCCTGTTGGATCGCCGATCTCGATGGTGTTAGTGGTCCGTGTGTGACTAGCTGGTGTCGCTGTCAGCATGTCATCGACGTCAACCCCATGTTCGTGTTCGTGCTCGTGTGAGCACATATGCATATCGTTGTCATCCCCGGGCATCGCAGGCGTCGCGGTGATCGTGCCAAGTCGTGAAGGTAAGGGGGGTAGTGCTCGGGAGATCACTGCTAGGAAAACTTTTAAGTAGGCACGTTGCAGAGCAGGACGCTCAAGAACCTCGAGGTCGAGTCATGCAACATGTTGCAGCATGTTACGAGTCCTACTTATCTGGGCCCGAGGCATGGGTAGCCCGCCGAACCTGCCGAGTTCCAACAGTGCTCGATTCAGAATAACGCAGGAAATCGTACGCGTGACCACGATGAGTCAACTGAGTATATTTCTTTGAATGCCTAATAGCTATACTTACTACGACCAGTCGCGTCTGGCAGGTGGTCTGACACTGAGTACTTCGTTCACTGAAAGGTCGTCCATCCGGGCCTAAGTAGTACTGTAAGCATCGCATCGCACGAGATGTGTCTCGTGAGCTGATGTCAATGCACGCACAGTGCGTTGGTGACACTGCATCGCTGCAGACTCGCAGATGACGTCGACGTCGACGCACAAGGCCTGTTCAAACAGTCTCCCTAGCGATTCGCTAGTACCATACTGACATTCGGTCTAAACGCATTATAAGGTATAAGCTTGCGTTCTGCCAGCGCTACCTACCCTGCAACATCTACTCGGATATTTTTGCCTCCTTGCATGCCGGTTCCTCTGTCTCCTCCGTGCTCCCTTCCGAGTCGCTCCCGCTTGACTGGCTGGGTCGTTTACGCTTCTGGATGGGTCCATCGGTTTCGAGGACACTGTCAGGTAGGGCTTCATCAAAAGGCGGGCCCTTTCGGTGCAACTCTGCATCCAGACGGTGATTAAACCCTATACACTGAAAACCAACGAGTTGTTAATGTCGAACAGCTCTGGCCCTTACTGGGGCTAGTGCGAGTGCGCATTTTCGCCCGTATGGTAAAATAAAAAATAAAAAAAACCAACGAGTTGCGTCTTCAGGATGCCCATCCGGTACATTTCAGGAAGAGTGATTGCCACCGCGTTGTTATCGGGCGCAGATATCTCGGTTTGCTCTGCCACTGCCTTGTGTAGGTTCGCGACACTTCGCTTTAGTAGATGGTGTGAGCCAGTATCAGTAGGATTTTCGAATCAATGCTAGTCACGGCTCACCACAAAAGATGTAACACAGATCTCTGTAACACAAATGTCTCCAGGACCCTCCAGCGCTTGGTAGGTGCCGACGTAGTAGCATTTCTTCTGATAATCATGAAAGAGCTCGTATGTACCCTTTGCGAAGCCAGTTGTCTCGCAGCGCGACCACTTAGCACCCATACGGGCAGTGGAGCGGTACCTATATATGGGAAAAACCAGGAGTGCATGCTGAGAGTCTGGGAGCCACATTAGACAGCCGCTTGATGTGAGATCTCGGTGTTTCACTATTTGCTTCTTGCGTAGCTCCTCGATTCTTTTCCATCGTTCGGCAAGCTGAGTGACATTTCAAATGAGAAGATCCACATTTGCGACCAAGCATTCAATACTTACTGGCAGTTCAATGGGTACAAGATTCGAGAAATCGATCGTCTCACCCGGTCCAGGCAGTGCCAACATCTTATCTTTGAACTTCGTAACCTGTTCGGGAGATACTCCATCTCCGCTTGCCAATACCTTGCTCTTGCCATAGTCGCGCTTGTAACGGGTGGTATCAGGCTTGCTGGCAGTTGACGATGCAAGCGTCGCCTACAGGTCTTGGTCAGCGCGCATGGACGACATGAGTGGATCGACAAGACATTCACCTTCGTGGTTTTTAACTCAGCCGAAACATCCCGGAGTTGCCGTTGCAGTTGGTTCTCAGTGGCAATAGCCCCTTCGTGGGCTACAAGAGCTTTCTTGTGAGCTGTCTCGATGGTTGCGAGCTTGTTTCGCAGTTCCATGATCTATCGCAGTTCAGACGGCGAACTCTGCACCGTTAGATGGCCAAGCCTCTCACCTGTTCGTCCTTCTCGTGCACAGATGTCTCAGATTGTTTCACCTTGGCTGCCTGCCTCAAGCGCTCTTCTCTCTCTTGTCTTTTGAGCTGTTCAAATTCGATCTTGCTTTGGTCTAGTTCATTCGCAAGAGTTCCCGTCTTCAGAACGATGGTGTGAGATGATCGTTGTGAAGCATTGGTATCGGTACCTTGGCTTCCATTTCTCGAAGAACACGTTTCTGCGTTTGGGAGTGAGACCCTGGTTCAATGATACAAGCGAGGCGATGTCTGCTCACCATTTCCGTGCCATGTTCCCGTTCTGCGCTCAGCAGGCCATAGACGTGCGTCAGCTAAGTACGATGGAAGCGGTATTCAAGTTGAGCATAAGAACCATTTGCGTTAGAAAACTCACTTCGCTCCGGAGCGATCCAATGAGTTCAGGCTGTCGGTCGAGGGGTATAAACATCGTCGAGACATTGGTCCTGACATTGAAGAGGATACGTACTTCTGATGCATTGCTACGCAGCTCCTCCAACGCCTAGTGGCACGGAAAGTCAATGCAACTATGTTGCTGTCGCAATACGCGTGACGTGACGTACTTTGCTGGATGCCTCATGCTTACTCTCACTTTGCGCCAGTGCTATCTGTAGCTCGTTGCGTTCCTAAATATCGCGTCCCAGTCAAAAGACAATGTGAATGAGATTGAACTAGAGTAAATACCAACGAATGCCGCTGGTACTTACCTGCTCAGACGCACGCAGCTGGGTCTCTACGTTCAAGAGCTTCTGTTCCAAGAAGTGCAGGAATTCAGTCTGTAGTCTCGGACTTGCCGGGATGGACATCCTAGTCGAGACCGGACACTGGCCACTCGCAGTGCCAGTGTCTGAACTTGAATGTAGACCCAACGGTACTCACAATAGTCACAAGGGTGTCGCGAATGGACTTGCCAGTGCGCGTCTCGATCAGGAGGAGGAGGCGATTCAGAGGCGATTGTCCCGCGACGCGGCGTATCGCGATCATGTGACTCGCATGGGTTCGCGTCGCGCGACGTTGGTGACTTACTAGACTGTCAGTACTTCAGTGGTCACCCAGATGCTCAAGGACGCGTTTTATTTCTTGCCTAGTGGTGCAATGAATATAACTCAGCGAACTAGCAGTGAGCAGGGCTTGAGTAGTGGGTAGTGGACCAACGTCACGGTGCAAGTGACCGCGCCACGAAGCTTCCACTCAGGACCGAAGCTTCCACTTACTAGAGTAGAGCGGCCGTGACCGACTCGGTGATACGACATGCTATGTAGCTATACCGTTGTTCAGCTTCTTGATGCCAGCATACTGGACTATGAGATCGGGGTTATGCGGGTAAAGCAGGTAAGGCACCGACTCCGTCGCGATTTCGAGGTAACGTGCTCTTTTTGTGTTGTTCGTTTCCGAGTGACTGTACGTCCGGCAACATTCCCATTCGCATGTTCCAGCCATAGTGACTCTTGACACAGACAAACGATCAACCAGACAAGAACCAACAATTTGTTTTCCAGGCCGATCCGTGACGTCGATCGGGCAGGCACCTCACTTCGCAAATCTGTGATGTCTCGAGGTTGAGTGCATTAGTTGAACGAGCATTCGTACTATAGTACATAGAACTTCGAACATATTACAACAACAGACGTTCTATCCCTCGCGTTTGATCATTTTTGCCACTGGCTTCGCCGCCTGACTCGCCACCGTTCTCGCCCTCTTCCGCGGATCCGCAGGCACCCCCGTCTCGCATTTACGTTTCAGTGATGAGCGAGGGCTGACCTCAGGCTCGAACTTGGGTCTGACAATGGAAGGGGAAGGGGGCTGCTCCGTCTTCGAAGGCGTCTGCGCGTACTGTGCTCGGAGACGATCGTCGAAGCCCTCCTTGTAGCCGACGTATTGCATGCCGATCACCCCAAGAGACAGGGCGCCCTTCGCGTACGCACCTTCCACCCCGTCGAACATGTGCTGAGTACTCTTGCACGACTCCAGAGTGTGCCGCGCCAGCGTCTCTGCGGCGTTTCGCTGCAATGGCCCAGGTGAGCCGACAAACACAAAAGGCGGATGAGATGAGCACTGACTGGCAATCTAAGTTGCGCGAGGTCTGGAACACCCGACAGGATCGGCCCTTTGAAGAACTTGTAGGTCCCCGCATAGAACACGAGCCCGCGGTTACCCCGGAGGAACAGCTCCCGGACCTGCTCGTTGATGTCGTCGCGGAGCGTGTTGGATGTCCAACTCGGGCACGGCAGCTCTCCTACTGACTGATAGAAGTATGCGGGGATGACTGCCAGTCCGTTCCGGGATCCTGTAGGCCACCACAGAGGCAGGTCCGACAGGTACAAGACGGAGCGCGGTTCGCTGTCGGTCTATTAGCGACAGCGATACAATGAGATCCAAGTTTGCTCACTACGTGTGATCGATGATCTATGCAAGTAGTTCGGAGATCAGGCGAGGCTTGACAGGGAATCGAATATGAACCCACCTCGGATATACGGGTCGTGGAACCAATGCACTCAGGGTTCAAGCAATGTTGTCTCTTGTTCGGGGAAGGCCGGAGACCGGCGGGCTCAGGGAGATCCTGCATAAATCTTGAGAAGTGATCATACTATCGTCGGTCGGCCATGTTAGACATTGATCAACACATGTCAGCGTTCAACGACTCACCCTTCCGGCCCAGTTTCCATATCGCTTGAGAGTGATATCAGCCTTTTCCGCAGCAGCCTTGTACTTGTCCGATGAGACCTTCAGCTCGTCTCTCTCCTACGAACAGCGGCATAAATCGTAAATGTCAGGGCGTAGAGGTTACAGTGAAGACTCACCTTCAGAAGGGCCGCGAACGATTCGTCGCGCGCCTTCAGGTCTTTGACGGCTTTGACTCTGGCAGCACGCGCTTGATCCCTCTCAGCCTCTACACCACGCATCGCGTCCTGTACGGCCTTCGAACTCTTCTCGCGCGCGAGTACTTGCTCCTCCTTCTCGCGCAGCTTCGTCCCCAGAGACGCGATGGTCTGCTCCTTCCGACGAATTTCTTGGTCTCGGGCCTGCACCGTATCGTGTAACTCCACGACCTTAGTCTTCAATCGAGCATTGAAATCCGTGAGGTGCTGAATGGACAACAGAGTCATCAGAAGTGAGAATCATATCACAATGAAGGAAGCATACTGCGATGGTATCCTGATTCTCCCTCGCTACCTTCTCGCATGAACGCAGCGCGTCATCCTTCTCATGCACTTTGTCTTGCATGGTAGCGAGCATCTCGGTCTTCCTCGCGATCTCTTCGTCTCGCATACGCGTCCCTTCGCGCAGTTCAGCGATCTGAGCTTCTAGCTCCGAATTGGTTCCCGTGAGGTGCTGCTCGAAGGGTCAACAGATGTGAACCGTAGGACGATAGTTGGTGAACGCACAGCGGTGATATGCTGTTTCTCCATCACGATCTGCCGCTTCTCCTGCACGAGTCGTTCAAGATGCGCCTGCAAACCATTCTCCGGCTGTTCCCAGACCAGCAGATCAGCAAAACGGGGTCGGGGATGGGAAAGGGAACAGGCAGACTCACGATCCCCTCGGTTTCAGTACGTCTGTGTTCCGCCTGCAACTCGTCCCGCAGGGCCTTGAGCACCTGTGCGGCGTACACAATCATCTCGGGCCCAGAGTACTGTCCCTTAGGCACCGTGAAGATGTGGTGCAGCGCGCGGAGCATGCCCGCGCAACAATCCTCCCGTTGATCACCGCATCCCGACGTCGGCACCTGCGTATTGCGCGATCTCTCGAGCTCCTGCAGGCGACGAGTATGAGCGCGATAGATTGATAAATAGAGACGGTGCTCTCAGGGCGTACCTCTTCTGCTGCACTGAGCCGTACCCGCGTTTTCTTGAGCTCATCGCCGAGAAGCTTCACCATCTCCGAGGCGAGCTCCGAGTTGAGCATGATCGGCACCGTCGCGTCCATCGCTCGTTTCCGCAGATGGGTCGTCCGCAGAATGAGTACTTTTCAGGTTGTCCGCGATGGAGGTAGATAGTAGGAGGAGGATCCTCGCGTTGTGGGGGAAGAAGCACGGACGAATTCCCGGTCAGGGGGCTTGAGTTTGACTGCAATTCGACGTGTTCCTGATCGAGAAGTTGGTGGCATATCCGGACGAGCCTTTGCTATTTTCTGGGTTTCATACCTACCGCTCCAGAGGCCGTTTGCACGTAGCGGATATAGGGTATTCCATCATGAGAATATCGGACGTGGACGCGGTCCAGTGAAAGATGATGTTCTGAGACACCGTCAGACGCGCGCACGACTTTGACTGCAAACGCGCTCAAAGTGCGCTTCCATTTTAGGAAAGTGATCAGGAACGCGTCTCGTGGCTGTGTCTGCAGCCAAATTGCGAGAGGGGGCGAACAGGCCTGGGGCGTGGAGTCGTATGTGACATTAGGAGAATCCTATGAGCAACGAGACACTTTTTAGGTCGGATTGTCTTGTGCTACGCTATCTCATCGCTGGAGAGCAAGTGATGCCTCGAGAAAGCCCAGGACGCGGAGACTGTGGAAACCAACCTAGTAATGTCAAGAGGCATTAACCCAGCGATCGTTTACGGAGCAAATCGACATGATATGGCGGGAGAGCGTGAAAATTAGATAGGAGCCTTATCGCCAAGTTCAGCCAGACCACTCCGCTGACAATGTGTGGGTATGCACCTGCTCAGGCTGACAGGAAAAGGATCGACCTTGTTCGTTCACCTTCCTCGACGCGCCCGACGCAATTAATTATCAGCCTCGTTTTGTCGCATCTGAAGATATAACTGCCAGAGAGATTGAATCTACGTTTCGGTACCGTGGGGAGAGCTTCGAGGGAGGCCCGAGGATGGCGCGAGCACACGGTAGCAAATCATTCTCAGGGCTTGGCTTCGCTGAATGGGCTGACGACCTACTCGCAGATCTCAGGGTCTGCGTAGGACCTCTTCGAGCACACGCCCGTCGTGTCGCTCCGCGACGTTGCAAACAGTCAGTCTAGGTACCGTGAATCCTTGTACCGAGATACTTATACTCACATTTGCGACATATTGCGCAGCTGCTAAGGGGAAAATGCACGATGCCGCCGTGCGCAGCGCCTCTTCTAGTATGGTTATTTTATGTCTCTCGGTGCCTGCGAGTAAGTAGTCGTATGGTCTATCGTCGCAGGTCGCCGTCGGTCTGATGCCAATTTTGCGATGTGAGGCGGCGGCGGCCTGCCACGGGCGTTCCTGTGACACATCGAGAGTACGTGAGATATCACGCTCTTATGCAAGCAAGGAGATTGCCGCCCATAAACTTGGTCAGCATAACAAATTCGAAGCCACGTGGAGATTCTTAGATTCTTGACGGCCGCCGGATTCAAGATCTCTATCGAGATGAGCGCGCTGCCACTCCGCGTCGGTGGCCCTCCCCGTGAGGACAGAATTGGGACAGGATGCAAGACAGCAGCGGGACCATTCTAGCTCAAGCCTGTTGTGAGGGGACAATTCTATCGCTTGGGGGACACACAGTCCAAGAACGCAACATCATAAGTTACTGCGAGTCACCATTGGAGATCTACACGATACATCAAGTCTACGTCTCAGTCCATACTCTACAACATCCAAGCTCATGCACCGTACACCTTCACGCGCTCCTCAATCGGCTTGAAGGTCTTCTCGCCAGCAGGGGCGGCGGGCTCGCCGAAGGGCAGCTCGGCAATGAGGTTCCACGTCTCGGGGATGTTCCAGGTCGACTTGACCTTCTGGTCGATGAGGGGGTTGTAGTGCTGCCGAGCGCACGTCAGCGATGTGAGACACAGAAATAGTCCTCTGCCGGACTCACCTGCAGGGAAGCACCGAGACCCTCCTGCTCGAGCGCAGTCCAGGTGGCGAACTGGATCATACCGGCGGTGTGCTGCAGAGCCGTGTCAGTTGGGTCGGAAGACACGAGATATCAGCGCGCAAGACGCACCTCAGACCAGACGGGGAAGGACTCCTGGTAGAGCGGGAAGTTCTTCTGGAGCTCGCGCACGGGCACCTGGTCCTCGAAGAAGAGGACGGTGCCGTAGCCGGCCTTGAAGCTGGCGAGCTTCTGCGCGGTGGTCGACCACTGCTGCTCGGGGACGATGGGCTTGAGCACCTCGCTGGTGATGTCCCAGAGCTTCTCGTGTTCGGCCTTGAAGAGGACGACTACGCGCGAGCTCTGCGAGTTGAACGACGACGGGACGTGGAGGACAATCTCCTTCACGATCTCCTCAATGCGCGCGTCGGGGATGGTCGACTTGTTCGAGAGGGCGTAGTAGGTGCGGCGCTTCTTGATCGCCTCGAGGAAGGTGGTTGCGGAGGACATCGTGCGAGTCTGCGTGTGAGCGCGGGGGAGAGTGGTTCGGACGGAGATAGAGGGTCGGGCTGCGAGGATCCTGGAGACGGTAGTTGCAGTGCGGAAGGTCCTGGCGGACGACATGCTGATGGCGTCCTTATAAGTGCGGGTGTGGGCTTATAAGATCCCCCGATCGTAAGGGGATTAGGGAGGCTAGACGATCGACGATAACGAGGGGCGATTAGTGAGACCGACTGAAGAAACAGAGACACGGACGAATGCTGCAGACAGGCGTGGAACACAGACGATGCGGTCCTCCAGACGTGGGAAGAATGTACCCCTCCAGGTGCGCCTCTGCCACCGCAGCTCTTGCGTTCGTAAATCCGATGATGCACATATGCATGCGTGTCCCGAATGAGAGAAATTCGTCATCCAAGGCGACCGCAGAGTGCTTGTTGCTGAGAGCTTTTGGCTGCAAGAGGCAAGCAGGAAGACAGCCAAGGGGCGCGCGTTATCAGATCCTCTTCCGGCAATATCCAACCGAACGCAATCAGGCGCCTGCAGCTCTGTGGTACGTGCCTTCGAACTTCCGATGTCGGCCCCTCCAGGTCGAACCGTGGTCGAATACATCTGTATTTGTTCTGCAACGCGCGCAATTCATATCGCATTTTCCGTCATGGCCGTGCCGCCAGACCTATTTCATTGCTCAGATGACCAAGCGTCCGCGTCTCGTACGTGTGGTACTAAGCACGAATTATGCCCTCTTGCAAGTGGTTCAGATCGGCGAGTCTTTCTTTTCTCCCGACATCTTACTTATGTTCACTCGCAATCCGTAAGGTAGGCTCTTAGCAAGATCGACTCAATCCCGATTACTTACCCCAGGTTGAACCAAGGTTGAACGTTGAGGAGGTGACTTCGTGATGAGGAGCTCCACACTCCGGAAAGGACGCTTGCTTTCATGACTGTTTTATGTACATGCTTAGCTGAGTCAGTGAACGCTTAGTGGACGCCTTGACAGGAATCTATTCACAGATATCATCACAGCTGTGTGATGTGTCGGATTGGTCCTGCGCGATTGCGCTGATGGGTGAGTACTATAAGTAAGTACACTGGCAGTAAATCGCGAATACGAGGCAAGCTAATTGGTGTACTCTCGAGGTCACAGTCCAGTGCGAGGAGCCTATGCCTATCAGGAATAGCACGTCCGAGTTCTTTTCTCTCTCAGTCGGTGGTTGGTCTTACTCAGGCTTGCTTTCACACACAGATCTGTCTGAAGGACATGCCGATCCGGAGAAAAGCTCGACACCTACGCTCTTGCACACGATGCGCGCCGACGGGTCTTTGCGCCGGGCGGCGTGGGATCTATTAGCAATACAGGTTGGTCGCAAAATCTCTCTATGCAACAGCGCCCTCAGCTGATGGATGGTATCTCCATTCTTGATAAATCCCAGGCACGGCGGCGGCCGTCGGTCGAGCGCTACACTGAGGACACGGTGAAGTGTCCTGCAATGCGGTTCAGCTCATGTCCAGCGAGTATTTAACTGTTTTCCGGCGCTGCAGCCAGTGGAATACATGCGGCGGAATGGCCAGAGCACACTCGGTGGCCAGTGCATATCATCGCACACAGTGTAAAGTAAGTCCAATATCATATTTTGTGAAAGCCATGTTTACTAGTAGGTGTTCAACATAGATCTGCGTGCGCTACGGGCCGTCGCTTGGGACAGTCACTCGGGGCTGATCACAATCTTATTGAGCGAAGACCAACCCTGAGAATAGCCTGTACCGTGTACTACTCGTGCGTTCCACGCCTCCCTCGAAGCTTTATCATTCCCTCGGCACCGAGACTAAGAGGCTTCTGAAATTGAGTTGACCCGATGACGTGGAGACATTGAGACTCTCAGCGATCATGACGAGGTTGAACTCAGGAAGGCTGGTTACGCCGAGGCTGAGTCTCATGCTATCCCTTCAATCCTAACTTCATTTTAAGAACTGGCACCACTGCGCTCTCAGTGCGCTCCTATTCTATCTCCATTGGTTCTGCGTTTATTGTGCTCCGTGCAACATACTCGATCGTCTAGCCCAAGTCTAACCCGTAAGACTGTTCTTGATCATTTCCCAATGTGGAAATACACTTTTAGGCGCGTACCGGACTTATCCAGTCAAATTCACGTGGCTGATTTTAGCCTCACCACCCCAAGCGCCCAGTCTTGAACGTGGTCACCGTACGCTCAGCGCTGGGCAGGGTCTCAAACATTTTCCGCACAATGATACAGAAACCTCTATGTGTTACGCAGCACAAACTTCCAAAGCAGCCGGTGTATGCGGGAACGTACCAAGCGGTAACGGTCGATCTTGAGCTTGAGCTTCAGATGCCGAAAACTTACTCGATCGAGGACGTTTCATTTTTTGGCCGAATTTTCTCCCCAGTTCTCCTCGGGTCTCTTCCGCAACGCAGGGCTTACTCTCTTACCATCGTCTCACACTAGTTTACTTCTGCATTACCTGAAGACCATCTGCCTGTAGGGAGAAGAGATGGATGCAACGGTGCCGGTCATGCTCAACTCGGAGCTCGCCTCAGAGATGGTGAAGCTTCTCGGCGACGAACTGAAGAGGACTCGGGGGAAGCTCCAGGCCGCAGAAGAGGTACGTCTTCAGACTACGTTCTCCGCATCTAGGCTCGGCGCGCTCATACTCATCGCTTACAGGAGCTGGAGAGAACGCGCAACGCGCAAGAGCCCGCGGCGGGTCGCGAAGAGCTTGGGGAATGTTGCGCGGCCATGCTCCGCGCACTACACCCCGATTTTATGCTGCCCCTCGTCGGACACTCCGGACGCGAGATGGTGGTGCATGCTAAATCTCGGCTGAAGTCCCTCCGAGACGAGTTGCAGGCGGAGCGTGGACGGGCTGCGGGCGAAGGGGACGTGAGTCCGACTGCTCTTATTTATGCACGGCCCCAGTTTGCTGAGATGCTAGTTCAGGACGAGGCGGTGAACGCTCTGCAAGCGCGGGTCGAACAACTCGTGCAGGAGAAGGAGCAGATCTTAAAAGAGAAACAGCATATCACCGCGGTGCGTCTGCTCATTCCCGTCCCACCCTTCGTGGATCTGATCATCTGAACAGCATTTGAGGGGGGCTAACACGGAGCTGGAGAACGAAGTCGCCGAGATACGCGAAGCGACGCGTGTGCGGGACGAAGAGATCAAGAAGAAAACCGAGACAATCACTACTCTGCAAGGCAGACTGTCTGAGAAGGATGACGAGCTGCGTTCATGCGAAGAGATTGTGAAGGAGAATCAGGATACCGTTGCAGTAGGTCATATTCATTGCGATGTCGTTTCCTATCTCCACTGACGTTGTCACTCGCACAACCAGTGCCTTACTGATGCTAACTCTCGGCTGGAGAGCGAGGTCGAAGAGTTGCGCGAGGCGTTACTAGCTCAAGACGACCAGAAGAGGCGGATACTCGCGTCTCTGAAAGCAAAGCTCCAGAAGAAGGAAGAAGAAGTGCGTGCGTGCGAGGAGAGTAAGAAGAGCATAGAGACCGAGAGAGATCAGGCTCGCGCTGTAAAGGGCAAAGCTATCAGCGCTCTGAAGGCGCGCACCGAGGCATTGAAAACCCTTACGAACGTGAGACAGTTGCTCCACGACCAGGAACAGTACTGATTTTGTTTGATAGGAAAGAGACGAACTGAAATCCATGAGCGAGAAGTACAAGGCGGACGTAGAGAAGGCTGAACAATTAGCCTGGTACTATGGATGGGCCGGCCAGGCAAGCTAACGAACGTCCATATTTGAGGATGACCATATACTCACTTCAGCGACGACAGTTCGATAAATTCTTAAAGTTCATGCAAGCTCTTCCTGAACCTACTGACGTGCTACCTACCGGCGACAAGATTCGACCATGCATAACGACTGTGCACATTGGCGCTACCCCACGCGTATCGGAGGTAAGCCATCAGTGTCCCCCGATTTTCTGAGTCGCCTGACCGTGCTATTGCTTGGGTAGATCATCTGTCAGCTCTAGTTAGTCTACATTGATCCAGTTCGTCGCGACTTGCTGACAGATCTACAGTGAATCTGACGCCGTTCTGTACCTGCCGGACTTGCCTCTGTGGGCGCCGAACTCCGGAAACGGGATTGCCGTCGTGCATGTCTACGAATACAACGCAAATGAAGAGACACCCAAGTCGAGATGGACGCTCAACAATATGGGCAACGATCTGCACGAACAGGTCCGCGAGCTATTCTATAGGGACGAAGACGGGAGCGTGCGCTATGCGGGGACGTACAAGCTCCACCGGGGGCCGGTCCTCATGGGCGTGCCGGACCTTGCTAACCTCAACATGAAGGTCGGTGCACACATATTTCTCATTGGCGTCCACATGCTCAACTAGAGGTTCATAGCCAAACGCCGCGAAGATGCTGGCGCGCCGAACTCTGGCACCATCCGATCAAAGTCAATCTGTGTTCAAAGCGACGGAGGGTGCATATGCGATGGGCCTGCTGCCCGTCGGATTAATCGGTTTACAATGCTTGGGCTACAAGACTGGCTTCGATGATCGTCTCCGAGAGTACGTACCTAGGCCTCTGGAATCCCGGGCGCGGAACGGTCGCATCCCTCTCCTACCACCACACCCGAGCCTAAGCCTGTGGTCAACAGGGACTTGTCAGCGAAGCGCAAAGTCGAGACAGGCACGATCGTGGATCCACGGAAGAGGGTGAAAGCAGTCGCGGATCAGGCAGCAACAACGGCGCCAAAATCAGTGGTCAGAACAGCACCGAAGACGGCGGCGAGAAGGGTGGCAAAGGCAAAATCGAGAGCAAAGGCGGTCAGATTTGTGATAAAATGCGAGTAATCCAATGTTCTGTCGTCTATATTTCCTGTAACGACAGACTTGGTCGCCATTTCCCCATAGTATGCACATTGATTAATACTTACGGTGGTCCACAATGGATTGGTTGTGCCCAGTCTGAAGCCGCGATATGCGATGTGGATTGACTGTGCTCGCAAGCCCAGGAGGAAAGCGCGGTTCAATGTGACTTGTCAAGCAAGATGTTAGACTCGGACTCAAGCCGACTCTACTCTGTGATTCGCAGGCGACTGAGCAGGAGTACATACATGGTATTCTAAGCGAAGCGAGGCACGAGCGTCGCGTAGAAGTGAGTCTACGCACGCAGGAGGAGATTTAGGCGCGCATCGCTCTCCTCTGCGCGCCCACTCGGACGACCGCTCTCGAAGGCTCCGCGGCCGCTACGCCCTTCGAATAGCTCTCGTTTTCTTCCACTAGACTACACCACTTGTAGCTTACAGGAAGGGACTATGGTACAACCTTCGCTCATCAATCCCGATAGCGACGAAGAGCCGGATTATGTGAGCAACGACCAAATGATTGTACCACTCACAAATGCGTGGAGGATGGTCAACACAGAGTCGTAGTCTCTGTCTCGCAAGCTCGTCCGACATGAGCATCCAGCTGAGCGAGCAGCGGTTGCCATTGTGGACTGTCTGACTCCGAGTCCTTCGACCGCCGCCCAGTGCTCCGTCACCAGCGCTCTCGCTCACTGGTCGCCGGGCGGGACCAACCCGCTGAGTTTCTTTCATGCTGGATGCAACACGCTTACACTGGCTCGCGTCGGCACGAGCATCGCTAGCTCGTGTCATGCACACGCGAGTCAGGCTGGAGGCAACATGCTTACACTGGACGCAGTATGCTTCACTGGCTCGTGTCAGCACGAGCTCATAGCCAGCGAGTGTCACACACGAGTCAGGCTGGACGCAGCAGGCTTATACTGGCTCGCGTCAGCACGAGCTCATAGCCAGCGAGTGTCACACCGGGTCAGGCTGGACGCAGTATGCTACACCGGCTCGTGTCACACACGGGTCGGGCTGGACGCAGCACGCTTACACTGGCTCGTGTCGGCACGAGCATAACACGCTCGTGTCATTCACTGCACACGAGTCAGGAGCATGCAGCAGCAGCATGCTTACACTGGCACCGGCTCGTGTCGGCACGAGCGTAACGAACTCGTGTCATCCACTGCACACGAGTCAGGCTGGACGCACCGGGTTCGATCAACTTCGATGAACACGACGCGGCACTGCTCCTCCTAGGGTCAGCGGAGCGATGTTTGCTTCGCGGCGCCCATCCGGCGGGACTCTGCGAACCGGTTGATCAGCAATACGGGTCATTGGCGTCGTCAGTGTTGGACACTGGCTCACAGAGCATGTACGACGAGGCTCGTCGGCTTCTGGACTGGGGGTAACGGCTTCGCCGCAACGCGCCGCCGTACTCGACGTCTTCATATTGGGTATCGCGGCTCACCCGTTGCCCCTCAGGTCCAGGCACACTCTTCGAGTCGGGCAGCCCTGCGGGCTGCGCCCCACACCGCCAATCATTCCCCTCTCGCTCTCTTGCAACTGACCTGTCAAGCTCACTCAGTAATGAGGCGGGCTGCTGGTGCGCCTCGCTTCACACGTGACCGTCACATCTGCCACGCCGGTCATCGTATCCCAGTGCATAGATGGTATTCTAAGCGAAGCGAGGCACGAGCGTCGCGTAGAAGTGAGTCTACGCACGCAGGAGGAGATTTAGGCGCGCATCGCTCTCCTCTGCGCGCCCACTCGGACGACCGCTCTCGAAGGCTCCGCGGCCGCTACGCCCTTCGAATAGCTCTCGTTTTCCCCACCCTCCACACCCTCTTCACGCAGCACACGCCGCCAAAAACCCAATGTGTGCTTTTTCTTTATATCTTTGTTTTGTTTTTGTTTTTGTCTTTGTTTTGTTTTGTTTTTGGCTCGACGTGTCTACCCTGCGGCCCAGCAGTGGCAACTTCGGGAGCGCAGGGCTGCGGTATCAACCCGCCCGCCCTCGCGGCTCACCCGTTGCCCCTCAGGTCCAGGCACACTCTTCGAGTCGGGCAGCCCTGCGGGCTGCGCCCCACACCGCCAATCATTCCCCTCTCGCTCTCTTGCAACTGACCTGTCAAGCTCACTCAGTAATGAGGCGGGCTGCTGGTGCGCCTCGCTTCACACGTGACCGTCACATCTGCCACGCCGGTCATCGTATCCCAGTGCATAGACAGAACGCCACGCCACCCACGGCAAAACCTCGGCGAGTAGCTGTCGCACGACCACCGCCGGCGCTACGTATTGGTTGCTCCAAACCTCCATTGTGTGAAACTCGTTCAACAACCTGCGAACGCATCTGTGTCCGTCTGAATTCTCCTGCAATCTGCATGGTTCTGTTGTCCTGGTGATGACTTAGGCATAATGTCTTTCCCGACTGCAAGCCCAAAACTACAAGCAGAGTTCCTCCGCTTCTTGGAACAGAGGCTCTCGAACGTGGAATCTCAGCTGAGTATCTCAGAGAAAGTGGGTTCATGTTCTTTCGCTTGGGCCCGGGGTCCTTAATGACTCGTATACAATGCTCAGGAAAGGGAGCAGCTGCGAGCCACACTGACGCAAACTGAGAAGAAGCTCGAGGTTTCCGATGCTGTGCGTCAATACGTCTTCGCATTCGTTGATACTGATGTCGTATAAACGCAAACTTGAAGGCTTTGAGGGAACTGCGCAGGAATGCTGCTGCTATCGCAGAAGCACCGCATAAGGCACGTCTCTCGCCTTCTCTGTGATAACCTCGAGCATGTTGACCTGTGTCTACTCGCGGACTCGGACAGCCCGGCGATGTTGCAGTCAGGAATGAGGTGGGCACTCGAGGGAGTTTGTTTTCTGTACTACTCACTGACATTCTGTTCTGTGCTAGCTCGAGCGTATGTCACGTCCACTCTCCGAAGAAGAAGCGGTGAGTCGAGAGCGCTTGCCGGTAAATCATGAGAGCAATACCGAAGTAAAGCGCTGAAGAGGAAGGTTCTCTAGGGCGTCTTTGCGCACCTCCAAGATAGCGGGCAAGTTCTGAATGAGACTATAGAGGAGATGCAGTCCACGGACATATTGGTATACCTTGTAAACTCATCAACCGGCCAGACGTACACTAACGATGAATATCAAATTTATCAGCTCGCGAGATTGCGTACTGAAATGGTGGACGTGGAGAAAGCCCGTGCTGAGGCACTAGCTGATCGCGACACCGCGATTGCCGCTGAGAAGGAGTGTCGACAGCAGCTCAAAACAGTCACAGCGGAGCTGGCCGCAGCGAAGAAGGTAAGTTATTTCTGTTGAAATAATTTCTATGTGATCGCACACCAATCCTGCGACATGTACTAGACGTCATTGACACTGTCAAGCATACCCAACTCCGGCCAAGCTGGTACTTCTAGCGATTTGAAGTATGATGGTGGGAAAGCTGAGGTACTCACAGACCTACTGTGCCCTGGACAGCGCGAAGCTGAGATATAGCCTGCATAGTTCGTGGAATTCAATGACAAGATGCGAGCTTTACCTGGTCCTAACCAAATAATCGATTTGTCGAGCCTTGTGCCCGTCAGTCTCAAGGTAAGCGTCGAGATCATGATGTCCATAACCGTTGTCATCGATTACCGTTGTCATATAGACACTCAGTGATCAATCGAGGCTTGAGGAGCTCTATCTTTCAGATGTGCTCAATACCGAAGACGTCATGATTTTCGAAGGCCAGACCATAGTGTGGCTTCCCGGTTCTTGCCATGCCCTCCAGGTCGGTCCCATGTACCAGTACGATAACCGTGCTCGTGTCGACAACAAGTGGTCGGTGGGCCCTAGGATCCGGTCGATGGGCACGGTTGAGTTCTTTCATTCCTATATGAGCGAAATCTACTACGTCGGCACGTATCGGGCGGTGGAGGGTCCTCAAGACGTTCGGCTCACAGACATTGGAGATACATCTTTCGTGGTGAGCAGCGATTGTTGGCATCAAGAACACTGTCAATGACCTACATCGACGTCTCCCGTTTGTACCAGCGGAGCCCAGCGGATGGTTTTGCTACTTTGCTTGCGGTCAAGACCGCGTCCTTGGTACCGGAGAGAAATCATGTGGCCATGACCCTTCCCGAGATGTATCGGAAAGGCGTCATGAGATTGCAGGTCACCGGCCTTCAGTGTGTAGGCTTCAATCACCGCCTCGATGCAGAGTTGCACCGAAAGAGTCTGCCTCCGGATGAAGCCCTACCCGACAACGTCCCCGAGGCGAGTGGATCCACTTCGAAACGCAAACGGACTAGTCTATCGCCGAATGATGATTCCGATCTGGGGCAAGGGACAGATGAGCCGGCGCGCAAGGAAGCCAGAGTAGCAATGTAATGGGGGCGCTACGGTGGCCCTCGATGAAACGTACGTTCGTGCAGTGTAATGTGGATGTGTTGAAACCATGCAGATCCGTGCTGCATAAGCACACCTTGTATTGCGCGTTCACACTCCAGAGCTGTGTCTGTTGATTTGGGACACCGAGGTAAACGTTCTGTTTGAATGCATGTTGGTTGATCCTTCCAGTTGATCCTTCCAGTTGACCGGGCTTTCCTCTCTGACACCGGCACCAGACAGCGATTTAGCCATGAACGCTTCGCATCGTTAGAACGGCTCACATGAGCAACTGCTAAACATCATGCATCACGACTCAGCTTTGTGATAGCTCGTATAAATTCTACTACACGCCGGGTCCGGAATCATCAATTGCATCTTCTCAACTGCTGGGACAAATCGAACCCGAGGAGGATCCATCGTGTTGGCGTCAAACAGAGAAGCCAGGGAAGGACGACTGTAGACTATTCGGTGAGTTACGCATACAGTTGATACAGTAGTAAGTTACTTAGCGGCGCTCCGACACTGCTGAGTCTGAGCGATCTTGTACCGAATGTGGGTGCATTTGTCAGCCGTGTAACTAAGCTATATGCGGCAATGGCGACACGGTGGCACGACTCCGAGTCCGAGTGTGGCCCGGGCCACAACCTGCGTCGCCACAGGCACTCGGCAGCCTGAGTCGCTTCAGTCAGTTCAAAGAACACCTCCTCTCGGACGTCGCCTCTGTCGAGACTTAGACTTGGAAAGTGCCGCCGCCGTCATGTCCTTACCAACCGCAAGCCCCTGGCTGCAGGAAGAGTTCCAACAATTCCTGGAACAGAGATACACTAACGTGAAGTCACAACTGACTGCGTCGGAGAAAGTAAGTCTGATGCGGATGTTATTGCCGTTACGCTGTACTGACGCAGTTACGATGCTCAGGAAAAAGATGAATTGCGAGCAGCATTGACAGAAGCTGAGAAGAGGCTCGAAGCTTCCGCTACTATATGTCACTTCATGCTGTGTGTAGATTTGATACCCGATACTAGTATTCGTGTCCGTTGCATACACGTAGGAATTAAGTGAACTGCGAACTGCTGCTAGAGTGGCATCGAATTTAGACGAGGCACGTCTCTGGCTCGCCCTTGTCTCCGTGCCGCTGACGGTGGTTCTCCGTTGCAGCTCCAGCGAGTCTCAAGTCTACTTGCCACCGAGCAGACCCGCCGAAATAAAGCAGTGAGTGTGCAATCTCTGGCTGTTGCTTCTCATCGTTGCTAAGTGGTGTTCCGAGGAACGTGCCACATTTGAGGTGGAGGCAAAGGTATTGATCTCGCTGCCTTTCGGCTATCGCGTATACCGTCTCATTGTTGAATTGCAGGTCAAGGCTCTCGCCGATGAATTGGCACAGAGCAAAAATGCGCTTCAAGTGCTCGCGAAGGAAGGTTGTCAAGAATGTGCCAGGCAGCGCACAAAGATCGCACGGATAGAAGCAATCGTGGCCAGTCGGGATAATGAGGTGAAGATTTAATATTCGGGCGTGAAGAACTCTTATCAACGGTTGATGCTTCTCCATCTCATACAGATTGCGGCATTACGAGACGCCCGCGTTCGTGCAGCTGGACAGCGTGCAATAGCTGCTGCGGCCGAGACCAACTGTCGACAGCAGCTCAACAACGTGACAGCCGAGCTCGTTGCCGCGAAGAAGGTCGGCTTCCACCGGAGCATCCGCCATGCCATCGCATGCTAACCATACGTCAGGAGGTGTCAAGGCTGTCAGCCACCGGCGACTCGGCGACCAAAGCTGGTGCATCCACCCAGATTCCGTATAGTAAGGGCACTCAGATGGTATTGTAGTGTATAATCCCGTTTATGTGCAGCAAATGCTGACGTCCTCCATGTGCTTAGTTCAGGAGCTTCATGGACCGTATGCGCGCACTGCCTGCTCCCCCGGTCACAGTTGATCTCTCCACCGTCTTACCGGTCAAGCTGCCGGTCAGTAACTTTTTCGTGATATTCGTTGTAGTTCACGCTGGATATCACCATGCTAGCCGGGGTCCCGCCGCGTGTCCGATTGTTTCCATGAGGGCATAAGCCAGTTTCCTAGGTTGACGGTGAATGATGCCTGCATGTGGCTACCCGACTCGCAGCATGCATTGCGCGTTGTCCCGGGGTTTGGGTATGATTCCAGACCACGCTGCAGGAAATGGACGCCATACGTACCCCGATCTGCGACGTATATACCAAAAGGAACGTTCGAGCTCTTTCATACTCATGACGATGACCTCTATTACGTCGGCACGTATAAGACGGTGGAGGGCCCGCGTGATATACACTTGAAAGTGATTGACACGCGGCTTCTCGCGGTGAGCATCACAACACGACCGTATCACTTCTACGTCACTCATAATATCGAATCGTATATGGAAGCAATTGGACGGGACAGTGGTGGTCGATGACTTAGAAGAGGCGCTCACGTGGCAAACGGCACCCAAAGCGCCCCCAACCAACGCGGTAGCAAGGACAATACCCGAGATGTACGAGATGGGCATCTTAAGGGTGCAGGTCATCGGTCTCCAGTGTGTCGGGTTTAACCATCGCCTGCATGAGGAGCTGCACCCAAAAAGGATGCCTTCTGACGACACTTCGCGGAAATCCGACACTGACGTTCAGCGCCGACGGGGCTCCTCAGCCAAACGGCGCAGCGTGAGTTGGCTGGATGCCCTCTCATCTGATGATAGTATAGTACTATCAGATGGGGAACCACCGAGTAAAAGGCAGCGCAGTCATACAGGAGCTGAGATGTCGGACCGTGACCCTTCGTCCTCGACTCTTTACCCAGGTTCGTATCACACTGATCGCGCGTCTACGTTACATGTCTAACTGACGATATCCCCCTCAGATCACTCGGTAGGCGGGCCTGCGTACGATTTGTGTCCTTTCTACATTCTTACGTGAGGCTTTCCTCCAGGATCCCGTAACACCGTCATAAGTACCATCCGGTGGCGCAGCGGACGTACGTCGCTGGCACATCGGAACGTAGAGGGCGATGGACAGACCTGTTGTATCTCGTCGCTGTGTAACGCAAGTATGGATATGAACGCCGACCTTATGTCTCGGACCAGCAGTGTCGGGTCATGATAGTGAAACCATCGCGCTGCTGCAAAGGTTGCCAGTTTCTGGGATACCTCGGGGATCACCTAACTCACTAAAAAGCACGTTCTTCATCGCACTACTGACAGCATCATGCATGCCGGTAATCAGATCGGTGAGAGGAACGTGCACTAGTACGCTCATATCACGCTGATATGCTCGCCAGCGTCTCTGCAACAAGACTCATCGCAGCAGGAGAACGCGGCGTGATGTCACAATCGTACGCCTCAGGATAGCTGTCGGACAGTGACGCGGCGTGAGCCCAATATACTCTCGTGAGCATTGTACGTAGACGGACTGACCTGATCAAGGAAGAGAAGAACTTCGCTTCTGGCGTAATGACGTTGCCCTCAGCATCTCGGGCTTTGTCGATGTTCAGCGTCGCCGCGACGCCGGCTATCGCCAGAAAGACGGATGCGTCCCCGAATAGGCGTCCGGGGCAGAGCCTGAATATGAGGGCTGAGACGTGGAGGAGGGATTTCGGACAGAGCAAAGCACGGACCGTCGACCATGCCCGAAGACGATGTTGCGAGGATCTTCGAGTTCCCCGTCTGAGCTTGTCGCATCGAGGAAGCGTTCCGGACGGAACGTGGCAGGGGCGTCGTATGTCCTCTCGTCGTGTGTCATTGACCTGTTGGACGTCGGTGAGCTTTGCATAGAGCCTTTTTTTTGTATGATCACACGGTACCACAGGTTGGTTATGACCGTGGAGTCCCCAGGCACATGGTAGCCCTCATACTCGTCATCCTCCGTTAGATAGTGAGGTATGCCTGTGAAGATTTGCAAACGTTAGCGACTGCCGGTTGCTCACAACAGAACGTATGTGACCCAGTGGGACAGGTGGATTCCAGCTGCCCACCATAGATGTGAGACTCGATCCTCGTCTTGCACGGCTGCAGGTAGTACTCACCGATACGTCTCCTTCAGGATGCAATCGAGATATGGCAGGTTCGGTCTGTCCTCAAGAGTGGGTAGTCGGTTGTTCCCGACGACGCGGTCGACTTCCGCTTGGGCCTTATGGTACACCTCCGGGTAGAGGACCATCGCCAGGAAGAATGTCCGGAGCACCGTCTTCGTCTATTCGTCACACCCTAGTGTTTCAGTATCGACCATTGCGCCATTGCCCGATAGCATACCGTATCCGTCCCAGCTGGCAGTAGCTACTGTTAAATTCACAGGTTTCGTAGAGCACTCAATTTGGGACGTACCAGAGTACAACACGCCCGCCGCGTACCGGATGTAGTCCTCGTCCTCGGCAAGCCGGCCCGCTTTCTCTGCTTTCTCGATCAATTCGGAAACGAACGAAGGCCGTGCACTTCCCGACGTCTAGTTGGACGGTGTCAACGATACAGTTCCATCTATGCTTTGCAAGTGTGGACCCACCACCGCTTTGCGGACCATATTGTATGGGAGATGATTAGCGCGCCATACGAGTTCCCTGGCGTACATTGCCTTGCGCTTGAAGTCTGCCCCAGGCATCCACGCCGGGACGTACTTGACTATAACAGATCAGCGGTCAGCGGTCAATATCTCATCAAGGCTTCGCAGTCAGCACAATTGAAGACTAACGAAGTGGAAAGATGTCCGCTATCCCGCTTCCTGCCGGACCGGTCGCGTTGGTTGCGTCCATGGCATGGTCCATCAGCGTTACATACTCGTCGTCCAAGGACGTGATTCGGTGCCCATACACAGACTCGAGGATGAGTGCCGCGGTGTACCTAGGTGCGAACGAAGGCACTCAGCGATCATGGTCCATCGGGAGCTCTGCACACCCCCGGCCTTGACACCACAGCTGTGACGTACCGCGTGATGTGCATCGTGAAGTCTGCGGGCGTGTGCATGAGGTTCGACAGGAAGGTGCAAATCTCCCGCAGCTGCAGGCCGTTGTACTTCCGTATCGCATCCTTCTCGCCGAACGCTGCCTGGATCCACCGGCGCTGCATACGCCGCCCCGCGGCTTGGTACGGCAGAAAAGCCGTGTTAGGATACCAGCCTATCCTGGGTTCGCCGGTCAGTGTCAATGCGAGCGATAAGGGGAGGGTGCGACGTACAGCTCGACCTGTGTGACAAGTCGAGGACGGCTCGAATAGATCGCGCCCCGCTTGTCCAGGAGGTCCCGCGCGATGCTGGGCGAGTTGATGATGAGCGTGCGGCACCCGAAGAAGTCGGCATAGACCAGATCGCCTGCGGGTGTAGCCAGCGTGAGATTGGTCGAATGTCGTCTAAGTACTGCGAAATCCACCGTGTTCATCCGCCCACGACTTGAAGGTCTGCTCCTGGGAGCTTGAGGGCAACTGATGGGCGTTGCCTAAGACAGGAATACGCTTTGGACCAGGAGGGAGACGGCGCCGAGGATTGCTAAGACCGAGCAAGTAGACAATGCCCATGACGCACACCACAGGCATCACGATCCAGGCATAACCTGAAGAAACCGGGTCCTGGAACATGGCTTCCGGCAACATGAGATAGGTGAGAGGGGCTGTCCTTGACTCCCTTATAACACGGATGCTTTGCAGATCTCCAGATGCACCGACTGAACTGTGACTTGCGCGCCATTTGCACTGGGAAGATAGCAGCCACGTCACCACCTATACCAGAAGGATTCGCCATCCATGGGCGGTTCGAGCCCAGTGCTGTATACGACGGCTTAGATAGGCCTCAGCGGTGCCAGTTACTGTATCCTATGCCTTGCGAGGCATCTGATTTGTTTCTTGGGACTGCACAAGCTCAAATTTCATTGAACTCTTACCGTCTTACGCCCACGAGCCCATCTCCTGGCAGGACCCGTTTGGCTTGTGTGGTTGCTGGCTGTTTTGGATGGCATTCAGCCGGGAATCGGCAGAGGTAAGCTGAGAACCAAAGCACATCATCACTCACACGGTTCAAGAATACGGACAGAGCCCGACAGAAATTTTCTGTAAGACGCCCTCTAACTCGTGGTCATCATTGTATAGTAGCTTCGACTCGTAACGCCGCATTTCACCCGTAGCCAGCGTCCCACATGGCTTCTTGCAACCAGAAGGCAAGTCAGCGTTAGCTGAGGGCCTTGACTCGAACAGAACACTAGTGTATTCGCCGCGCAATGTCGGCTTAGAAGCTCAACATAGGAGTCCCTTGAAGCACTAAATAGAGCGCTAGCGGCCAGTCAGTACCCCATGCAGGAGGTCTGAGAGAACAACATACCAATACTGGCCAATGGAACATGCTCCATTGACCGCGCTTGCTCTTTGATACCGACGTAACAAGGTATCGGTGTGCCAATGACTCGGATCGCATAGGCACTAGTTACTGGAAGTGATCGTGGCAAGCTGTACCTAGCATTAGCCAGCGAGTGAGTATACACGGTTCATGCGACGGACATCTCTCGTACCGTCACTGCTCTCCAGCCAGTATGGAATCACATAAGATATTTAACTCACTTCTCAGGGCCTAGTCACGGTAGAATTCAAGTTTCCAGTTGTAAGTAGGCCTGCAGGTAGACCTACGCCTTTGTGAATCCTGTAGCAAACGCCGTTGCCAGTGAATGTTTGACTGGATACTTAAGACACTACACAGACTGCATAGTAGTACAGAACAAACGTGGGCCGCCGGGCGGGCCGTCACGGCGTTATTTACGCTGGCGTAGGCAAGCCACGCGGCCATACCAAATCCGGCAATGAACCTCAAGCCGGCGAGTACTGCTGATCTGTAAGTACGTTTGTACGTGCATGTGTCTAGGGTCTCCTCGTTGCTAACCATCTTCGAACGGATATTGGACGTCGCGCAATCGTAAAACTCTACTACTGTGTCTGTCCTTCATACAAATTGTCACGGCTACAGAAGCTTGCCACTGTCGTCATGTCCTTCAGCCCAGCCGCACCGAGACCCAGGCTACAGACGGAGTTCTACGAGTTCCTGGAACAAAAACTCATGAATGTAGAGTCGCAGTTCAGTGCATCGGAGAAAGTGAGTCAGGCTCGATTGCCTTGACGCCGCGGTATCGACTTAGAGACGATGCTCCGATCAGGAAAGGGACGCGCTGGGAGTGGCGTTGACACAAGCCGAGAAGAAGCTCGAGGCTTCCAACGTTGTGTGTTACTTTCTACAGACTCTGAGCGCTGATAGTTCTAACTGCATTGATACCATATGCACAGGAACTCAATGAACTACGGACGAATGCCGCCGCTTCGATTGAGGCGCTATCGAACAAAGACGAGGTTGTACGTCCCACACTAGCGTCCCACGCTCTACATCGTTCAGCGCATGCAGCTTAATAATACATTGACAGGCACATTCCACGGCATTGCTTCGACAGGATGTAGGCTTCCTCTACCATTTGTTCCCGTGCTGCTCAGTGACATTCTCTGTTGTAGCTTCAGCGGGTATCAGATCTGCTCGCGAGGGAACGAGCGCGCCGCGAAGAAGCAGTAAGTTTTGCGGTCTATCTGTCGCTTGTTGGGAATGCTAAGGGGTATCATGAGGAACGTGCCACCTCCGAGGCGGAAGCAACCACCAAGGACGTGGAGAAAGAGGTGAAGTAGCAACCCACCGATGCGCTCCAGTCAGTTCATGCTTATCTTATGTAAATAGAATGCGAAATTACGAGAGGAGCTTGTGAAGAAGGAGAAGACCTGCAGTCGTGCAGCTGCAGAGCGTGCCGAAGCCATTGCAGCTGAGACCAAATGTCGACAGCAGTCCAACTACGTGAAAGCCCGGCTGGATGATGTGACGAAGGTCAACTTCTGTCGAACACATCATCTTTTCAACACACTAATCATATTTCAGGAGATATCGAGACTCCAGACCGCGCTCAACTCGATCACAGCTAGTATATCAGACAAAGCTCATCCCTCCGCAGTGAAGGTATTGCGTCGGACGCTTCAGTTGTAGATGGTGATGGCTCACGTACCTCCTGTGCATAGTTTAGGAACTTCGTAGATCGTCTGCGTGCACTATCTGCTCCTGCTGAGGCAGTTGATTTCTCGACCGTTATGCCCATCGAGATGTCGGTCAGTTTCAAATCCCTACTGGTCGTTGTTTGATATATCAGACGATCATGCACACGCAGGACCACTTAATATCCAGGACCATCGCTCAATTACGACAAAAGGACGTGCTGAAAACCTCCAGGATGACGGTCGACGACACCGTGATGGGGCTCCCCAACTCGCCTCATGCATTGTGCATCCTACCTTTGTTTGCCTATGGCTCCGACTGTTATAGCGAGGAATGGAGCAGCTACTCCAGAGAAATCAAATCAAAAGAGACACGTGAACTCTTCCGTACTCATCATGGAAAGACATACTACATCGGCACGTATCAAGCGGTGGAAGGTCTCGCATTGAGTGATATCCGGTTGGAAGATGTGGATACCAAACTGCTCAAGGTGAGCGAGACAGCCCTCAGTCATGGATCACTTCTAAAGATTTGTGGCATCTCGCTGTTAAAGACATTCGACCGGACAGCGAAGGGCGTCGATTTGGAAGCGGGGCTGACGCGGCTGACGACGCCTGCAGTGTCCTCGAAGAACTCGGTAGCCCAAACAGTGCCTCAGATGTACCAATTGGGCATCTTGAGAGTCGCCGTCGTTGGTCTTCAGTATGTTGGGTTCAACCAACGCCTGAATGAGGAGCTGCACCCAAGGGACCCGCCTTCTGGCGAGGCCTCAGCGGATGTGGACTCGGATTCAGAGACTTCGCTCTCGCTTGTTCCCAGGGGTCTCAAGCAACGCAAGCGTCGTTTGCTCCTTGACAGCAGTTCAGATGAGGAACCCCCACATAAGGAAGCGAAGGTATCTAAAGAGGTGAGCTCAAGCGAGCCTCGGCACCTTTTCTAAGACACAGCATTGATTGATCTCCCTCCATCAGGTCCCTCGGTAGGTGGCCTTGCTTGTGTTTCCTGCCTTTTTCTGCATCCTAACATGAGGTTACCCCGCAGAGTCCCAAAACGTGGCCATTTGTGTAGGAGGATGAGGAGAGGAGGAGGGTGTGTCCACGTAGTCATCGGCCGGGAGCGTGGTAGTGCCCAGCAGCGTCTTGACGATGACAGCGCTCAACACAACTACCTATAGGACTACTGAGTAGACTACAATCCCCAATGTTATGACCCTGTACCCCCGTCCCTGCTTCCATGACCCTCTCGGAGGCCACCATCTTAAGGCCCTGGCCCACTAGCTGCATAGCCGGGCGGGTTACTCGGTTAAAACCTGGTAGGAAAATCTGGCAAAACCTCCAGGAGTCAGCTGTGGTCTCCCGACAGTCTTACATAACTCACCGAGCACTAGGTGAGCCTCCGCTGTCCGCGGCCACCGTTCAAAGGAAGCAGGGGCCGGGGCACAGTCGTCGGATCCACCCATTGGTGCGATCAAAAGTCGTCCTCGCCAGTGTCATCCCATAAGCAGTAGCGATGATGTAGTCGCACGCAGGGCCAGTGACAAGCACGCTCTATGGTGGTAAGAGAAGAAGGTCCTCCTCGGAGACGGCCATCACAGGGACAGACTCGCACAGCTGAAAGACTGAGTGTACGAATTCTCCTAACAGAGCCACTGCATCTCCAGTGGAGACACAGCAGACGTACGCCACACTGGAAAACGGAGAGTGATATAATGATGGACAAATCTTAACGGAATCTCGTTTATATGTACCGCAATCCTGCTGTTTTGGGCCCTAACCTAAGTGTATGTCGACGCCGTTGCGAAGCTGACGAGCTGTGCCAATTGCTGAGCGAGCGCATCTCCAAGGATACGATGCCCGGAAATCGTCGGATGTAGTCCGTCCATGGTGTGCTCCCTCCTGAGATCGCCTCCGATGTCCCATTCGTGAAATTCGACACCTTGCCCGGCATTGGACCTCAACGAAGCCAAAGTCGACGACAGGTCTCGTGTGATAGGGACCTGTTCGGCGCTTTCTGTCGTTTCAGGATCCGAGTCTTCAGTGAAATCGGGGAAGGGATGCTAAGAGCGACATCTGTGAACCACCGAGCGACATAGAAAAGGGAACCTTACCAGGACACATATGTGCTTGACCGATGTGCGATACACTTGCAACAGGCGGTCGACGAAAGCACGCATGGTTGAGACGAATTGGTCGGGGGACACATCTTGCGCGTCGTCGTTCGTACCTGAGATAGAGCTACTTCAGCCTGTACACCCAGCGCGAGGCCTCATAGGCGTGATGCGCACCTAGGGCGATCACTATGATTGAGGGCTGTTCGTCTAGTGCTGCAGGTTCGTCCGACCATTGAGATGTCTTTCATATAACGTCAGGCAGGTAATACAACGGCCGAGCGTATCCAATCAGTTACGCACATGGAAGAACCGGTCTATCATGCCCTGCCCGGCACCCTCGTCCGCTTCCTCTGGCGTAGGCGCTACGAGCGTCACACCGGGGAAGGCTACGAGTTCGAGCTCGATCTCGATGCCCGTTTTCGCGTAGATCTGTCCCTTCGCGATGTGTGCGTACGCGCTGAGGCAGCCCAGAGGGATTGGCTGTGAGCCATCTGAGTAGCCTGCCGTGATCGAGTCCCCGATGGCGAGTACTCTGACTGAGCGACTCGGAACATTGGGGAGAGCCTGAACGCTGTCTTCCTGCATGGCAAGTGTAAGCAGCACAGTACTCATAGTAATTGGAGACCGCCTACATTATCCACGACGATACTCTCCAGTTCGAACACGGATGCCCAATCCACCAGAGTGAGGGTAATCTTGACAGGGACGGGTCGCGCTGTCGGAGTGTCTTCGTCTACCAGAACAACCTCCTGTGATGGCCCGCAATTGTACGTCTTCACCTGATTCTCGTTTGTGCTTGAATCGCCACCACCTTCCGAACATGCGCTGACTGAACAAGCTATCATCGGAGTTCCGCCATTAAACGAGTCCTTGCGCTCTGTACGCGAGCCTGTCCGTATGCTGAGGTAGCTCCCAGAGAAGCAGAAGGAAATGCTGGCGCCACACCATGAGGCGACGAGTGAATCCGCATCTGGTGAGGCCCTAGTCCATCGGCCAAGGCGATGGAACTTGTTGGAGGTAGGTTTCAGAGCTACCCTTGGGCGTGCGGACGAGTTTTCCGGCATGGCCCTCTCTGCATATTCAAGAAGTCAGAACGGGGCTTTTGTATCTGGCACCATGAACGCAGACTCGGACGCGGTCGCGAAACGGCTCGGGGCGTACTCAGGCTATGACTCAGATGCGATCATGAGTGTGGCAACGAGGCCGACGTTACATACGCGTCAGGAATATAAAGCATATGCGTCTTCAGTGGATACGACTCTGGCAACATCTAAGTAGGAGGTGCGAATACTCAAGTACTCACGAAGAACAGTCGTGTCGAAAGCGTTCAAGCCGAGTTCAAGCGGCTGTCTACAAATTACACGTGGTGGCTGCCACTAGATCGCACTAGATAGTGATCCTACGAGCGCTTCTGAATTTACACCGAATGTCTTCACTTCTCCAGTGAAGTCAGGCTGAAGCATGGCCCAGTGCGTAAAGGGACCAGAACGCTGCCACCTCGAAGTGGGAATATTTTACTGATGGTGGTAAAGTCTCAGGATCTCAACAAATACGCATGGACCGTAAACGTGAGGCCTGACAGCATCGGGGGTGGGACGAATCTCATAAGGGAAGTTCCTTCTTGGTTACTAAATTAACTGTACAGAATAAGGGGTACTCAGGCAGACAGTGTAGTGATATTTGAGATGCAATCTAACAATGATAGTGGAAAGGATTGGATATTGAATCTGCAGACCTCGAATCAAGTTCGTACTGAGACGAGATGCTAGACGAGAATCGAACTGGTATCAGGAACCGCGTCATAATCTGAGAATATGCTGACAACGCTTACGGGTATAGAGCATGTGGATATCAACATCCACTGCAGCTGCGATGGGATGTGAATGGCGCCGGCATATTGACTATATCGCCAAACGTGTAGGCCTCTGAGCGTCGTCGGAAATTGGGATCATCAGCACAAGGCGCGCTTCTTGTAGGGGGCAACGTACTGGGTACCCTCCTTAACACCTCTGATCGGGTATATAGTGAGCTCTGGTCAATGAAGGCGAAGCCTAGGGCTTACCTGCCATACCGTACGGGCGTGCACTGGCCGCGGTAGCCATGAGTGGGATGAGAGCGGCCAGTACAGCAACCAGCCGGATGAACTGCATCTCGTCGCGATGCGTGACGGAGGTCAGGAGGGATGAGACGGATGAGACTTCCGTCTGCAATATCCCAACTTATATACACGAAAGGGTTCCTTCAATTCATCCTCTACGGGTGTATAGTGTTGTCCTAGTAGGTATCTGTCAATGCGTAGATGTTCAAGGCGGACAGTCATCTATCACCGACGCATCAGCAGTAGCATTTGCTGTCGGAACACATAGCTGCTCTCGACGTCGACTGCCCAATTCCTGAAGAGTCGACAGCAGCGTTCAAGGAGAGAATCTTTCACATAGAAAGCGCGGTCTCGATGATGCACAACAATGGCGAAGGCTGCGCATGTGAGGAACCTATATGAGGACTCGATGAGCTCTGAGAGTGATCTGTCGTGCGGCCCACGAAGCTCCATTCGAGACGCCCGACGTCTACGTCAGCTACGCAGCTGGTGATTGCGCTAGGCATAGAGATGTGGCGGCGTATGGGAGGTTGATGTCGAGTTCACTGGCAAGCGAATGGCCAAACGGATGGGGTGTTGGGCCCCCTCGCGAAGTGTTATTTTGGTGAATGATGCCCGCGAAAGCCCGTACGACGGTGGACAAACGAAGTAGCACTGAGAACCTGGAGTGGGAGTCAAGAAAAGGAGGACTGATCTTTCGGATCATTTCGCTTCTACGATCGCACGAGCCATAGCTTCGACGCCGCAGCGTGAGTCCCGCGTCGGTCGTGTGTTCAACGTTCGACGCAACACTGAGCACCTGTCGCTGGCTGCGAATCCGTTTATCATATGTCAAATCGAAATTGACTTCTTGAGGATTCCGTACTCCAGTGATTGTCTTCCTGCACGAAATGGAGAGCTTCTCGTGTCGTAATTCACACATGGAATCTTGTGACTCACTGCATGCGCATCCTTACGTCGAACTGCCGCCGACAGTGACGGAGATCAATGTGGATGGGCCGGGATGGCTCCGCGGGGAATGCTTCAATATTCATAGCCCTTCCCTTGCTCGAGGATCCGCAATGTGGTCTGGCAGGAGAGCAAGCATAACGCAGGAATTGAGGACCGCAAATATTCGGGGTAGCTTGGGATTTCGAGAGCAAGAGATTTCTGCGGTGTGTACGAGCCCATACGACTGCGGACTCGCGGTTGGGTCACCGTCGGCTGTCGTCGGGTTGTCGGTCTGAAAGTGCGCGTTTAACATTGAATTAGATCCTGATCCCGATCGCGCGTCTACCCCACACATGCGGGTCTGTGGCGGGGATCTTCCGACCTATTTAACCACAGTTGTCGAACACCGGCCATTACCTCCCTCATTCTCGTCGCCCAGCATTACTGAGGATTGTCTACATGCTTTCTCTACCGCGCGTATTTCTTCGTCGGCAGCCTGCTGGATTGCACAGACTGAAGTCTAGTGTATCAGGCTCAACACGCTTGCAGTCGAGTATGTCCTGTAATGCTCAGAGTTACCGTGACCAGCTGATTGAGGTGTCTACATGCGTTAAGCATTTGCGAAGTACGACCAGGAGGTATGTTGAGGGCTGCTTCTCTAGCGGAGCAGGCTCTCACATGAAACACAGGACCCCCTGAATTTGGAGAGCCTATTGACGGAGGAAGAAATCGCTGTCCGGTATGTCTCAGCTTTCCTTCATTCAGTCCAGGATTCGAATCTTTGAGCTAGGGATACCGCACGAGCCTTCTGTCAGGCACGTTCCTAGCCTTCCCCTTTTCATCGCTCTAGTGACGAACCGCCCAGTAGGAGAACCTTATGCCGAAGGTCCTCCACGCACTACGTACAGAAGGTAGGCATATCATTCAACGTATTCTAGCTCGCACGACTTAATAGCGCCTCTCGATAGAGTTCAATCATGACGTCCTACCAGCCATGGGCGCGCTTGGGTTCCTCGGTCCGACGATCCAAGGGTATGGCTGCGCCGGTGTGAGTAGCGTAGCATATGGCCTCATCGCGCGCGAAGTCGAACGGTAGGTGCTCTGGGCTACCACCATCCTAGCATTGTTGTTGATCTGCCTTGCCTTACGCAGTGTGGATTCCGGCTACCGGTCGACCATGTCTGTCCAGTCGTCGCTGGTGATGCACCCGATCAACGAGTATGGCAGCGAAGCGCAGAAAGAAAAGTATCTGCCACGTCTTGGTGCGTACCGTTGATTTGCTGTCCGCTCCGCCTCAGCATGAATAACCGGCGACGACAACAGCGAAGGCCGAAATCGTCGGATGCTTCGTATGCCCCTATTTCTCGTTCTTCGGCTCGCTGAGATCATGACCACCATTCTCTCTTAGGGCCTCACTGAACCGAATCACGGCTCTGATCCCGCTGGCATGGAGACCGTCGCCGAAGAGGTCGACGGCGGGTTCGTCATCAACGGCGCCAAGACATGGATCACGAACGCACCCGTCGCGTCAGTCCGCTTCTATCCAGCGTCCCAGACCTTTTCTAACCTCACGATCCGACCAGCGACTTATTCGTCATCTGGGCACGCTGCAAGTGGGACGACAAAGTGCGCGGGTTCCTGCTCGAGAAGGTGCGTCGGACCCCGCACGCCCCGCCACTGATACAGCGCTGATAGACGGCGTAGGGCACGAAGGGCCTCTCGGCGCCCGCGATCAAGCACAAGCTCGCGCTGCGCTGCTCCATCACCGGCTCCATCTTCATGGACAGCGTCAAGGTCGGGCACGACGCGCTGCTCCCCAAAGCCAAGGGCCTCGGCGGGCCCTTCGGGTGTCTGAACAGCGCCCGGTGCGCATGTCCCTTACCACCTCTCATCTGACCAGCTGCAGCTCACTGACGTGTTACCTTGGGTAGGTACGGCATCTCGTGGGGCGCCATGGGCGCGCTCGAAGACTGCATCGACCGCACCCGTGCGTACGCGCTCGAGCGGCACCAGTTCAAGCGCCCGCTCGCGTCCTTCCAGCTCGTGCAGAAGAAGCTCGTCGACGCGCAGACGGAGGCCGTCCTCGGACTCCACGCCACTCTGCAGGTGCGCGTCGCGTCCCCGTTCGTCCCGCCGCGGATGTCTCGCGCGATTGCTGACGGGGTAGTTGTGTTGTGATAGGTGGGCCGGCTGAAGGACGAGGGCAAGGTCGCGCCGGAGATGATCAGTCTCGTGAAGCGCAACAACTGCGGGAAGGCGCTGGAGCACTCGAGGAGGGTCCTCGACATCCTGGGCGGGAATGCGTGCTCCGACGAGTCAGTGCCCCTCTCCGGTCCGCGGTCTCACGCAAGCTAACGAACGACGTTTGTAGGTACCACGTCGCCCGACATGTAGCGAACCTGCAGGTCGTGAACACGTACGAAGGTGCGTCCTCTCTCTTCCTCCTGTGGTGAAGCTGAATGTCGGATTGACCCGTACACGCACGTCAGGAACATACGTGAGTCGGAGCAGTCGTCGTACGATGAAGGATCGCGCACTGATGACTGATGTTTCGCAGGACATTCATACGCTGATCCTCGGCAAGGCAATGACCGGACTTCAAGCGTTTGCGAACTGAACGGCCCCTGATATACCACAATGTACCTATCACACAATCAGGTTGGATAATCGAGCTTCGGATCACCGAGATTCGCGGGGTGGAGACAACAAACACCAGGATTGCTACAGGACGACATCTGGGCTACTAGGATCTCGGAGGCGATACAGCAGGCGACAGAAGAATTTGTGCTTTGTGACAGACGACATGCGTTTGGTGATGTTCAGCGGCGCAGTTAACCCTATGCATCTGCGTTCCGCCATTCCGGCGCCACCCACTCCAGTCCTAAGAGGTCAAAGGCCTCCTTCTCTGTCTTCGGGAAGAACATCTTTGAGTCGTACCGTCTTGTGCTGTGCGAAAGTGAGCAGGCGCAGACGGCGAGAGCGATGGCCAAAGAGTATCACTTACATTCCCGAGCTGTCGAATTTCATGGCACTTGGTGGATGATATCAGGCGAGTGTCGCTCGTGCGGCGGAATGTTGCACACTCACAGCTTGTCTTTGGCCCATTGTCTGAGGTCCCGCTGGAACATGATTGACCCTGACCTGAAGGTTTCATTCATCAGACGCACAACTTGAAGTCGCTATGATGCTAGGACTTACCAACCGATAACAGCAGTCCAATACACCTCGGGCGGTGCGAAGATCATGTCGAGACGCCGCCGGATACCGTTGTGTATCTGCGATGAGTTTGGTAACGTGAAGACGGTGAGCGCCTTCTCGAGCGAATCCCAATGGGTGGTTCGTAAAGGATTATGCCCATGGAAGCCAGACAAATCTGCGGGTCGCTCAGTTGACAAAAGCATAGGCCACCCGCGAGCGACGTACGCATGACATGGCTGACCATACCTGTCGCCCAGTCAGAAACCTCAGGTCTGCTACACGAGCCGGTGCCAACTCACCTCGTTCGTACAGTCTGCGCACAAACCGCTTGCAGAGCCCCTTCATAACGCCTGCGTCAGGGTGCGTGAAGACGATATCGACGTCATTGCTCTCCGGCTTCCCTCGCCGATAGCCCCCGACGATCGTGCTCACGCACCCTGGCTCTAGCTCGGCCAGCTCGGCCATAACGATGCGCTCCATCTCTTCCACCTCAGCTCGTGGTATCCTGTTCCAGATTCCTCAGCAAACCACCAAGCAGCCGACGTATCCGAGTCGCACGTACTTGATGGCAAGGTCCTCCCTCAGTTCCAGCGCGATCCGGATCCAGCTATCTCCCAGACCTCCATCGCCCTCACCCTTCTCACCCCCGAAGCTCCCTCCTAGCTTACCATGCTTGCGATTGCCCTTATCCTGGTCCTGCCCGCGCCAATAATGAGGCCGCTTCTGCATCTCGACCTCTTGCAGCTCCGACGGGCCAGTAGCTTGTGGCTCGTCGCGCTCGACGCCATAGTAGATCTCGAGGTCGTTGATAGAGCGCAGGCCGAGACTGTAGAGGCGGTGAGCGGTGTTGGGCCCGATGCCATAGACGGAGGTAAAGAGGCTGAGGGCTTTGAAGCGGTCCGATGCGAGGATAGTTTCTGCGATAAAGCATAGGTGAGGCGAAGCCAGCGCAATGCGGCTGAAGAGACGCACGAGCTTCCTCGATCTTTCCCGTGTCGATGAATTCCTCTACCTACGCAGACGTGCGTTGATTCCCAGTAGACCCGATCCCCAGAGAGGACATACCATGGTACCAGTCTTCTGGCCAATGAAAGGAAGCTTCTGCACCTGCGAGACGGAGGTGATCCGATGCGGATACGCTGCCAGCACCGACATCGATGATAAGTCAGCGAGCACCGAAAAACAAGTGTGGTCTTCCTGACCTTTGATCACCGAGATTGCGCGCTGGTAACTCAACGCGTTGCGTTCTTCGCTCTCCATAGCACGAGAGCGATGCACGATATCGAGCTCCCGTACGAGCTCTTGATTGGGGCATGTAAGGGGGGATGCACGCCGGCACGCGTATCGAGACGCATAATTGAGCTTGTCCAGAGGCGTCGGGATAGATGGGTCCGGATGCAGGAGACGAGCAGGAATCTTGGCGTGCATGTCTGACTCTTGCGTCTCCTCGAGCCCAGCCTTTGTGGGCCTGTGCTTCGACGACGCTGGCTGGTCTGCGGAGGGAGGAAGGGGCGACGTCGGGGGTATGAGAAGCTCGAGCGGAGGTGCAGGCGATGACAAGCGTAGAGATTGCGGTGGTGTTTGTAAGCCTGTGTGCTTCACGATGGCAGGACTGGATGGTGTCTCTACTTCTGAATCTGAGTCGCCGCAAAGACACGGTGCAAGATTGCATTCTGGGCAATTTTTCTCGGTCTCAGTCCGTAGCTCCTGGATTGCAGCATAATCGACACATGGGAGAACTTTGTTTTGCTTGACACAGTCCCGGAGCCATTGAGGCGTTACTATCGCCTTCTGTTTCTGCAGGGAGTTTCAGCTCAGCTACAGGTAGGTAAAAACCAGCGGTTGTACTCACAGCAAGAGTCCATGGTATGTGTCGTTCCAAACGCCTCCTCATGCGAATGGTTGTGATTATCACGTCAGCCTCGGTCGCGTTTGAACATAGGCGTTGTGCATGTCTCTCCGCGAGCCGGAAGAGCTCCGATAGACTGGACGGATCCAGCTTAGCCTGAACAATGTACAACGTGACATCTGGTATGGCCTTCTCTGAAGGCTCCAGACGGGCATGCTTCGATGGCTGGAGAGCCGACGAGGAAGATTCCAGTGACTGAGAGTCAGAGCGAGGATGCGGTTCAGGAGCAGGTCGCTTGAAAGGCATGGTAAGATAACTATCTACAAAAAAGGTTAGGAAGACGCTGAATAACGCCTCTTCCGTACCCATAGTGTCGCATACACGTCAACGAAGACTTACCACTTGTAAACCGCACCCGCGGCCTCAGCCAGGTTCAAAGCTTTCAATCAATAACAACTGTTGTCGGAATTGTGAGTATGTACACCATCAAGGAGAAGCAAAATCAAGATTTCCTCCTCGGGACAGTTGTTCGTACATATGACAATGTACTGCTCAAGACGTAGTAAGTAACTTACCGGGTGATGGTCACGGTGGTGACGTCGCGTCGGTGCGCGTCGTAATCACATGATGCATTCAGGGCAAGCTCTTGCGCGCGATGCAAGTACTGACGCGCTTTGAGCAGGAACTTGAACTTGAGCTTGAAGCTTGAAGCGTCGTGTCCACATACAACTGCCTTAGGGGAAACTTCTGCTGGTAAGTATGCTGTGCATCATATACCAATTTCTGCTTGAAGAGCATAGGCCGTGACTACTGCCATGTGCATACTACGGCTTTGGAACATCCTTCCAGGTTCCCGAAACCGCTGGCACAAGCCTTGAGGACACGCGCATTCCTGGCTCCTGAGACATGGATAGCGCGACAATGCTTCAGACATCTGACTGGACAACGGCAGCTTCGACCGTGACGCATCTGGGACTCAAGTTCAGATAGTTAGCGACGTGTCGAATATGGGCTCAAATTCAGGTCATCGCCAACACCATAGCATTGCCATAACTCATATCCAACTGGTACGTGCCGTTTGACATATCGAGGCTCGTCGCATCATTCTATCCTAAGCCCTGGAAAGGACAGGTCCGATCTTGATGTCGCTCGTGTCCCACTAGTAGAATTCCAAGCAGTTTAGCAATGCAGTCACCCGTCGAAGAAGTAACGACCTACCACACCGGCCTTGTAGTACGGCTCCTGTTCAATGAGCTTGCGTGCAGCCTCCAGGCTGTCGGCCTTGACGATCAGCAAGGTCCCAGCGATGTCGGGAACAACCGTGAGCGGCAACTTCTCGTCCTTGTTCAAGATCGCACCACCGAACTCTAGATGAAGTCCACAGGTTGTCAACGAACAAGAACATCAGACACAAGAGCAATGTGGCTGGACGTGACAAGTCGACTTACGGAGGATGCCATCCGCGCGGCGGGCCTCCATCCACTCGTTATGCTCGCTGTCGACGGCCTTACGTTTCTGCATGACGTCGCCGACTTTGCTGTCCGGAGCCCAGACGAAGTACGTGATCTGCAGGTTGATTTGAGACATGTTGGCTGAGGACTGAGTACTGACTCGGAGGCTCTGAATGCAGATTAGCTCTGCTCCTCTGCATCTTATATGCAGTGCGCGCATGAGCCAACCGCCCGCGCATTACATACGGATCCGAGCAGGAGGCAGGCAGTCGGACAAGTGCCTTGCCTGATATGTACGCAAACATAACCGATCGTAAGAGAAGCGAGGCTTGTCGGGTCTGGTGCGCAGTGGCAATACTGCAAATGGTTCGTAGCGCCATTCTCGCAACATTGCCTGAGCAGCACGGTGTATGTGGGCCGACGCTTCTGACGTGTCTCGGTAGCCCATTTGGCATTCCTGGCAGACCCGAACAGTGTCCCGAAGCTCAGCAGACAAGTACTCGACCGTGGAAGTGTGGACTAACGATAACTGCATGAGCGTTGCCGGATTCGGTCGACCACGCTGAGCTTGACAGAACTTCACAGCCTCGAATGTCGTGATGTGAGAGATCGTCAGTACATATCAAAGCATGAGAATCATTATTCGAGGCATACAATATCAGTCCGTGTCATGTCCATGCAGAGTCCTCGAGTCTCCCCACTCAAGATCCATTGGTAAATCACGCCTCGAAGTCCCAGACCGCAGACCGTTGGCAATAATCAGAGCCCTGCCGCCGCTCTCAATTTGTCGTAGAGAGGAGTCCCCAGACCGGTGACCTGCACGATGCGGCGCAATCAGTCCCTTCGTTTCCTTCGGTAGCTGGAATGCACTTACAGGGTCCCACCCGGTCGTCGCCACGAAGCCAGCCACGGAGCCATCGGACTCCAGGCACTGCTTGTTATTTCCCTTCACAATATCTGTCACTGCACCCGCTGCCTTCGAGTACAACCACGGGTTCAAGAAGCCCAGCACGGGCTTGCCTACATTGAGCAGCTCGTCGTTCAGCAGCGCGATGACGCTCGCCCACATTGGCGTCGAACAGCTCGTGCCCGTCGTCGGAGCGTAGGCGCCACCGACCACGGTAGCGAAATCCACGCCGAAGCCGCTGACATCCGGGAAGCCGCGACCGGACGCGTTGTATAGCCCTGTGTCATTGCTGCCGAGCTGCTTGAGGTAAGCCGAGACCGCAGAAGACTGGTAGGTCGGCATGGGGAAGTAGTTGGAAAAGCCGCCGCCCGAGAAGGGCACGCCTTGCTGGTCTGCCCAGTTGATGTCCGCACCCGTGGCACCAACCGAAGTCACGCTACGCAACAAGGATGGTATGTCAGATTCTTGTGGTGTGGGCGACAAGGGCTTCGACTTACTATGGGCACGTGTTGGGGAACGTAGGCACGAAGGTCGTGCAATCTTGGTAGCCTGTACCTGAGACGCCACCGTCGCCGGAAGAGAATAAGATTGAGACACCCCTCGCGCCGAGTTGCGCATACGCGTTGCAAAGGTTGCTGCACGAGGGCGCGAGCGGTTGAGCCAGTGTTTACTAGGGTCTCTCATGCCGAAGAAACACTCACTACGCCAGTTTCTCCGAGATCACGTCTTCGTTGGCGGAGTAGCTCGTCGTCATCACCGGGGGTGGCGATGCCTGATTGAGGACATAATTCACCGTGTCGAGGTAGCCGGACAGCCCGTCATGTGTGTCGTTTCCGGCCAGGAGGTAGGTCACTGGAACGCCCGTGGCAAGGCCGACGGTATACTGTATATCGAGATTCTGCTCCTTCGTTAGATTGGCTGCGTTCCGAAAACATCGATGCCCTTACCCCTTCAGATCCAGCGGTAACATTCTGCAGATTACTGCCTCCGTCAATCGTCTCTGTCGCGAAGGTCGTTGAAGGGTTTATATCTGGCCTGTACTGCTCCAGGAATATCTGAGCGCAGCAAGTTAGCATGGATCATGTTCCCTCGGCCCTGATGACAACAGACTTTCAGATCGTTCGCGTTCGCGTATTGCTCTACATATCCGGCGACCACGATGCCGTTGTCGGGATTCGTCGCGGTAGTGGTCGGAATGCCATACAGGTACTGGAGGCATGCTACTGTGATGTTCGACCGGTTGTAAGGTCCGCAAACAGCGGTGACATTCGATGTATCACGGGTAACGGCCGGGATGTGGGGGCTTGCGGCCGCAACAAAAGCGGGTGCAGTGTTGTTCACGATTTGCACCGGGAAGCTAGGCTCCATCCATGTCAGTACGTGTGGACGTATCAAGATCCTCTGCGAACCTGGTGATGGGATGAATGAGATCCACATGCTCCGCTAGGTCCACAGGGATCGAGTATTGCAAAGCCCGGATTGTCTGCGTGCCTGTAACTTCGTGTCTGAAGACAGAGAAGTCCGTGTCCAGGAGCTCATTTGCTTTGCTGACTGGGATATTGACCTCGACCCAGTCGCCCGAAGGTGATACGGGCGTTGCCGTGAGGTTGTTGTCCCCAAGCCATGCGTTAACAGCCTCGACGCTATCCTGCGTCGGCTTGACATAGGCTTCGACCTGGCACAGCGTTCAGGGTATACTCGAGAGCGAAACGAATGGGGACAAACATACCTCTTCTTTAGTTAGGTATTCGCCGTAGTTCGGACTTTCGGGATCACTGACGTCGTAGAGTGTGTCAAGCAGTCCGTCGATATTGCTCTGCACCAGTGCGACCCGAAGATTGAGTACCGTGTCCGGGGATGCAGAAGAAATGAGCGTATAACCACTCGGAGCCGCTGCACGAGCCTCGTGTAGCTGCAAGGTCCGGCGAGCCAAAGGGTTGCCCCACGCGACGCCCAAAGCCGAGGCTGCCACCACTGCCCAGAGGAAGCTTACCATACTTGACAATGTCGGCGCAGGAGAGTAGGCCCTGGACTGGAATCGAAGTATCTGGCCCAGGTAGGCTTTTGTACCTCCCGCCTGAGCTCGAGATCGACGATGGCTATGCGCGAACGCCTTGTGAGACCGATATCGCTGTCTCAATTTGAGTTCTCCTGCACAACACCTGCTGTCTCGGCGATCACACACCGCCTTTACACACACAACATAATGCACGCGGTCTCGAAGACGAAAGGCGCTGACATCGCACGGTCTGCGCGCGCCGCTGAGATCGTCGACGGCCATCAGGACCGCTGGATATATTCGTTTGGGCTTGTCAAATGCGTCGTCTGGAGAACGCACGGCGCAAATGTGTGCATTGTCTACGCAGACATTGCGAAGCTGATGCGCAAGAATGATGGGTACGCAAGCGAGTGTCGCGGTCTGCGACCGGTAGTGTGAGTACTGAGCGTACTGAGCGGAGGCGCCGAGTCACTGATTCCGTGATTTGCAGAAATCGGCGTAACCATAAATGGGTGCCGCGCCCGACAGGCGATCGAGGTCCTCCGAGGACAGAGTTCTGCTAATTGGCTTTGAGTAGCTTCTGGTGAAACTATCCCATCCTATTCGGATGAACGCGAGCTGAAACGTCTGCCATGCAGGTTTTGTGACTGTTCGAAGAATGGGCGACCAAGTCTTGAGGAATCGAAAGAAATCCGCTTGGTGTCCACCAACAGAAACAAACTGCTTGAACGATTCACTGGCTTCCTGTTCAATGTGAATGTCGAGTCGCTGCACAGATGGATTCCACGCTAAACTCAGTGTGAGTTCATACACAACGTCACACACTATTAGCATACTCTAAAGACAGCAAAGGTACAGTTGAGATCGATGACGTACTTCGTCCTGGCATGCTAGCCAGAGAGATACGCTCCAGTACTGAGGCCTGAGGCCTGAGGCCTGAGGGGCCAATCACTTGCAGAAGGCGCGTCACTAAATGGGCATCTTGACCGGTGACCTCGGTGATGGTCAGGTCTATTACGTGCTGACAACACAGTGGATGTATCGTGACGAACCAATCGACCAGAGCAGCATATAGCCCGATATCCAAGTGACGTAGCTCGAGTCGCCGCAGATGTGGGACGGATACGTGGGTTTGGGGCCGCTCAGAAAGAGCTAACGATAGAGCCGGAGGGCGCTCTGGCAGTGCGTATTTTCCGTCACGCAGAACCAAGGTGTCCAGCTGTGGGGATGCGAGGATGATGCGGCGAAGCTGGCCAAGACGAAGTTGACAATTGTTACCAATCCCGGCAGACGAGCGCGACCGACGACCGGTCCATCTCCAAGTCGAGGTGAGGGGAACTGTTGTAGAAGACATCGAGGGGGATACGCCGTGAGAGTGATCGGGGGAGGGGATATACGTGTTTGCTGGGGACCGGAGCCCAATAATATGCGTCCCAGTCGACAGGTCTGGGCACGCTCAAGTAGATATCGAGCTGCTGGTTTTCGTTGACGGGATGATGTTGATGAGCTGCGTCCATGACCGACTGCTGGTGATGTCTAAGTAGATCTTGGTCTCATCATTATTGCCAGCATATGCAAGAAACGAACAAACCTGTTTCTCAGATAGGAGGTCCACGGGATTGCTCACGATCTTCCTACCAGCTATTTAGTAGGTTGAGAAGCCCCCGATCTACGTAGACACAGCAGCGAGTTCACGGCCTCACGCCATTCTACGATAAGACTTATAAATGGGTGTCATCGTACCGATCTGCGACCGCAGAAGGCTCTGAATCTTGCCGCCAGATACACCGCCCCCGATGGCTGTGTACGTTCCTTTTTCAGAGGTGCCAGCACGATAGAACTCTGTTAACGACAGGCGAGTCATGGGCGCAGGGCATCCTCTATTACCTGCAGATATAGCCACAGAGCATAGACATGGTATACAGCCTTGCACCGCGCAAATCCTATATCCATGCCGATAAATCAATCTCAGTTGCCAGTGTGCAGCGGACCAGAAGCACGTACCTCATTCTCCCCTCCATCGCCTCAGCATCCTTCTCACAAACCCCGGCTTCTCTCTCCGCAGCACCTCCGGCATCGCCAACTCCTTGAAGAACCTCCCATAACGCACATCCGTCCAGTCTTGCGCCGCTCCCCGGCCCTCGCCGAGCACCCACCGCTCAACGCCCCTCAAGAGCTGCATCTCCAGCCGGCGCAAGATCGGGCTGTCGCGCTCCCACACTGTGGTCGTCAGAATCGCTAACGGGCCCACTCGCACGCGCGACGAAGCAGTCGGACTGGACGCGGGCGCTCGTGGAGCGAAGACGTCGAGCTCCTTGCTGGGGCTATCGACTAAGTCTGGCTGTTCGCCCGCGGGTGAAGGGGCGGTTGGCTGTGATACCCGCTCGTGGCGAGCCATACGGTTGGCCATGACGGTATCTGTGAATATGCGATCGCCGACGACGATTAGTTCCTCGTCGCGAACGGGTCGAGGGAGGGAAGCGAAGTATGCGCGGATGGAAGATATACATGAGTACGATGGTTTGAATGATGGATGGCGGAGGACTGGAGCGGAGAGGTGATGCGAGACGGACTCGGCCTGCAAACGTACGTCAAGTCTCGGAAGGGCAAGAAACCGCAAATGAATACCTGAATCTCGCCTGCGTCCAGGTGCGAGCCAGCGGAGTTGCTGACGATGAGCACGTTTTGAGGCCCGAAGGTTTTGCGGCATTCATCCCAAGCATCCTGGGATCGTCAACGGAAATTGAGCATGCAGCAGGGCTTGCCCGTTCTATCGCAACGCACCTTGAGATCCGGAACGAGAGTATCCCGATGTGGAGGGGTCTGTGGTCACACACTTTCCAGCCAACCGTCGTTGTATCAACAGGTCGCACTCACGAGACAATTGTCCTTGTCGAACACAGCACCTCGGTACCCCGTGCGACGCAGCTCGGGGAAGTCAAGCTGGCGAATATCTTGCTACAAACGCGCTATCAATAAGACCAGTGCATTCCCGCAAAGTAACCAGATTCCCAGACCTTTTACAATCATCTGCGGGACGATCAACCTCGGATTGATGAGGAGGTGTAGAGGTACTAGCGTGCCCGGGATGTTGAGCGGCATGTTTCCCAACCAGTCCCGTTTCTACTGCGGCCGCTCTGCTGATCGCGTGTGCCAACGTAGACCCTCCAGCTGACCTATCCTCCGCAAATCTGACCTATTTCCCGGGAAGTCGGAGGTCGAGCGTACTGGCAGAGGCAGAAAGTGGGAAGGACTTCTGGTCGACGCGGGATGGGGCCTGCCGGGAAACGACGTATGAGCCCACGTGACTTCCCGTGCATAACTGACCTCCCCTCGTCCCACTCTCGCCTGCACGCCCACCACTCCAGACACTCCTCGTTTCTCCCGTCGTCGCTCGTCGCGATGCTCGGAATCTGTGGGCCGCTGAGGACGCGGTCGGTGGTGAGGATGCTGCGGCCGACAGCGGCAAGACCACCAATGCGACTACCATGCCGGGCTGCATTCGCGCAGAGGTTGCTCACCACGTCTCAATCCTCCCCGACGTCTCAGTCGACGAATAATCCTGCAACACCATCGCAGTCCGACTCCCCTTCAAATAAACCGCATACACCACCTCCATTACCTACCGAACCTCCGGCGCCGAAAACCTCGGTCCTCTCGCGCGTCCTGCCCGCGTCGCTTGCGGAGTCAGGCAAGACCGCCTCATCCTTCCGCAAGATTGTCGCGCTCGCAAAGCCCGAGCGCAAGCCGCTCGCAATCTCTATAGGGCTGCTAGTCATCTCGAGCTCAGTCTCGATGAGTATACCGTTCACGGTTGGACGGCTCATCGACTTCTTCACGTCTCCACTACCGGTGCGTCATACATTGCAGGTCCCCGAGCCACTCGCCGCGTATGAGAGCTCTTCGGAGTAACCGGTAGCTGTGACACTTGTTGTATGGCGTGTGAGCTTTCAGCAGTACACCCAGCGGTGCGTACATACGGAGCTCTTTCGCATCAGCAACCTACGCGGTATGCGCGTGCGCCATTTGAAAGGACCGCGATCTTTATTCATGTCGACTCGCCGACTTGGGCTCTCTTCCGTGGTGGCGGCTCCGGGTACTTGCACCGTTCCTCGAAATGCACTTGCTTACTTACATGTATCGCTTGTGCATACAGCAAATCCCTTTCGGTCTGACTCTGGGTTCAGCTTCGGCATTGCTGTTTGCGATGTTCACGGTTGGCGCGGCGGCGAATGCGGGACGTGCTATGCTTATGCGGTTATCAGGTCAACACCTTTCGGGCAGTCATGGTCTGCTGAGTGCTGAATGTCCTTTCCAGGTCAACGGATCGTGGCACGACTTCGCGAGCGCATGTATGGTGCTGCACTACAACAGGAAGTCGAATACGTTGAACGCGGAGAAGGAGATGTCCTCAGTCGACTAAGTGTGGATTCTAACGTTGTTGGTGACAGGTATGTCAATGTCATTCATCTGGTTCGTTCCGGTGGTCCATAACCGGACAAGGCGGCACAAGCACTAAAGACGGAAATGCGTGCCAAATTCTCAGTCGTTTTGCATCTTCGTCATGAAGGAAGTAGCTCAACTGATCCACAGTCTGACCCAGAACCTCTCGGATGGCTTACGGTCAATAATCATGTCTTCCGCCGGCTGTAGGTTTCCCTCGATCATGAGCACCACATATATCTGAGCACAGGACAGTGGGGGCGATGTTCTACATCTCACCGAAGCTGACGTTCCTCATGCTTGCGATTGTCCCTCCCGTATCTCTTGGTGTCGTACGTGCACTTCATTGTTTCGGGCGATCACACCCTTAGATTATAGGGGCGAGTAGGTCTTCTACGGTAGATACCTGAAGCGGCTGTCCACGAGGACGCAAGAGGCCCTCGGCGAGATGACGAAGGTGCTTGCTCTGAGCAGCCCGCATAACTTCTGTCTCCTGACGTCATCCTACTCGTGACAGGTCGCGCAAGAATCACTCTCGGCACTGCGTACTGTGCAGGCGTATAACGCCGTCCCGCATGAGCAACGGAAGTTCCACGAGAAGGTCGGAGATGTCCTCGCTCTCGCGCGCAAGGAGGCCATCGCGTCTGGGATCTTCTTCGGTAGTACGGGATGGAGCGGGAACGTGACACTACTGGGTTTACTTGGTTTTGGTCAGTGCTGCTGCGCGATTCACGACTGAACATTGCTTGACTTGATGTTATACGCAGGCGGAACGATGGTCTCACAGGGTCAAATCTCGGTCGGTGACTTGACGAGTTTGTTGCTATACACTGTTTATGTCGGCAGTGGCCTGCAGATGCTTACGTACGTACCTCCTTCCCTCCGTAGTTCTCCCATACTCACTTCTCTCCCAGATCGTTCTTTGTATGTTCGTATCGCTCCTCCATGCCAGCTACAACCTGACGCGAGGCTTGGACAGACATCGATCATGCGTGGCGTCGGCGCCGGAGAGCGCATCTTCGAGCTCCTGGACCGCCATCCTGCCATCCCGCCGTATACAGGTGCGGCAGTGGACCCGACCCGACGCGGTCCTGTGCGCTTTGAGGGCGTGTACTTCCAATACCCGAGCCGGCCGGGCGTGGAGATTCTGAAGAATCTCGAGCTTGAGGTCAAGGTTGGCGAGAGCGTCGCGCTTGTGTGAGTTGTCGCTCGGCTGCGTCAAAGTGAGTATGCGAAGAGTCAGCTGACGTGACTCTCGTTGCAGGGGTCGGAGTGGCAGCGGCAAGTCATCGGTCAACGCGCTGTTGCTGCGGTACTACGATCCTGCCAAGGGCAAAGTCACTTTTGATGGTCAAGGTCTGGCGATTTCTCGTAGTTCTGATGACATGTACACTTACTGTATATCGTTCTCAGACATCCGCGAATTCAACCCAGCCTCGTGGCGCAATATTATGGGGGTCGTACCGCAGGTCAGTATTCGCCAAGACATTCCCCAGAGAGGATCACTCATGGTCTCTGTAGGATCCCGTATTGTTCACTGGCACCATCGCTTCCAACATCGCATACGGCAATGAGACTGCGACACGCGAACAGATCGAAGCGGCCGCACGCGAGGCGAACTGCGAGTTCATTTGGGGTATGCCAAAGGGCTTTGACACAGAAAGTACGTAATCCCTTTGGCTTCGCAAACATGCGCCCTGACGAAGACGCGCAGTTGGGCGTCTCAGCTTGAGCGGTGGGCAGAGGCAGCGACTGGCTATTGCGCGAGCACTGCTGAAGAAACCGGCCATCCTCGCTCTAGACGAGGCGACGAGCTCCTTGGACGCTACTTCCGAGCACCGGGTACGTCGAGGTTTCATCGAGGTGACACCGACTGACGCGCACATCTCCCAGGTGAATGACGCGATAGACAAGATCTTGCGGTCCAGACAAACGACCTGCCTTATCGTGGCACATCGCCTGTCCACAATCGCCCGCGCCGAAAAGATTGTTGTCCTCGAAGGTCCGTAGCGCGATCGCCAGCCCTCCTATTACGGCTGATAGAGTTTGCGCATGTTCAGACGGCCACGTTGTGGAGGCAGGGACGTACAGGCAATTGGTAGGAGCCTCGTTCCCGCAGCTTTTGTGGTCACCTTCCTGATCGTTATCCCACAGGTGAATAGGGAAGGGTCGAGATTCCGCGCACTCATGGCCGCGCAGCTGAGTGCCGCGGCAGGCGATACGCCAGCGGAGTTGCCCGCGGGAGAGGGATCGCATGATTCCCAAGAGCAGCGACCTCAGCCCCAGGCGCAGCTCTGAAGCGGAAGGGTAACCTCTGCTTGTTTGTCGTACGTAACATTTGTCGCCACTCTTCGGACAAATGCGCGAGAACGGAAAGGGTATTGTATCGCTTATCAGTAATGTTGTATCTAGACGCAGATTAGACCGCTGCATGCGTTCAGTCTTGCAGGCAATCAGCACACTTCGCGAGGTAATCGGAGCGTCAGGTGAGCGGGGTGTTGTAGACTCACGGCGATGGATGCGATTTCGTGACTTCGCATCTACCGCTTGGGAAGACGCCGCGGGCCATGCGGTTTACGCATTGTTTCGAGCGTGTGAGCAGGGTACGATATTGTGAGTAGACCCCAGCATACATATGGGTCTCTGACTTCGGTGAGGAATTTGCGTCCGGGTCCGTCTGAGACTTTTATGAGCCCCCAAGCCTGGCCCACAGCGAGTACCAACAGTCTCTTTAATCTCATCACTTCCTCTATTAGACCCGCATCTAACACGTCTCAGCGTTCGCCGTCTAACACAAGAGATAGCAATATGGCGTCCAAAACCCCCGCAAAGCTCCCGACAGCAACAAGACATAATAAACAGGACAACAAGGCAAAGCAGGGGCCGCAGCCCAAGGCCGGGTCGACTCCCTCGTCATCCCAAATGTCGGACAGGACGAGCATGGCAAGCGCAATGAGCGAAATCACGACATTGGCAGCAACGGATATCGTGGATAACACTCGAAGTTCTCTGGGCCAGTTAGGTGTTCGTCACACTTCATGTTCAATGTTTCTTGCTCGCTGAATGGTCGACGGTCGCGTTGTCTGTCGCTCATCCCGCGATCAGCAAACATTTGACAAACTTGCAGAGCAAATGACCAGCATTGCACGGTTGGGCGAAGAGCTCGAGACCACCTCGATCATCAACAGGTGCGTGAAGACGGCGCTGTCTTGCAGAACCTTCATGATGGGTAGATAGCTTGAAGGAAGTTATGGATGCTCAAGATGAAAAGCTGGGCGAGGACATTGCGGGGATCAAAGGTCGGTATCTCGTGATGTGCTAGTGTGAATGAATGAAGTAACAGTTTGCACAGCTCTACAGGAGACCGTCCTCAAAACGGACGTCATCGAACATTTGAGGACGGCTGGTGTGTATCCCATCCTCGAAGCGTGTACATACCCTGATTCATTGTGTAGTCGAAACACTTGTGTCTGAGATGATCGATGAACTCGTCAAGGAGCAGGTCGAACTGCTACTTCCGCAGCATGTTCCGCAGGCGCTCGTTGCCGAGCTTCAGTCTCACAAGCTAGAGTTGGCTGAGGTCGAACGGAACCTGCACAACTCGTCAGTGGCTGTATATTCGCTTATGTTTGTTGACCTGAAATTCCACTGCTGCTCGCAGCGAGAGCCGACGCCTGAATGCGCAAATACGGACATCTGGTCTAGATGATCCGTTGAGCACGATCTACAAAAACGACGGCACGGCGAGCAGGCACTTCCCTGAGAATCTTCAAGCTCTACTAGGAATGGATGGTATGACCGTTTCACTTACTTTACGCGCAGCTAAGCCGAATAATTGCATCGACAGACAAATTCATTAAAGCAATGATGCGCGATTATCAGCTAGCTGATATCTCCGACTCGCGAGAGAAGAACACGAACCGTCTCATGCAGTTCTTCGGAATATCTTACCAGCTGGTGCGCAGCCCGGTAACTCCCCGCCCTCGCAATGTGTCTTGACCACCCTTCCAATCATATTCCCTTGTATCCCTCCAACGCCGGTCTTCACGCTCGCTTCCATCTCCGCCGCCGATACCTAACATAGGTCCCGGCTCGCGCAGGTGGGAACGTCCTGGTACAGATCAGCTCGTCGAGGGTGATGTAGGTTCTGGCGGACTTTTCGCTGTCGCACTCAGGCCTTGTAAATAGTATCAAGCGCATTGGCAAACCTCACGATTCACGACCATCACTCTCATTGACGGAGACGGTTATTTGACTGATTCAAGGTAGATCGACAGGCTATACATTGTATGTACACTCTGGCTCGTCTGACAATACGCCCGTTCGGCGTTCTGTCAATACTGACTCAATTGCGTGCCGGCATATCGCAGCTCACCAACAACGAGCGGTAGAGCGAGCCTAGGTATGGGTTGTGGGACTGAACGGATGTATATCATGGAATTGCGTTCAGCAAGCCGGGGATACTGGCTCGAGATACCTGTGGATGGAGTTCGAAGTGGCAACTGGACGGTTCAGAGGGTCGCAGCCAGTGTCAGCGAGACGGCATGAAGGTGAGAGTATAGACGAAATTGGCAAGACTTATGGCTCACTCTCTGACTTACGTGTATGCAAATGACGAAGGGCACATTCAAGCGCGTGTTGGGCTGGAACAGCAGCGTGCCACCGCGGGCCGCTGGGGCCTATAACGCAGCCCCCTGCGGCTTTACGAGAGCGTTGCATTCCGTGCGGCATCTCGGACAAGGTAAAGCTGTGTTACTTCTATGCTTCGGCTGGGAAGGCTGCAGTGCGAAAAATGGAACTGCAGAGTATAAGACGATCGGTTCCTCCGCCGACATGAATCGGAGATGTTACGGTTCCGATTCAGGGCCCCCTGTTGGTAACTGGTAAGTGCTCCACTGTTTGCAGAGGACTTTTTAAATAACTCACAAGGCAGTCGCGCTTGACTAGTACCTTTCTACCCGGGCCTTGTTCGTGCGGTAAATACAAGATGAGGCCTGGGAAAGGCGCTGCCAGTGTGGCACTGGCATATGTCATGGCGTCGACAGTGACAGCACTATGCGGTCAGTACTTACTTGTTCTGTTACGTCGTCCGTAGCATATCCCAGTGCATTGCCCTGTCATGTCTTCTCGGGTTTCGCATGATATATATGTCATAGGTCGTGCGTTCGACCTTGCAACCCAGCGACCTTTGGTCTTTACCCTTCCCTCCGAGTCACCCTGCTCCTCTCTCTGATCCTTAGGTAGACGCATCAATTGGAATCGGTGAGAAACTCGTCCTCGGAAGCAAACATCACTGATCTGAATGCGTACGCTGGCCGAATCCGGTGTATCACAGGCTAGTAGGCCAGCGAAATACGCGTGTCACCAATTCACCTCGACGAGGTTCGCCGATCCCTGTGCTGTCAGTGAGGCTCCTGTGTCGTCGACACTCACCTCGTTCGCCTTGGCTTGCGATATCTTGACAAGTCACTAGTAGCTCTGGCTTTTTTCCCGGTTCCTGAGTGAGTAGTTCTCCTCTTACGGCAGCAGACGAACACTAAACCGTTCGAAGTCACCCACAGCATACCATGGATACTCTTGATTCGACCTCTGCTTATGCCTCTGACATGGCGCATGGAATACACGGCAACGTAGACTGGGATCTATACTACTGGGCTCCCATCCCCAGCAGATACATCTTATTCCCTCTTCCGCGACGTCTCTCAGCGCGAGTTTCTCTCGACGTATTATACAACATCGTGGACAACCTCGATTCTGAAGTGGATCGCTCGTCAGTCGCACTCGTCTGCAGAGACTGGTACGAACATTTCGGATATATCCGCTACCGGGACCTCTGCATCCGTAGTCGACGGGGTCTCAACCTTCTACTCGACACCTCCCTGGACAGCGGGCGGATGAAGCGGAGACTTGATAACACTACGACGCTCCGGATACACCAGCACGATGGAGACTCGAAAGCCTCCTACTACGATGCCGTACCTTTGACTCTTGCGACTCGCATGCCGGCCGTGCGCAGCCTTGTCTTCCACGGATGCATACGGCCCCACATGCACCCCAGTTTTGCTAGGAATCTACATCTATTCAGGCGCATTTCCAGCCTGGAGCTCTCGTCCTTCGCCCTAGAGAATTTCGGCGAACTGCGCCGCATCATCGTTGCATGTCCACGACTGGACACATTGATTCTGCGTGACGGAAAATGCGTGGCATCTCGCCCGCCTTCCCCGACGACTCTCGCACAACCCATACAACGGCAACAACGGCAGAAGTGTACCCTTCAACTCCGACACCTCGAGCTAAGCCGACTAGACTTCGCTTTATCGACCGCTCTCGTAGACTGGCTTGTAATGGCTGGTCCGGTATGCTGTGAGGGCATAACGGACCTAGCCGTTACAGAGGTCACTGGTCCAGTAAGCCTGCTGTGGACGGAACTTCTGCAAGCGATCGGTCCCTCTCTGGAGGCCCTACATTTGGTCTGTGCTCGAGGCCGAGGTGCGTCGCCTAGTTTCACGCACGCCAACATCATTTTCATCCCACCATTCCAGGCTGCAAAACAGCCGACGAGCTGGCTCTCAGCCTAGCGTCGAACCCGAACCTGCGACGTCTGGAAATCCAGATCGAGCCGGATTACAACGATTTCACGGACATGCTCAGTCCGGAGGAACTTGACGATGGATTCCCGAGGACCTCGGGCTGGTGGCCCATATTCAAGACGGTCCCGCGGGTCGCACAGGCGGACATCGAAGTCAAGTTCACCCGAACGGTGTGGGACGCGTTCGCCAGAAGTTACTCAAGGCCGGTCAGCAAAATCATACATAGTCGCTCTCACAGTCCGCTCGAGGAATTCGTCCGAGTCGGTCGAGCAAGGACCAGCGGTGAGTAACACAAATCCTGGATCCCTATCTATAACACGCACTTTTGTTGACCTCCTCCGCTTTCCTCAAGTTCCTTCCTTGCCAAAGCAGTATCCAAAGGCGGTCTCGGAAGCGCATCGCCCCGTGTTACCAGGTCCTCAACAAGACGCGCCGCAGGACGCGCCGCGGCGGTGAAAAAGATGCTGGGCGGCAGCCCGCTATTTGTCGACGCTTTCGACCGGTTCCTTTTGTAGGCATGCTTTAGAATATGTTCTGTCCGTCTCTTCTGCGTTCGCTCCAGAACCATCAAGACCGCCTGTGTTCGCTACCGTGTCATTATTTGCTACAGACTATGATGAACGATGTTTATGTGCTTGTACTTACTAGTAGAGCAAAGCAATACATGCATTGCTAGGTCATCATTACCTGAGACACAATGAATTCCACCTAGTGAAGTGCATGTAAGTTACACCTTTCTGCGTGGTTGGTAAGGTTCTCAACTGTGATATGTTGCTGCCATCGCAAGCCAGACCAATATCGCACTTCGGGACACCACATTGGAGGATTTAGAATTCGACGAAAGACGTCAACAGTAAGGCCTCGCACGGTCATACGACGGAAACACTGGCCTGTGCACCGAGATGCCGAACGATGACCGAGCAACACTTCAACATCGGTCACGGAAATATGCTATATCAGATCCACGCTCATATCCAGACACCAATATGAATCGTACAGGCCGGCAGACCTCACTGACGGGGGAGCGGAGAGGCGGAGGACATACCGTCGTAACTACTTCCCGTCACCCATGAGTCCGCTGACCGCGCGCACGACGATGCCCACCGCCTCCATGACAATCTCTCGCTCGTCTTCCGCGACAAGCTTCAATATCCGGCCCTCAAACTTGTCCGGATGAAAGCGCAGCATCGTTTCCCGTAGCTTGTCCTTCCGCTCCTTCTTCCCAGCCTCGGAGTCGTCCTGTATCAACAAGAACGCGGAGATCGTCTCAACGGTGAGGTCGTCCATGGTCAGCTCCTTCGTTCTCCGACCGGAGAGTTCAGGAGGTAGAACGGGCCACGGGATGTCCGCGAAACGCATTGGACTGTCCGTTCCTGCCGACGGTCCGACCAGGTCTTTCCACCGAGCGTCGTACATGTCGCGGGCCTCTGTCACTCGCCTGCGCTCCCTGCTTCGCCGTCGCCGCCGCCGGTTCTCCTCCTCTTCACGCCCCATGCGTTTGGTCTCGCCCCGGACAGCCCGCTCGCGCGCTTTCCGGGCGGCGCGCTCCGCCTTCTGCTTCTCTTGCTCTTCATACTCTGCTGCGTGCTTCCGTCTGGACTGAGCGTGAGCACTACACACAAACTAGAAATACGCGCATATACGCACCTCCACATCCCTTCCCGGACCCACTCCGCATAGTCCTCATCCTCCATCACGTTCGGGTCCATGCCCCGCTCGTCGTCCATCCTGTCCATCCCACCGCCGCGCCATCTCCTTGGGATATGCGCGTAGTCATTCAAGCGCGACTCGAGCCCATCGAGCCGCTCGTCCTCCTCCAGCGCGCCGAACATCTTCTCGCGGAAGCGCGCCTCCTCGAGCTCCGCTAGGATGCGGTCGTAGTCTGGCTTATGCGCGCGGTGCGACGAGGCCGGTGGCGGTGGTGGAGGGCCATACTCGCCATCGTCGTCGTCGAAGAATACATAGGGGTAGCTTGCACCGGAGGGCGCAGAGTTGGTGTGCTGCCGCTTGCCGCTGGATGGCCCCGCCTCGTCGCTCGAGGTGTCCTCAGGTGCGGGTCGTCTTCTCTTTGAGGCTTTCCTGGCTCGGCGCAAGTCACGTTCTCGCCGTTCTGCCGGAGTCTCCTTGAGATGCAGCTTCGTGGATGGCATGTACTCTGCGATGAGACGAGGTCGCGAAGTGGCGCTGGTAGTTTGCTGGTACTTAGTAGTGGTAAGTAGACTGGGTTGTAGAACTGGCGCGCGCCACTGACGGTGGTCGTCCCGGATGGCGCTCAGCGCTACAACGTTCTTCTGAACTACTTCTACTAGTACTACGGCCAACGTACGACTACAGCTTTTCGACCAGTACAGTCCTCAAGCGATTATTGTTATGTATGCGAATCATTCGGAGGCGGGAGAGATGGTCCAGCGTAAGTCGCATGGTGGCAGAGCCACCCACCTCCGCGGTCAGCACCAGTACGATAGCTGTTGGTCGTCAGCATACTCAGGCTGGAAACGGTCGTCACTGGCACAGCGTGAGTCTGAAAGCCTTCCATATGATACCTCAGCGTGTCATCTCTCACCGTACCCGACTGTTACATAGGTGTTTGATTTTAGACTGGGGTGGCCTTGACGTACGTGAACAGCGAGCGATGACCTGCGGGACCTTGAACCCCTTTGTTGTAATTGAGTATGTCCGCTGTACTATATCATCATCTGGTATGGGCGACTGATAGATGAGCAAGTCCTGACTCGGCGGCCATGCAAAACATATCAGAGCGGCCGCTCGCCGAGCCATTCAGTCCGAGTCAGTGAGGCCACGCTACTCCGCGGCCCTACCAGCTTCCGTTGAGTGGTATAAGCATGCTACACGGGATGCTTTGCTGCACATGTAAGAGGTTCCATATGTTTCTTCAGAACCGTGACGCTCTAGCGCATTCTTCATCCTAGCTTTATAGGCTAGCCACATTGCATCCGTCGGTGGCCCTCATGCGTAAGGAGATAGAAGCATAATTTCGTGTGTCTCGCCAACCCTACAGCTTCTCATACCGGCCTGTTTCCATGTGCACTCCCTTCGAATAACATAGCCTCAAGCGGCAGAAGCTCACGCGAGTGTGTTCGAGGGGCCCTAAATGTCGAGATGCAGCGGCTTGGCGGCTGTGCGCACCCTCGCGCATGTGGCTGACCGAAGTCCAGCAACCGATCAGCCGCGTTGCCCTCTCGGTGTCGATCAGCCTGTGACAGACTGAACTTCGGATTCGCCGGCGGCTGGGTATATAACCCAGAGTGCAGATGTCGCCGGAATCAACATCGCCAGCCGCACCCTCTCCATGTTGCTCTCAGCCCTCGCCGCAGGGCTCGCTGCCCTCCCGGTGGCCCCGGCTCTGGCACGCCAAGTCCCTCACGTCAACGGCATCTATGGAGGCAGCCCCGACCAGTTTGAGGTAACGTCGACGCAGACGACATTCGGCGCAGCGACCACGGACCTGCTGCGTGTGACCGAGAACAGTGGTGTCTGTGAGACGACTCCAGATGTCTACCAGGCGTCGGGCTACGGCAACGTCAGCTCGACCGGAAGTCTGTGGTATGCTTCATTCGATCGTCTGTGCTGCACACGACTAAGTTATGACCATGGTGCAGGTTCTGGTTCTTTGAGGCCCGCAGCAACCCGGATACGGCACCTCTCACTATCTGGCTCAATGGAGGGGTAAGTGCGCGTCCGCATTGATTGTTGCTACGGTTCTTGACACCGTGACGATCATGTATAGCCGGGGAGTTCGAGTATGGTCGGACTGTTCGACGAACATGGCCCCTGTCGTCTCAACAACGATAGTACCGCGCTTGACTATAATCCATACTCATGGAACAATGTTTCGAACATGTGAGTTTGTAGACGTCATAGTCGTGTTGACGCCTGTTCATGCGCGTCTGCAGCATTACATTGACCAGCCGTGGGTGTCGGTTTCTCGTACGGAGACCAAACTGTCGGCACGACTCAGGAGGCGGCTGCTGATGTGTGGACAGTGAGTGCAAGCCACTCCTTCGCGAGCGCTTCTTACGTATTTCGCGATAGTTCCTCCAACTCTTTTTAAACGACACTCGTTTCAGCAAGTACCAAGAGAATGAGTTTGCCATCTGGACTGAGTCATATGGAGGCCACTACGGCCCTGCATTCGCTGCCCACTTCCTGCAGCAAAACGACGCGATCGCGAACGGATCCATCACTGGCACCCCCCTCAACCTGAAGTACCTCGGTGTCGGCGACGGGCTGACAGATCCGCTTTCGCAATACCCAGGCTACATCGAGTACGCCAGCGAGAACCCGTACCATCCGACTGTCTCGCAGTCGACGGTCTCGCAGGCGTCGACGGCGTGGAACGAGTCGGGAGGGTGCAAGGACCAGATCACGGCATGCTACAACGGGGGCTCGGACGACACGTGCTCGACGGCGCAGTACAACTGCAACAACGACATCCTCTCGCCGCTCTCGGGCGACTACGACGTGTACTACATCCTCGCGGAGGACCCGGACGCGTACCCGCCGGACCCGACGGACTTCCTTAACAACGCGACGTTCCAGTCGCAAATCGGCGCGGAGGCGACGTGGCAGGAGACGAACACCAACGTGTACTCGAACTTCGCGGACACGGGCGACTGGATGCGCAACTCCCGGCCTGACCTGGAGTACGTCATCGACTCTGGCGTGCGGACCATCGTCTTCGACGGCGACGCGGTACGTGCTCGTGCTCGCGCGAGGGAACACAAGCTGATCACCGTTCGTGTGTAGGACTACATCCTGAACTTCAAGGGTGTTGAGGCGATGGTCGCCGCGCTGCAGACCGACTTCAGCTCCGAGTTCAACCAGCTCGAGTTCACGAACTGGACCGTCAACGGCGAGCCTGCAGGGCTTTACAAAAACGCAGGCACATTCTCGTACGTGCGCATTTTCGGCGCTGGCCACGAGGTCGCCGCGTACGACTGGGGCAACCTCGCGCGCGGGGAGGCGGCCCTGCAGATGTTTAGCCAGATCATGAGCAACTCGTCGATCTCCTCGACGTGAGGGGATGGGATGTGCGTACGAGGACGAAAGGACAATCTAGCGGTGTTTGCTTGCTTGTGATTGTACAGGAGACGGACACTACATAGCCTCTCGTTGACATTTGCGTGTATGTGGATGCTTGTCGACATGACTACAAACTACTGTCGGTGTATGATTGGTGAGAAGAAAGTGAGGTCCGTTCTTCGACAGAATCGTGAGCTCGCACAGAGCTTCGCGCGAAGCAGGGGGAACCGCGGCCTTGTGCAGTCATGCAAAGGTCATCTCAAAGAAACCTTGCTTGAATGATCACGAAACAACACATTCACAGCGCACATGGAGGTGATCGCTCGTGCTCGGTCCTCGGAGCTACCTCCGGGCAAACATAAATAGTCTGGTACAGTAGTAATACACGTAGACACAGGCTACAAGAAAGACGAAACTACCGATACACATGCTGGTGCCGTACAAACCGATGCGGAGAAAATACAATACTATGGCACAATGCATTGAGTCTATGGCAGCGCATGCGCAAATCACTCTGCAGCGTCCTGTTGACCATCCGCAGACTTGTTGGCTTGCACGAAGTTCGCCGCGGTCCATCCGAAGCGCCGGCGCAGCCGGTACCCGACGCGCCGGATGATGGATGGAGTGAGCACGGCATCTGGGTGTGGCCTGATTATAGGCACGACTGTCAGTCGTAGTGTCAGAGAGGACGCTGCTTAAACGCACCGATGGAATGAAATGGAGTTCCCGCCTGTCTCCTCGTTTGGATCAAATCGCACAGAAGAGCCTGCGCCCTCCTTGCGCTGGAAGCCAATCTTCGTCATGGCCTGTAAGAACGAGGGTCAGTACGCATACGGGCCTCGTTCCACATCACGCTCTCCTCACCTTCTCGAAGTCTCCCCATCGCAACTGCCCCTTCTTGACGTTGGGATCTGCCTCCTCCTCGGGCACGACAAAACGAAGGAACAGCTTTTGCATCTTCCTGTTCACCTCGAACACCTGCCGTTTGCGACCCTCCTTTTCCCGCTTCAGCGCAGCAGGCTCTTCGCGGCCGGAGCGAGCGGGGCACGTGAAGGTGGCGGCGATCCTGCTTGCGTTCCCTGGTCTTCGACTCCGGAGCTTTAGTCTGCGACGCGGCGTACGCACGTCCCGACACGCGTCGCGTGTGTGCATCCTCCGCAGCGAACAACTCAAGGGGTGTCGGGCCTGAAGGCGTCTTCGCCTGTTGCGCGGGCACAGTTGAAGTGGGCCTGGGTCGCTCCGGCGCAGGTTCCCGGATAGGCACGGAGAACCCAAGGCCATGGGGCAGATCAGCAAGCTTCCCGCCCAAGAACCGGTTCTTCACCGCGTCGACCCACTCCCACATCTTCTCGAAGTGCACCGGGTCGCTCACGTATTCGAGCGAGGGGATTATCCGCTCGGAGCGGAGGGTCGTGCCGCCCGCGTGCATATGCTCGTACCACATGTTGATGAGTGGGTAGAGCTTGCGCAGCCAGTTGTTGTCGCTCGCGGTCGGACTGAGCTCGAGGCGGTGCAGCCAGAGCCCGAGCACGCTGTCGAGGAAAACGGTGCGGAGCTCCTGGATCGCAGCGTGGTCGCCGATGTCATCATAGAGCACCTGGTTGAGCGTCGCCTTCTCCTCGGGCGTAGCGGTGATCACGGCGGTGTACATGGTGTTGGGCGGGCACCAGCACCGGAGCGCGGCAAAGTGGAGGAGGCGCTGGCGCATGTCGCTCCGGAGCTCTGGCTCCTTGGCGGAGGAGGGTGTGCGGTCGTAGAACGGATACCCGAAGTGCGATTTCTGAGGAGGGTTGAGTAGCGTGCGACGACACCGGGTGGCTGACATACCGTGATCTCATACCTGTTGTCTCGGATGAAGTGCGCAAAGAAGGGTTCGGAAGTGGCGATGACAGTCTGCAGTCGCTTTTCTTGTACATGCCCGAGCACTCGAGTGCCGATGGATACATCCTCCAGAGCATCAAAAGTCTTGGAGACCTTGGATTCGTGAAGGTCGTGGTATATATCTGGTGACTGTGAGCCCAACCATAGAGTCCGTTCCACGCTACACTTACTCTTGCTGTCCAGAAGCATGCCTTCTTCCTCACGCAGATCCCGTAGTTTAGTGAGACCGGTCAAGATGAGGTCCCAGCATGCATAACGTGCATGCTGCTCGAAAACGACCTGGAAGACCTCCTGGGCAATAAGAGTCGCGGGGAAATGCTTGCGGCTGCGTCCCTGAAGGTCAGGGACTCGCTATTTGACAGTTGCTTCACATGCAGATCTACACGATAGGAAAAATGCAACATACCTCAGGGTGATGTTGCATACGAACACGCATGACAGCCAGGAAGAAGTCTCGGTCGTTGTGAAAGGCATCGATATCGTCTCGCAGCGCGTCTTGCTGCGATGTCGCTATCCGAATGGCCTCTTCGACGTCAAGCTCCGGCCTCGCCGTCTCGCCGGTCCGTACGGAAGCTGGTTGTATGCTTGAGAAAACGACGCCTCAGCACTCTAGCTGGGTTGGCTCACCTGCAAACCTGCCCACAAAGTCTAGGGACGACTCGCCCTTCTTCCGCTGAATCTTGGGCTTCTGCCTTGTTGTGCCGAATGCGTTGTACTGAGTGTCAATTTAGCGTCTGCAACGCTTTCATTTGCGGGCAATGTGGGTTACCTCATTTTGCAGCTGCATGATGTGGGGTATCATCTCCTTGATATATATGTTTTCGGGGATGCTGGCAGTGTCGTAGTTCTGCCAACAACGAGCGTACTTGTTAAATGAGCCACACTCAATGGTACAACGTGAACTCACCGAAGGGCAGATGAGATTGGCTAATCGCTCTCCTTCCGCGCGCCCAGCGCCGGCCGTGATGTAGCTGCAAGAGTCGCCTCTGAGAGTGTGGAAGAGCCTGCCATCGCTCATACGCACGCATTGACAATGGATGACTTCTCGGAGGTCCCAAAGTTAAGAAGATAATCGCCGGGCTTCAGCTGCACTTCCTCGGCGTTCGGGTTGGGCTTCGGCCACTGTTCCATGCTGCGGTAATCCCCGCGGGGAAGAGCGACGCGGGTCATGGCTCAGGGTACGGGAAGAAGGAGGGGGAGGGGCGTCGGGGTGATGGGAGAGGTGAAAAGGTAGCGCAGGTGGAGAGGCAGCTCTTGAGCTGACAGGCGCTTTTAGCGTGCCCATTGTCCTCTTGTTCCCAATCGGGCATGTCAGCCACAGCGTGCATCACAAGCGTCGAGCAGTGAGACCAAGACCAAGCTTAAGTATCATACGTTGATATGTATCTTGTTGATATCCTTGCAGACTGGCAGGTTCGTGCTGGCTCAAGCTGCCGGTCGCACTCAAGGAAGCGTTCATGCCGCCATACATGCTGGAAGACCACCGTGAGGCCCCGAGTCCAAGGCCAATATCAATCCTGGTCTTCACTTGGTGGTTTGGGTACGGCGTGGACCAAGATGTCCGGAAGTGCTCGTATAATATTCGCATGGCTTATTTCGTCAAAGGTAAGCGAACTATCGTAGATGTATAAGACCAAGTGTACGCCGTTTGGCGAGTACTTACCAGATGACAGATGTCCACGCGTGGAGATTCTTGGCTTCCGTTGCACAGTATTTGTACTTATTACCTGCAGAAAGCCAGCAGGTCTGCGCCATGGTTAAAAGTCTATTCATCGCCATTGCTCCAGGACTGGCTCCGGTACACTGAAGGGACCACCAGGTGAGCCATTTGAAAAGATCAAACGCCATTCAATCTATTCCAACGGACTACGTACTGTATGTACCTTTTTGTATGGCTATTAAAACAAGGACTATACTGGGCAGACAATACACAAAAACGAACGGCGGGGTATGCGATCTATGATGAATAACGAAGCGAGAGGATGCGGAGTATCATACGATGGACGAGAGCAGACGAGACCATAGCCTAGAACATACGGCATAAGGATACCATACTTGCCAACCCTGCACACACGCAGCGGCCGGCGCAGCACACCGTGCCAACGCCCACAACAACAAGCGGTGCACGATCGTGAATACGGAGTCGATCGAGAATACGAAATACGCAGAAGCGGAAAGCAGACTAGTAGACCAAATAAAACGAACCCTACGCTATATCACTGTTCAATCGTCAGCACATCTCCACCTCCCACTCGCCACCCTCCGGCCCTTGCCTGGCATGCTCCTCAGCGCGATGCGTACTCGCCGACGCCCATTCGCCCCGGGCGAGCCTGCGCGTGAGAAGCCGCCGTTTATTGATCCCAGTCGAGGTCTAGCCCGGCAAGCTCGTCCTCTCGGTTCAGACCCATCAACGCATTGAAGTCCACTTCGCACCCGTGCCTAAAAACGGCCCGAGCGCATCGGCGTCTTGTCTCGCGGGAGATGGGGCATTGCTAGGTTCGGAGATAGTCATGGCATGATCCTCGTCTGATTGCGATGACGCTGGGGACTCAGCAGCGGAAGGCGTGACGGAGGTGAGGGGGGTGGATGCGGACACGAATCTTGCCGTTTCCGAGGGAAGCGCATCGAAGCTGATGTCCAACGCGCCAAGTCACCGAGAGGAGCTGGCTTCGCTGTCGTCGCTGACGAACTCCAGCTTGTTGCCAGACAGCGTTGCCGCCGTAGTCGCGGCAGACGCCAGCCGCGTCTTGTCCTCCCTCGAAAAGTCCATGTTGAAGTCAAAGTCCATGCCAGAGTTGGCGCCCATCGCGTCGAGCCAGTCAAGTCCGAGTTCACCGGGAGGTACGACTGCATATCGAGGCAGACGACGGTAGCGCCGATGTTGCGTGCGACAGCGGCATCGTGAACGTACTCGGCAGCGCCGACTGCGAATGCGAGTGCGACGGCAGCGAGAGCACGTCGGCAGCGCGCACAACAACACCTGTGCCCGTTTCAGACCCCCTTCACTTCGATGGCACGGGGACTCACCATCAGTCCAAGGCTCGCACCGGACCTGTCCATCCGCGTCGATCGCAGCGACAGCTGTGGCTCCGACCCTCCGACTTCACTGAAGAAGTGGAGGACGGCGCCGGCGACGGCGAGCGCTGTTTCCGCGAGAGCTCCTCGGCGAGCGCACGCTCCCGCTCTTGTATCTCGGCCAGTTGCCTCCGCAGCTGCTCAACCTCCGACAAAAGCTCCTCCTCCTGCAACGGCTGCTGGGCGTGCGGCTAAGCGCCAGTAACCGCGCGTTCTCCTGCTCAAGCTCCGCCACACGGCTGTTCGAAGTACACGTCAGTTATTGTCACTTCGCATTTACTCGACACAGGATAGGTCAAGCAAAAACATGGGTGAGTATAGAGAAGGGATAACGTGTGATCTACCATGATCTGAGGTAGAGGCCCAGCGGCCAACCCTGCAGCACCCTTCACCGCAAATCGACGCCTATCTGACTTGCTGCCTGTCGAAATTGTTGAAGGGACGTGGTGCATAGATTGCTGTTAGGCGTCGATCGGAGTGAAGCGTGCTACAGGCGGTGTCGGCTGTAACCTGCAGAGGTCCGCACTAGTAGCGACCACGGGCCATAGGGAAGGCCTACTCCACCCGGAGAGGCACAGAGGCACTCAAGCTTCCGGCCAAGCATTATGCTAGGTTGCCTTCGTCGATCCGTTTGCCGATGCAACGAGTCCTTACGCTGCAGAGTGATCGTCTGAATCACGTGAGCGAATCAACCGCACGCACACAGCATGGCGTAGCGAGAAGTCGAAACACGAGCATTCGAAGGCGATAGAAGAGAGGCAAAGTTGACATGACAATGGCGGACACTCACATCTCCATGTCTCAAACTCCTCCCGTTTCCTCTGCCTGCTCAGGAATGCAGCAGCGCGATTCTTGACCAGACGCGCCTCGCGCTTGCTGAGCCCCGAGACGTCCGGCGGGATAAAGTCTTTGTCGACGTCGACGCCCGCGGCTTCTTGCTCGAGCTCGCGCTCGGGGCGGTGCTTGATGCGCGCTTCGCAGGGACGGCGAGGCTGGGATTGATGGAGATGCTCAGACGCTCACGCTCCTGCGACTCCTGCCGCTCAGGCGCGGGAGACGGCGACGGCGACGGCGACGGCGACTGCTCGATGGGAACCCACCGGGCGGGATGTCAACAGCTGGTGCGTCGGCAGACACAGCGTCTGCTCGGTCGCAGCGGCAGGCGAGGGCACACGACTCCTCAGCAGGCTCGCGGCCGCGATGGGCGACGCGGGGCGCGTGCCACTGCTCGACACGGAGTGCGGCGGCGACGGGGCCGTCGCGTAGAAACTCGCGAGGGCCTGCGCGTGTGCTGCGCGTGCGGCAGGCGAGTAGAGCATGCCCGTCGGCTGGAGGTGGGCGTCCCAGGGCACGGACGGTATCTCGAGCGGCGAGAGCGCGTCGGCGGCGAGGGCGGTCGGCATGGCGAGTCTTGACATTGCGACGCTTTTGAGGGGGAAGACGGCGGCGAGGAGGGTGCTGCGGGATGGGGAGGTCGTTGTCCGGGGAAGATGGGCGACGGGAACAAAAAATGTTCGGATGGGAACAGCGTCCGGACTTATATCGCTTGGGTACGGGTGAGGACGGATGTGCCCTTTCATAGCCGATACATCAGAAAAATCAACCGTCCTGCTCGACCTGCGTCCATGATTTATATGACTCTTTCCTCGAGGCCCGAGTGAGATAGACTTTGTCAATTTCAGCATGTTCGTGTACGCCGAACTTATGTTTTATGCGC